TATATATGTAGCATGCCTTAAAAACTGATTTTTTTTTGTCGGTCATGGGACTTGAACTCTGGGCCTGGGCAGTGTCCCTGAACTCTTCAGCTCAAGGCAAATGCTCTACCACTTGAGCCACAGCACCACTTCTGGTTTTCTCATGGTTAATTGGAGATAAGAGTCTCAACTTTTCTGCTTGGGCTGGCTTTGAACCATAATCCTTAGATGTCAGCCTGTTGAATAGCTGACCCTTGATTTCTCATGCTCTTGCTCTAATTCTATGAGGCAACCTAAGCGATGGTTTTGCTGGGCCTTTGAATTAACTAAATGCTGGATGCTCAGTCGTCTCCCCCCTCCACACACACACACTTTGTATCTGTGCTCTTTGATCTGAGCTATTCTTTGCAAGACACTTTAAAACCTTCTTGGGCTCCAAGAAAGACAAAATCAGCATCTTGTGACAGAGGTAAAACTGCCTCTCAAGAAGCAATGCTATCGGAGCTGGGAATGTGGCTTAGTGGTAGACTGCCTGCCTATCATGCATGAATCCTCAATACTGTATAAACAGAAAAAAAAAGCTGGAAGTGGCGCTGTGGCTCAAGTGCTAGAGCACTAGCCTTGAGCAAAAGAAGCTCAGGGACAGTGCCTAGGCCCTGTGTTCAAGCCCCAGGACTGGCAAAGAAAGAGGAAGAAAAAGGAGGAGGAGGAGGAGGAGGAGGAGGAGGAGGAGGAGGAGGAGGAGGAAGAGGAGGAGGAGGAGGAGGAAGAGGAGGAGGAGGAGGAGGAAGAGGAGGAGGAAGAGCAATGCCATCTTATCATCTGACAGAGAGCAGCTGGTCATCTAGGCCATATCTTGACCAGGACTGCCTTAACCTTTCTCATCCTGCCTCCCTTCAATTCTCCTTATTTAACCTGAGGTCAGTGACTGCAACCCTGAAGACATCTGAAGATGTACTGAAATCCTGTCTACCCTGGCTACCACAGAATAAATTTTGTTATTGTGGCCTATGTTTTGTATCTATTCTTGTTCTAAGCCATTCACTTTGCAGTCACTGTGGAATCCAGGAAAGATGGGGCTGATGGATGACATCTTTATGACCAGGAACAGAAACTGCTGCCCTCTCCTCTCCCAGAAGAACAGCAGACTAGCTGCCTGGAAATTTACATGTAATGACCAGGCTGTACCCTGAAGCAGGAATAATCATCTGTGTGTGTGTGTGTGTGTGTGTGTGTGTGTGTGTGTGTCCTGGGCTTGAACTCAGGGTTTAGGCACTGTTCCTGAGCTTTTTTGCTGAAGATTAGCAATTTACCACTTGAGCCACAGTCTGCTTGCAGCTTTTCTGGGAGGTAGGTAATTGGAGATATGAGTCTCACAGATGTTCCTACTGACTTCAAACCACAATCCTCATATCTCAGCCTCTTAAGCAGCTAGGATTACAGATGTTAGCCACCAGCACCCAGCAGAAGCAATCATCTTATGAGAACGAGATTGCTCCCCTCAAATCACTATATAATAATAACACCTTCACCTATAACTGGGACTGTTTATTTGTCCCCTGTCCCCAGTTATTTAAACCTATGGCTCATGTATCCATGACGATAGATAAATATGAACTAAAGTAGGCCAGATGCTGGTAGCTCATGCCTATAATCCTAGTAACTCGGGAGGCTGAGCTATGAGGATCAATGTTCAAAGCCAGTCCCAGGCATACAAATCCAAGATATTCTTCTTTCCAATTAAATACCTAAAGAAGCCAGAAGTAGAGGTATGGCTCACGTGATAAAGTGCCAGTCTTGAGCTTAAAAAAGTCAAGTAAAAGCCAGGTACAGATGATTCAAGCCTGTAATCCTAGCTACTCAGAAGGCTGAGGTCTGAGGATTGGGATTCAAAGACAGCCTGGGAAGGAGAGTCTGTGCTCTAGCTGTCAGGGACAGTGCCTAGGACCAGGACTGGCAAAAATAAAAAGCCAAATAAAAGCTTGAAGCTCTGAGTTCAAACCCTAGGACCTGCACATACACACACACCAAGATAACCTGAAGTACTGTGGCTGCCTGTCCCATCCAGTAAATCTTCCTCTCCTCTTCACCGTATCTCTTTATTTGTCATATAGAGATGAGTGGCCAGACCTAGTGTGGGACTCTAAGTCTTTGGGCCTGGAGTGTGAAAGACTCTAAGTCTTTGGGCCTGTGGGTTGCTTGAGGATTCTTCCAAATTATTTTCCCCTGTTGACACTATCATTTATGGATAGCACCGTAATACTGTTAATAATCTCTCCACTATCTCTGCTTCATTGAAGTCTGGGGATTCCATTCCAAGTCTGGCTATCTACTTAGTTGTTCCAAATTCAAGGAGACAGCTCAGTCAACATCTGTTAGGAAAATGGAGGAGAAAGGATGGAAACAGGCCAGACCGTATCTTCAACAGGCTGGACTCAATCTTCAACAGGCTAAGACTGTTTATTGGAAACAACGAGGGGCACAGCCTTCCTGTGGGTTTGTAGGCTGTGTCAGGGTGGGGGTAGGGGTGGGAGTCAAGGGTTTTATGGGGTCTGAGCAAGAAGACAGGGTTACTTGAGTTTAGTATGGAGTGTTGGGGGTGACTACACATGCGGGCAGAGAATAGGGATGTTCAAACAGCTGTCTTGCCTAGATGGTTTTGGCCTTCACGGGGTCCAGTTCCATCTTCCAATCTCTTAACCCTTTCCAGGTCTCACAGCTCAGCCTCAGAGCCTTACAGGCTAGCCCATAGTGGAATGTTTACAGCCAGGCTCAGGTTGGATTGCTGACGTATGTATGCACCTGGAAGAGGGTAGGGGGTCAATCCTTCAACATCTGTGAAAACTCTGTTTCTTGGACTGCTTGTTTTTAATGATTTCAGGTTTCCTGTCTTCAGACATCAGCTCTATAGCCACACTCAAGTTTTTGTTGGCACCTAGAACACACACACACACACACACACACACACACACACAATTATACAGTCATATATCCCTATAGAGAACTGTGAAATGTCTGATATTTTATCCTACTTGAAAAGCTAAACAAGTTAGACTGTCACAGTTGTAGCTGTGCTAATAGAAAACACAAGACTACTGGTCTAATGAAAGTCTTACAGCAAAATCAGAGTTAGATTATTAGACTTAGCTGCTGGTTCTGAGTTTCAGTTCCCATAGAGCAAGGCCAACAGGGCCAACCAGAAACAGGTTGAATTACAGGAGAGAATGTTGAGCTTAGGGCCTGGGCACTGTCCCTGAGCTTTTTTGTTCAAGGCTAGGGCACTACCAAGTGAGCCACAACTCCACTTTCAGCCACAGCCTGCCTGCCTGCCTGCCTGCCTGCCTGCCTGCCTGCCTTCCTTCCTTCCTTCCTTCCTTTCTTCCTTCCTTCCTTTTCTTTTTTGATGGTACTGAGGTTTAAACCCAGGGTTTCAAGTTCACTTGGCTGACTTGTTTAGCTGGCACTCTATCAATTAAGCAATACCTCCATCTTGCTGGTATTGGGGATTGAACTTGGGGCCTGGATACCTTCCCTTAGCTTTTTCTGCTCAAGGCTAGCATTCTATACCACTTGAGGACCCCACTCCCCCATTTAAATGAGTCTCTCAGATTTGTCTGCCTTGGCTGACTTCAAACCTGAGTTTCTCAGATCTCAGCTTCCTGATTAGCTAAGATTACAGGTGTGAACCATCAGCACATGGCTAGTTTGACTTTTTTACTAGTTATTTTGTAGATGGAGTCTCATAAACTTTTGTGTGTGTGTGTGTGTGTGTGTGCCTATTTTGGGGCTTGGATTCAGGGCCTGGGCACTGTCCCTGAGACTCTGTGTTCAAGGTTAGCTCTCTACCACCTGAGCCACAGCACCACTTCTAGCTTTGTCTGAGTAGTTTATTGGAGATAAGAGTCTCATGGACTTTTCTGCCCAGGCTGTCTTTGAACCGTGATCCTCAGATCCCAGCCTCCTGAGTAACTGGGATTACAGGCATGAGCCACCATCTCCTGGCTCATAAACTTTTTCTTCCTGACCTGGCTTCTTTAGTCCTCTGGATCTCAGTCTCCTAAGTAATTAGGATTATAAGCTTGAGCCACTGGTACCTGGCTAAGAACCACAATGTTTTATAATGAGTAAAACAAATGTCACTGTAAGGTTTTAGGTGAGGAAAGAACATGCAGGAGGAGGAAAAGGTGAAGAAAGGGAAGTTTATTGGGGTACGCTCCTGGGCGAATTCCTTGGTTGGGGATCAGAGAAGTCACACAGAGTCTGGTTGTAACAGGGTTTATATGTCCGGGGTCAGCAGGAACTTTTAGTACATAACTTGTTTTGCGAGTTTGAACAGTTTCAGGCTAGTGCCCCCGAAGGACAGGCCAATTGGTACAGGTGGTATATAATTGGGTCAGGTGGTGTGTAAGGAAGTGGCTTTTCTCAGCTGCCTCTGCTCTCCAACGGCCTGACAATCACTACCACTTTTTTTTCTTTTAAGGCCATCAGCAAATTTGGGCTTCACTCTTGAGGAGAACATTACCTTTCAAGGTTGGTAGCAAGTTACTATAAAAATTTGCTATACACTGAGCATAAGTGGCTCATGCTTGTAATCCTAGCTTACTGCAGAGGCTGAGATCTGAGGACTGCAATTGAAGCCAGCCCCGACAGAAAAGTCCATGAGACTCCTTTATCCAATTAACCAGCGAAAAATAAAATAAAATAAAATAAAAAGCCAGAAATGGAGCTGTGGCTTAAGTGGTAGAGCACAGCCTTGAGCAAAATTCTCCCAAGTTCAGATTTCCTCACTTGAGATCCAGATCCACTGCGTGTTCCACATCTACACGACCCGTGGCACATCCGTCTTGCAATGCTTATAATGCTCGCTGAGCTGTGATAATAGCCTTTGGCCTTTAGCTTCCAACTCCGGTAAAAATCAAATCCCAGTCTTCCCGCTAGGCCTTGGGGCGGCGCTCTAGCGCCCAGCACCACACTCTATGGTGCGGCTTCGCCCCGGAAGTAGTTCCGCGGTTGGAGTTGGTAAGGTCGGGCCATGGTGGGGCAGAGGCAGGGAACATGGCGTGGCGGTGCTGGGCGCAGAGCGGCTGGCGCTGCGGCCGGGCGTGGGCTCCGCCGGCGGGCACCCAGGTGTGTGAGGAGCTCCCCGCTGCCCTGGCCGCCCCGCGGCTGCTCGGACGCAGGTAATGGCCGCCACTCGGGGCGTGTGGGCGCCCGGGCTCCGGAGGTGAACCCGTGCGGGGCGGGGGCCGCCCCCTGGCCGCGCCGCCCGGGCCCCGGCCGCTTTCCTCGGACTTGGCGGGCTTCGGGCCCCGCCGGGCCCCGGGGAGCCCACAGCTCTCATCTAGGATGGGGTCGTGAACTAGTGCGGGCCACTTTTTAACCCGCTGGGGCCATACTGAAGCCGGATTGTCACCGAAGCAGGTTTGCGCCGCCGGCAGAATGACAGCTGAGATTTTATCCTCTCAGACTTGATTATTACCTTTAACGTGGAAAGCCAGGGGAGGGCCCGAGTCAGAGGCGAGCCCATGCTAAGTTCTGAGAGGCTTTCTGGTTTAGAAGTTTAGAGCGTATTTGGTTCCTTAGATACTTTGGAAAGAAAACCAGCCTAGCCTGCCTTTTGAGATGTATCGACGATCGGTGTTTGCCGACTTCTTCTTTTTAACCTAAGGACGATCTATTTCTAAATTATGAGAGAAAGAGAAACTCCTATTCGTATTGACTTTGAAATACCTTCCAGAATTTTAACCTTCCCGATTTCTGACTTGTTTGGTGTCTTTCTGGCTGGCTGAGACCGGAGGAACAGGATTTAGAGGGCAGCCTGAGCTACCCAGTGAGGCTGCATCAAAACACAAAACAACAATAAAAAGGAATTTCCTGGAGTGTTTGCAGACTTATTTCTCAGCACCACCCTAGTCGTATGAAATCAGAATTAGGAGAAGGATGGGAAGAGTGGAAGAACCTGTATTTCTCATAAGCATGCCAAGTGAATCTATCAGGCATTTTGAAAATCTTGCATGCATTGTTTCTTAACACATTTTATGGAGTTTCTGGCACTAATCTTAAACTTTTGGGGAGACAGAATGAAGTCAGGTGGAGGTGGTGATAGATTTCAGTGGTCCTGATGCTAGTGTTTATTTCAAATCGCATTTGAGATTGCATAGTGTGGGGATAGGGGTAGGGAGGATTGTCTTATTAAGAAGCAACAGATCTGGTCGCTGGTTGTGCAGGCCTGTAATCCCAACTACTCAGGAGACTGCGAAGCCAGCCAGTGCAGCAAAGTCCCCTGGTGACCCTTCTCTCCAGTTAACCACTTAAAAACTGGAAGTGGGGCTGTGGCTCAGTACAGTAGAGCACTAGCCTTGAGCAAAAGAGCTCAGGGACAACACCAGGCCAAAGTTAAGCCCCCACAACTGACCAAAAATAAAAAAAAAAGCAACAGGTGTGTTCAGTGTTTAAGATTTTAAGTACACACCAAGTACTGGTTATAGAAAGGGCAAGTAAAGTGGGTCGCTGGTGACTCATGCCTGTAATCCTAACTACTCAGGAGGCTGAGTTCTGAGGATTGCAGTTCAAAGCCAGCCCGGGCAGGAAAGTTCATGAGACTCATCTCCAATTACCTGAAAACTGGAAGTGATGCTGTGGCTCAAGTAATAGAGTGCTTGCCTTGAGCTGAAGAGCTCAGGGACAGCATCCAGGCCCAGAGTTCAAGACCCACAACTGACAATAAAAGGGAGAAAGAGAGAGAGAGGAAGGAAGGAGGAACGAATGAACTAGCCCCAGTAAAAATTGGATAAGAAAGAAAACTAGCCCCAGTAAAAATTGGATGTAAAGACCACTTGGAACTACAAAGCCTAAGAAACACATATGATGTTAAAGTTTAACACTTGATTTAAAAAATCTTGCTATTTATTTGGAAAACTTGCCATTTGTTTAATAGTTACATGGGAAAATGCAGTACACAAGGGTGTAGCTACGCCTGAAATACAGTATTTGTGCCTTGCTTCTGGAAATAGGCAATGAAAGTGAATAAAGTATGTAAGTTGTCTTCTTTATAATTTTTAGTAGGGAAGATTTGAGTTCCTATGGTTCTAAAATTAGTATGCTGGCACCGGGAAGGTGGCTCAGAGGTAGAGCACTTGCCTTGCATGCCTTGCGTTCAATTCCTCAGCACCACATAAGCAAAAAGAAAAAAGCTGGAAATGGTGTTGTGGCTCAAGTGGTAGAGCGCTAACCTTGAGCTGAAGAGCTGAGGGACAGCGCCCAGGCCCAAAGTTGAAGCCCCACAAGCAGACCAGGGTGCAGCTCAAATGTTAGAATGCTAGCCTAGACAGTGTGAGGCCCCAAGATCAATCCCCAGTACTCCCAAAACCAAAATGAAACAAAAAACTTAGGAATGCATTTGGCTGTCAGTAAATTGATAGTTGTGTAAAGAGGAACTAGCTAAGACATTTGGAGGCTAAATGACTGCCATCTTTGCTTTCATAGCCAAAAATATCAAGGTTAGTATCAAAATCCTTTAACCTTTTTCTTGGCATTAAAGATAAGTGCTTCAGCTTTTGGCATTGGTGTGTGTAGGTGAGAGATATCAATAATGATGTTTTTATTAGGTAAATAAAACCATTCCAAGAGGTTCTTGAAAAAAATTCTTCCTAAGTGTCTAAGTGATAGAACCACCCCTTGCCATGTGGCAGGCTGGAAAGTGATTTCTGAGATGTTGAACCAAGGAGTGGAGTCAATGCAGAAGAACAAGGGCTCTGTAGGCAAGTAGTAATAACAGCAGCAAACAAGCCCCTAGGAGCTATTTGAGTGTTTGAGGAAAAGTGGTGAGAGGAAAGAAGAGTATGTATGCTGAATGAATCTTTCCTAGCCACCACAAAAAAAATCAAGTCAGGGAAAAGTGTTAGAATTTAGCTTGGATTAGCTGTTGAGTGTTTACCCAGGGCTATTTATTCATAAAATGTTTACCAGGCTTTGAAGGGATCTCAGAGCAACATTATGATTGGATACATTTAGAACTTTTTTTTTTTTTTTGGGTCCGGTCGTGGGCCTGAACTCTGGGCCTGGGCGCTGACCCTCAGCTCTTCAGCTCAAGGCTAGCGCTCTACCACTTGAGCCACAGTGCCACTTCCGGCTTTTTTTCTTTTTGCTTATGTGGTGCTGAGGAATTGAACCCAGGGCCTCATGCATGCAAGGTAAGCACTCTACCACTGAGCCACCTTCCCAGCCCAAATGTAGAACTTTTTAAAGTGGGTTTTTTTCTTTCTTTGTTTTTACTGGGATTTGAATTAGTCCTTGATAGGCAGGTAAAATATATTTCTTTGACAGGAATACTTCTGGGTATTGAGGTGCACACCTGTAATCCATGCTATTTGAGAGGCAAAAATGGCTACAAGTTTGAGGTCAGTTTGGGAAGCTTATTGAGAGACATTGTCTGGAAGTAAATAAGGTTTGTGGCCATACATTAGGGACGTAGCTATAATTCTAACTATTTGGGAGGCTAAAAATGTGAAGATCAACGTTCAAGGCTAGCCCAATATATTTAGGCACAGTGGCATGCACCTGTCATGCCAAGCTGTGTTGGAGACTAATGGGTAGGATGGAAGGTCCAGGTTTGCCCAGGTGGAAAGTCCAAGATACCCAATCTCCAAAGAGGGAAGCTGGGTATATGGAGCTGAGAAGCCTAAAGTAGGCGGATTCCACACCTGGATGGAAAGGGAGACCCTATGCTAAAACTAACCAGTGAAAAAATGGGGCTGGAGGTGTGGCTCAGCAGTACTGTGTCTGCCTAGCAAGCACAAGGTCCTGAGTTCAACCCCAAATACTGCCTCCCTCCCTCCAAAAAAAAAATTCTAGAGAATGGAGTTCAGTACTTGCTTAGATGCTGTGGGCATGGGTTCAATTTCATCTCTGTCTTTCTCTCTGTGTCTCACATGTCCTAAATGTTACTTATTTGGAAGTGTAAAATCATAAAATTTGGTGGTACTGGAGTTTGAACTAGTACTTACTAGGCAAAATTTCAAGTCAAATTACCACCCATCTGTCATCATTACTATGTAATTTCTGAGAGGAGGAGCGAGGGCATTCTCGGCATGAATAGTAACAACAGCATCCTGTAGGCCATGTGAGTGAGTGTTCCAGGAACTGTTGAGTATTTGAGGAACATTGATGAGCGAACAGATGCTATGTGTTTCGTGTTGATGTTTTAAGTCATCGGTGTAATCCAGCCATAAATAGTTGCACTAGGAATAAAAGATGTTTTTATTTGACAGAGTTGGCTTTTAATGGTTTGGTAAAAAATAAAGGAGAATTATAACCTTTAAATCTTAGTGACCAAGAGAACTGTGGTCTGCCTCAAAGAATAAGGAAGTCAGAAAGTGAAGCTGTTGCCGGCACCAGTGCTTCATACCTATAATCCTAGCTACTCAGGGGGCTAAGATCTGAGGACTGTGGTTCAAAGCCAGTCCTGGCAGGAAAGTCTGTGCAACTCGTATCTCCAATTAAAAAAAACGGAAGTGGCACTGTGGCTCAAGTGGTAGAGCACTCGCCTTGAGCTAAAGAGCTCAGGGACAGCACCCAAGCCCAGAGTTCAAGCCCCATGACAGACAAGAAGAAAAAAAAGAAAGAAAGAAAGTGAAGCTGTTTGTGGGGAAAACAACAACAACAACTAAATTTCCTTTTAAATAAGCGATGGGAACATATCTAAGTAGAAATATTCAATATGTGGCTGGAAATGCAGGGATAGATTAGGATTGGAGAAACATATTTGAATTATTTAACCATGTAGAAGTCATTCTAGTACCAAAAATGAATTAAGTTATGTTTTTATTTTTATTTTATTTTGGTCATGGGGCTTGAACTCTGGGCCTGGGTGCTGTCCCTCAGCTCTTCAGCTCAAGGCTAGTGCTCTACTACTTGAGCCACAGCACCTCACTCTCTGGATTGCTCATGCATGGGACTTTATCAGTTGAGCCATAACTCCACCCTGGGTTTTTGCTAGTTATTTGGAGATGGAGTCTTTCAGATATTTTGCCTAGGCTGGCAGATCATCCAGATCTCAGCCTCTTGAGTGGCTAGGATTATAGGCATGAGCCTCTGGCTGCCAGCTAGTATAATACATTTAAATGTTGTGCTGGAATTGACTAAACTTCAAATAAGATAAACCTGATTAAAACTGATAGTTTATATGTTGTTTAGGACTGGGAATGTGGCTTAGCGGTAGAATGCTTGCCTCATATGCATGAAGCCCTGGGTTTGATTCCACAGTACCACATAAAAAGAAAAAACAGGAAGTGGCACTATGGCTCAAGTGGTAGAGCAAAAGAAGCTCAGTGACTGCGCCCACACCCTGAGTTCAAGCCCCCAGGACTGGCAAAAAAAAAAGAAAAAAAAAGGGGGGGTCTAATTTCTTTTTGGGGGGGGGTCCAGTTGTGGGGCCTGAACTCTGGGCCTGGGCGCTGTCCCTCAGCTCTTCAGCTCAAGGCTAGCGCTCTACCACTTGAGCCACAGCACCACTTCTGGTTTTTTTCTTATGTGGTGCTGAGGAATTGAACCCAGGGCCTCGAGCATGCAAGGCAAGTGCTCTACCACTGAGCCACCTTCCCAGCCCTGGGGGGGCGGGGCGGGGGGCGGGGTGTCTAATTTCTGTAAGACAAAAGATCTTATATGTGGAGAATGGATACAAACTATTTTATTGATTGATACAAAGTAATAGTCCAAACTAGTGCTCTAAAGCTGTTAGTTTGTAACTTGTCTGTTCCAGAAAAGTTGAATGTTGTTCCTTTTAATTCTCCCTACATTAGGAGTCCTGGCTCTTTTGGACTTGAGAATGCAAATAAACTGAGATGGTTATGATGCCATTCCATTTCTAATCTGATATTTGTACCTCCTACCCCATAGGTTTAACTTCGTTATTCAGCAAAAATGTGGATTCAGAAAAGCACCCAGGAAGGTGGAACCACGAAGATCAGACACAGGGTCAAGTGGGGAAGCTTACAAGAGAAGTGCTTTGATTCCTCCTGTAGAAGAAACGGTCTTTTATCCTTCTCCCTACCCCATCAGGACTCTTGTGAAACCTTTTTTCTTCACTGTTGGGGTAAGAGTTTACATCACTGGCTGTTATCAGCTTGCTGCTACTCTAGTGTTCCAGTGTTTTTGTCCTGCTTCGATTCCTTCAGAACAAGAACAGGGGTGGGTGGCTAGTGGATCAACAGCAACTGGGGTGCTAGACACATGAATTCTGATTACAGAATGAATTTAATAATTGCTTTTAGAATCTAGCCCAGTAATATGTAAGCCTCGGAGGAGAAATTTGTAGGCCTTCTGTTTTTAGTGGCACTAAGTTGGTATTTTGAATTTTAGACCTGTTAGAAACAGACCTGAAGGGTCTATAGTTAATAAAATCGGAAACAAAAAATGTTCTTGTCACCTAATGGGATTTCTGTGTGGCAGGTGAAATATCCTTGGGAAAAGAATATGGATAAATTTCTCTATTAAAATTATTTTGTAATATATTTAATTTTATGCAGTTTACAGGCTGTGCATTTGGATCAGCTGCTATTTGGCAATATGAGTCACTGAAATCCAGGGTCCAGAGTTATTTTGATGGCCTAAAAGCTGACTGGTTGGATAGCATAAGGCCACAAAAAGAAGGAGACCTCAGGAAGGAGGTAAAGATAAACATTGTTTTATTTTAATCACAATTTTTAAAGTCTTTAGAAAGTATTTTTATTTAGTGGCAACAGTCCATGCATGCATAGATGTGAAGTCAGTGTACTTAAAATTCTTCTTTAGAATCCTTTCTTTCCATGAGTATTAATGAATGTGTTATATGTTTAGGAGTATTGTACTTGACAATAATTTCAAGAGTTTGTCCCTCTACTCATATGCCTCAAAAATGACCACAGAAGCTGGGTACCAGTGCTTAATGCCTGTAATCTAAGCTCCTCTGGAGGCTGAGGTATGAGGATCACGGTTTGAAGCCAGCCCAGGCAGGAAAATCCTTCAGGCTCTTATTTCCAATTAACTACCAGAAAGCTGGAAAGGGTGCTATGGCTCAAGTGGTAGAGCACTAGCCTTGAGCAAAAAGAGCTGAGGGGCAGTGCCCAGACCCTGAGTTCAAGCCCCATGACTGACAAAAAAAAAAGACCATGGACAGTTTAAAAAATATCTGGGAGCCAGGAAGTGTGGTTGCTGAAGCCTGTAATCTTAGCTACTCACTCAGAGCTGAGATTTGAGGATCACAGTTCAAAGCAAGCCTGAGCTGAAAAATCCCCATGAGACCCTTATCTCCAATTAACTTTCAAAAAGCTGGAAGTAGAGTTGTGGCTCCAAGTGGTACAGTGCTAGCCTTGAGCAAAAGAGCTCAGGGATAGCATGTACACACACAAAAAAAGATTCATGAAGCTTTTTTCAACCATGGTTGGGCACACTGATGTGCACTTGTCACCCCAGAGATTCTGGGAAGCACAGATAGGATTGTAGTCCTAGCTGACCCGGGCATAAAATGAGACCCTTTTCCAAAAGTAATACGAAAAGAACTGGCAAAGTGGCTAATGCGGTAGAACACCTGACTAGCAAGTACAAGGCCCCAAATTCTACCACCCCTGAGAAGTACCAAAAAGAAATGGGGGGAAAATGATGGGCATAGTGGTACATGCCAGTAATCCCAGTTATTTGTAAGGGAGAAGCAAAAGGATCACAAGTTTAGGATCACAAGTTTAGGCCAATCCAGGCAAATTATCTATAAAACAACAACAACAAAACTCCAGAAGGGCTTGGTGTTTGGCTTAGGAAGTAGAATGCTTGCCCAGCATGATACATGTTCAGTCCCCTTACAGGAAAAAAAAAATTCAAGACCTTATTCCAGCCCTCTACAGTTTGAAGACCACTGTTAAACTGGCATCACCTTGTTGAATTATTTTAGATAAATACCAGAATCACAGGAAACTTAAAAAAAAAAAAAAACATAGGGTAGAACTACCAAGTCAATTTTATTTTTTACTTATCTATTTATTTTGTTGGTACTGGGATTTAAACTCAGGACTTCAAGCTTGTTCTACCCTTTGCTGATAGCTGGTTCTCTACCACTTATGCTACATTTCCAATTCTGACTTTTTACTGGTTAGAGATAAGAATCTCCAGGATTTGTCTGTCTGAGCTGGCTTTGAACTGCAATGGTCAGATCTCCTCCTTATGTAGCTAAAGTTATAGGTGTGAGCTACTAGCACCTAGCTCCAAATGGATTTTTAAAAGCCTCTTATCTGGTTGTGGGGAAGTTATAGCTCAGTGGTAGAACACTTGAGTAGTAATGCTCAAGGTCCTGGGGTTCAACCTCTAGCACCACCATCTTCTCAGTGGGATACAAGAAAGAGATGTAAATACATGGAGCATGAACATTTTCCATTTACTTTGTATGCCAACTGATGGCTGTCTTTCCTCCTGACTTTTTTTTGTTGGTGGTGGTGGGGCTTGAACTCTGGGTCTGGACTCTATCCCTGAGCTCTTCAGCTCAAGTCTAGCACTCTACCACTTGAGCCATAGCACCACTTCCAGTTTTCTGGTGGTTAATTGGAGATAAGAGTCTCACAGATTTTCCTGCCTGAGCTAGCTTTGAACCACAATCCTCAAATCTCAGCCTCCTGAGTAGCTAGGATTACAGGTGTGAGCCACTGGTGCTTGGCCTTCCTGAATTTTTAAAACAAGTTTGCTTCTAGATAAATCTTTCTTAAAAATTTTAAAGTTTTATATGTCAGTATTTATTGGGAACTGAAGCCATAGGTTAATGTGTTTCCAGCTCCATTTTTGTTTTCAAGCATCTTTGGTGTTTTTGTTTTATGACACATCAATACTGTTCCAGTTTGGAGAGAGTTGAGAGGGTTGATGTTTCCTCTCTCCCCTTACCTGTTTGTTTTTTTATTTTTATTTTTTACCAGTTCTGGGACTTGAACACAGGGCCTGGGCACTGTCCTAGAGCTTCTTTTGTTCAAGGCTGGCAGTCTACCACGTGAGGTACTGCTCCACTTCTCAATTTTTTTTGGAGAGGGGTAATTTATTGGAGATAAGAGTCTCACAGACTTTCCTGACTAGGCTAGCTTTGAACTGGATCCTCAAATCTAGATTCAAGAATAGCTAGGATTACAGGTGTGAACCACTGGCACCCAGCCCTTGTCCCCTTTTTTAATACCTATACTGGGACTTGAACTCAGGGCCTCAAATCTATTGCTTAATTTATTCACTCAAGGCTGGCACTCTATCATTGAACCACCCCTCTAATTCTGGAGTTTTTTGCTGGTTAATTAGAATAAGAATCTCTCAGATATATCTTCTCAGGCTGGCTTTGAACCCAAGATTCTCAAATCTCAGTCTTCTCAGTAGCTAGGACTATAGGTGTGAGCCAATAGTTCCTGGCTGATGTCTTCCTTACTTTCCCCCTTCCACAAATAATCTAGTCCTAGTCAGTAGAGCCTGAGAAGGAAGCCATGGGCTTTCTTTTTACTAATGAAACTTTGAAGTTCCTATCCATAGAGGAAGGATGCATTCTTCAGTTTCTGAAGAGACTCATTCCCGAAGCATGAGTCCTATTGTAGAGAGAGGCTTTATGCAGAAGAATAATTTATAGTATTTACAGGTAAAAACAGTAACAAGCAGATTTTTACTTAGTATACTATATTTTAAAAGATAGTAAAACGAATTCCATAACGCTGAGCACTGAGTCACAGGAAGTTACAGCACATCGCTGGACTGTGAAGTTCATATATATATATATATATATATATATATATATCGCATATATATATATGATATATATATATATGATATATATATATTTGTAAAAACTTATATATTATGTATACTATATATTATATATATTATCCAAGGTTATATATTTTAAAATAATAGTTAAACCAATCACAGGTTAGACTATATACAATCCATGCCTGTTTAAGAATGAAGCCTGTTTAAAAAAAAAATGCATGCCTGTAATCCAAACTACTCAAGAGACTGAGACCTGGGGTGTGTGGTTTCAGTTGAGGCTGGGCAGAAAAAATCCATGAGACAAGTGCCTCCAAAATAACTCCTAAAACAGCACTGGAGACATAGGCCACGGAGTAGAATAGTAGTCAGGCCACAAGCTAAGCAAGCATAAAGCCTTATATTCAAATCTAGTGGGGAGGGGGGCGGTAAAGGCTATAAATATAGCATAGAAAATGGAAGTCTTTGAATCTTTGTCATGTCTACTGGTACATGCCTGTAGTCCCTACCATCCGGGAAGTTGTGATACAAGGACTACTTGGGCCCAGGAGTTCATTGCCAACCTAGGAACAAAAAACAAACAAAAAACCCACAGCTGGGTGCTGGTGGCTCACACCTGTAATCACACCTATCTATTCAGGAAGCTGAGATCCAAGTATTGCAGTTTGAAGCCAGCCTGGTCATGAAAGTCCCAGAGACTCTTCTCCAATAAAACTACTCAAAAGCCAGCCGGGCACTGGTGGCTCATGCCTGTAATCCTAGCTGTTCAGGAGACTGAGATCTGAGGACCACCATTCAAAGTCAGCCTGGGCAGGAAAACCCATGAAACTCTTCTCTCCAATAAACCATTCAGAAAATTGGAAGTGGCACTATGGCTTAAGTGGTAGAGTGCCTGCCTTGAGCTGAAGAGCTGAGGGACAGCCCCCAGGCCCAGAGTACAAGCTCCACGAACGACCAAAAAAAAGCTATTCAAAAAAGCTGCAAGTGGCACTTGGCTCAAGTGTAGAGCACTGGCCTTGAGCAAAAGAAGCTCAGAGACAGTGCCTAGGCCTAGAGCAAGCCCCAGGACTGGCAAAAAAAAAAAAAGGAAAGGAAAGCCCTGGGAACCCCATTTACATCAGTATAAATGCAGTAAAGACAGTCTGAGAGATCATACACATATTAAAATTACAGAAATGAAAGCATATATACACTAATCTATAATTTTTTAACCTTGATTTTTTCCCCCCATCATAATGAAATCTGATGGTATGTCATAGATAGAATATTTTTAATTAAGGAAAATTTTATATTCAGCAATAGAGAAAAATATTTTTGTCAAACTTCAGTAGTTACATGCCACTCTACTTTACACTCATTTTCCTTTCATTCCCCTCCCCTCCCCTCCCATCACTGCATTATTGTAAAGCAGTCCCTAACTACATTTCACTCAAAGATTTCACAATGTATCCCTGACAACTTAAGATTCTTTTATCTTGTTTCTGAACCTCAATACCATTATATCTAAAAAAAAAAAATAGCAATTTTAGTACAAATTTAGTCTCATAGTTCTAGTTCATGTGAAGGCTGTCTGTGTTGCTCAGGCTCATGTCACACTCCTAGATCATGTAGTACTACCTCCACTTCACTAGTTCACCATCAGGCCCCGCACCTCAGTTAGAATTTTAAAAATAGATAGGACCTTGTTGAATAATAAGGCTGTCTTCTGATCCCCAGATCTCAGCCTCTCAAGTAGCTAGGATTACAGGCATGAACTACCGATGCCCAGCTACTGTCCCATTTTATATGTCAGAATACCAAGGGTTAAAAATAAAATATCTGACCATTGGTTTTATTTGGAGAATGTAGGATGTCTCTATTAAAAACAAAACCTAAGAACCAACCCCAAAACATGGCCTTTTCCACTCTACCACAAGGTTATTATGTCTATTGGTCATCTATAGTTTTTTTAAATGAGGGATCAAGACCACAGGCATTTCTTTCTAGCTTTCACTTTCCTAACCAGGAAGTATTTCATGTACAATGATATGCAATTCTCCTTCTGTTTTAGATTAACAAGTGGTGGAATAATCTAAGTGATGGCCAGCGGACTGTGACAGGTTTGTGTTAGCTTACATGTTTTAGCCATTCAAGGGAAGAGAAATCAAACCAAAAGGTACAGTATGCCACAGGAAATAACTTTCATACTGTACTCACCAGTGGCTTAGAAGACAGAGTATCTGTACCTATCAAGAATAATGTAGCAGTATGAGAAGTAGTGTAATTACAGCACTGGGAAGGCTGAGGCAGGAGAATCAAGAATTTAAGGCCAGCCTGGATTACAGAGAGACCCTGACTAAAGACAGAGAAAGGCCAAACACCAACATGTAGTGTGGCATAAAGATTTTTCATAATGATGAGGCCCTGGGTTCGATTCCTCAGCACCACATAAACAGAAAAAGCCAGAAGTGGCGCTGTGGCTCTAGTGGTAGCATGCTAGTCTTGAGCTGAAGAGCTCAAGGACAGCGCCCAGGCCCAGAGTTCCAGCCCCATGACTGACTAAAAAAAAAGAAACTAAAGGAGACATTGAATGAGTACCTTTTTTTTGTACACAGGATAATATAATGTATATTATATGTGTATATATATATATGCAAATATATACACACACACATTATCTCCCCACTTGGCAAAGTTGCCTACAGGGTAGTTGTCTTCCTTTTCATAGGTATAGAAATTGCCTTTAGAAGAGTTTTTTTTAAAGGTACAGCTGCGAGTAGTATGTAAGAGAGGCCTGATTTTGAGAGCCAGGTCTAGCTCCTCTTTAGCCAGGTGCTGGTGGCTCACACCTGTAATCCTAGTACTCAGGAGGCTGAGATCTGAGGATCGGTTCAGCCAGCCTGGGCAGGAAAGTGCAGGAAAGTATGTGAGACTCTTATCTCCAATAAAACACTCAGAAAACTGGAAATGGCCCTGTGGCTCAAGTGGTAGAGTGCTAGCCTTGAGCTGAAGAGCTGAGGGACAGTGCCCAGGCCCAGAGTTCAAGCCCCACAACTGACCAAAAAAAAAAGATCCTCTTTAAATGTAAGCATACAGTGCATCACTGATTATTTTGTTTTTTGTTAATTTTGATGGAAAGACAGATCTGACTCTTCAAAGTAACATTAGTGCAATATTTAGTTATTTGAGAAACTTGGAAAAGTTGATTTCTAAGTCTTTGATAATTATGCAAATAGGAAAGAAGATTTCTAGAGAATAGCAAAATATTTTTTCTCAAACAGATGTGATACTTAGAGTCTTGGTATTCTTTTCCTATACCTACCAAAGTAGAGAAACAATGTTTATTATTTTTTTCAGTCTGTTTCCTTTGTCTGAAAGGCTTAATTTTACCCACCTTGATAGCTTGGATCAGTCTTCAAGCTTATGATTGATTGACATTGCTTCCCTTAGAAAGCACTCTCTTTAGCCGGTGCTGGTGGCTCACACCTGTAATCCTACCTACTCAGTAGGTAGGATTGTAGTTCAAAAAGATTGTAGTTCAAAGCCAGCCCAGGCAGGAAAGTCTGTGAGACCTTTTTTTTTTTTGGTCTGTCGTGTAGCTTGAACTCTGGCCCTGGGCGCTGTCTCTCAGCTCAAGGCGAGCATTCTACCACCTGAGCCACAGCACCACTTCTGGTTTTCTGAGTAGTTAATTAGAGATTGTCTCATGGATTTTCCTGCCTGGGCCGACTTTGAACTATGATTTTCAGATCTCAGCCTCCTGAGTAGCTAGGATTACAGGCGTGAGCCAGTGGTACCCGGCTTGCTTTACCACTTTGAGCCACAGTACCATCAGTTTTCTGGTGGTTAATTGGAGATAAGAATCTTATGGACTTTGCTGCCCAGGCTGGCTTTGAACCTTGATGCTCAGATCTCAGCCTCCTGAGTAGCTAGGAGTACAGGCATGAGTCACTAGCACTTGGTGGTTGTCATTTTTGAGGCTAGCAGGTACAATCAAACTCCAAAGCCATAAAGTGACTATCTCTATAATCATGGAAACCTGATTTTATGGTCATAGCGAATTATCCTCAAGTATCTTTTACTCTAAAAATACCAGTCACTATGTACAACAACCTAGACCTAAAAGAGTACTGTCAGTATTAAAGATGTTCCACTTTCCCAAAGAAAACTAAAAGACTGTAGGCAACATTCACTACTGCTTATTTTCTGTGGGATAGACCTCCTGACATCCTGTCTACCTCTTTCTCCCCAGATTCAGAACTCCTCATTGGGAGGGGGCACATCACTCTTCCTTGCCTTGCTCATAACTCTCTTCCCTATCCTTTTACCAGTACTGCCTCTCTCACCATCTTTCAAAGGGTTGTAGTCATTTACCAAAGATGGCCTAATAACTGTTACAGTCTCCACTAAAATGATGGAATCAACTCAGTTAAATGCAGTGCAGCTTCATTTAATGTACTACTGAAGGAAGAAAAGGTATCTACTGAATAAACTATGTCAGATCACTAATTATACGCATCTTACAACTGATGCATCCTGACTTCAGATATTAACTAGGAAAAAAAGATCTATGAAAACAGACAGCTTCCTTTCCTCTCACATAAGAGAACCAAACCTGAGCAGACCAGGAATGCTAAGGATAACTCCACGATGTAGCAGAGATTCCACAAAGTGTATCTTTCTCAATACCTTAATAATAACAATAAAATTACATTTTAAAAGAGAGTATCACACCTACAATCCTAGCTACTCAGGAGGCTGAGATCTAAGGATCATGGTTTGAAGCCAGCCTGGCAGAAAAGTCCATGGGACAATTTTCTCCAGTAAATCATTTAGAAAAAGCCGGAAGTAGAACTATGGCTCAGATGGTAGAGTGCTAGTCTTGAATACAAAGAGGCTCAGGGAGAGTCCCCAGGCCCTAAGCCCCAGGACTTGGGGGGGGGGGAAGGGGAAGGGGAGGGCTGAAGTCAGTTCTTCCTTTTATTAAGGAAATTGAAAACATTCTTTGCCTATTGTTTAACCAGACACTTCAGTTCCTAAGTTCCTTTAATTCAACAAGTAGATAAATGCCTTTTGCAAAGAGTATGGCAATTCCAAAAAATTACCTGATTTTTGTTTTTTTTTCTTTCTGGTGCTGATGTTGGGCTTGGACTGTGGTCCTCATGTTCTCCCTTAGCTTTTTCACTAAGTTTGGTGCTCTACACTTGAGCCAGTTAGTTTTGAAGAAATGGAATAGGGTTCTGGGTGAGGGAAGTTAGCTTCTAAAACATTTGCAGTTGTCTAGGAATCCTCTTGACTTTGCCAACTTGTAACAGTTTTTAATATTTTAAAGGCACTTATTTTGTTGTTGTTGTTGGTTGTGGGGCTTGAACTCTGGACCTGGGCGCTGTCCCTGAGCTCTTCAGCTCAAGGCAAGCACTCTACCACTTGAGCCACAGCGCCACTTCCTGTTTTCTAGTGGTTTATTGGAGATAAGAATCTCACGGAGTTTCCTGCCTGAGTTGGTTTTTGAACCATGATCCTCAGATCTCAGCCTCCTGAGTAGCTAGGATTACAGGCCTGAGCCACCGGCACCCGGCTTAATTTCACTACCTTTCCTCAAATACAAAGTACACTTATGTAATTGTAGTAGAAAATCTCATTCAGGTGGACTTTAGATCAGACTTTCTTTGCTTTTATTTTTAACTTACCTAAATTATATTTTATTTTGTAGGCATAATAGCTGCAAATGTCTGTGTATTCTGTTTATGGAGAGTACCTTCTTTACAGAGGACAATGATCAGATATTTCACATCGAACCCAGCCTCAAGTAAGTTTGTTTATTTTTGTCAGTTGTGGGCCTTCAACTCATGGACTAGCTGTCCCTGAGCTCTATTGCTCAAGGCTAGTACTCTACTAGTTTGAACCCCAATGCCACTTTGTTTTCTGGGGGGTTGTGGGGGTAGGGGGAGATTGGAAGGGTTGGGTAGGGAAAACAAAGGAGGCAACAATGCTTGATAAGAAAAGTACTCATTACCTTGCCCATGTAATTGTAACCCCCTCTGTGAGGTATTTTCACAATTTGAAAAAAAAAAAGAGAAGAAAAAAAAAAGTCTCATGGACTTTCCTGCCTTTCCTTCCCCGGGCTGGCTTAGAACGGTGATCCTCAGATCTCAGACTCCTGAGTAACTAGAATTATGGGCATGAGCCACCATTGCCTGCCTCCAATTTGATTTGATTTTGAGGTAGATATAATATGGAAGAAATAATGCTATACAATCTGAGGTATTTACCAGCAATTACACGCATAGTCTGGAGAACAGACTGAACTGCTTGGGACAAGAACTTCATCTCTCTCTCTTATTGTTCTATACTGGGTGCCTGAAATATGACTTAAATATAGTAGATATATACTTTTTTTTAATGAATTAAGATCTGCAGTAAGTACAGATTTATTTCTTAGGAGGAGATTTGTGCAGCTTTATAATTGAAATTATTTATTCTGTTTCTAACTTGGTATAAGTACAAGTTGTTTTTCATTGAACTGTGAATTTCCACTGGTTGTTTACAAGTAGAAATAGTTATTAATATATATATATATATTTTTACCAATTTGGAAACTGCTGGCTTAAACAGCTTTTTTATACTTATTTAAACTCTGTGTTTGCATGTTGTGTTTAATAATAATAATGAGAAAAGTCTAAAATAGACCCTTTTTTTTTAACTTTGTGTTCCACAATTACCAGTTTTCATTTTTCTTTCTTTTATAGAGGTCCTTTGTTCTCCAATGTTGCTGTCAACATTCAGTCATTTCTCCTTATTTCACATGGCAGCAAATATGTATGTTTTGTGGAGCTTTTCTTCCAGCATAGTGAACATTCTGGGTCAGGAGCAGTTCATGGCAGTTTACCTGTCTGCAGGTAATAAGCATCTCTGAGATCATAAGCATTTCCATCTGTCTGCAGAAGGGATAAAGGGAAAGCTTAGAACCATATTCTGTACACAGTAAGTGCTCACAACATACTTGTTTCTTCACTTCTATGTAGACAAGCGTACTATTGATGGATGGCACTGTTGCCTTCTCTGCTTCTCGTTTTGTAGATTTCTGTGAGTTGTTTAGGTATGCTTGATTTTTAAGTGAGTTAAATAAAAGTTAAAGGATATGATGGAATTTAAGCATGCCATTTTTATCTCTCTGGACCTTGATTTCTTTTTCTTTTTGGCAGTCATGGAGCTTGAACTCAGGGCCTGAGCACTGTCCCTGAGCTCTTTGCTCAAGACTAGCACTCCTACCACTTTGAGCCATAGCGTCACTTCTGGTTTTCTGGAGATAAGGGTCTCACAGACTTTCCTGTGTGGGCTGGCTTCAAATCAAAGTCCTCAGATCTCAACCTCCTGAGTAGTTAGTATTACAGATGTGAGCCACCAGTGCCCGTCTTTGGACCTTGATTTCTTTAGCTGAGTTTTAAGATTTGCAGCTATTTCAGTCACCTGTGAAATAACTTCACACAAGCTCACTTCCCTAGTGTGTTCAGTTTGCAGATTGCTTTAGATGAGAGCAGTGCAATGTGATTGTCAAAAATAGAGGATGTTCCATCTATCTTTTTTGCAAGAATTCTGTTGGTGTGGGGCCACTTCCTACTTCTGGTCCTGGAGATGGCATCATCTTTGTATTTCAGTTGAAAAGTGGTTGCGCATGATTCCAGGTCGCTACTATTGCTAAGTTGATGTTGGTCAATTTTTCCTTAGAGTTACTAATAAAATTTATACATTTGCAATAGAGAGCTATTTGCAAATTTTACTTAAAACAGTACAATATAAAAATTTATTTCTAAAGTTGTACATTTAGAAAACATCTAGCTGGAGCAGGAAACTCTTGCCTGTGATCCTATCTACTTAGGAGGCCGAGATCTGAGGATTGGAATTTGAAGCCAGCTGGGGCAGGGAAGTCCATGAGACTCCAGTCCCCAGTTAACTGCCAAAAAAGCCAGAAATGGAGTGGTAGCTCAAGTGATAGAATGCTAGCCTTGAGCAAAAAAGCTTAAGAATAGTGCCCAGGCCCTGAGGTTCAAGCTTTAAGACATACAAAAAATACTATCTGGCAGTTGTTCTGTAGTGAAGAAATCTCTAGATTTGGATTAAGAACCTGTTTATACTACCAGCTAGCTGGGTGAGGTTGCAGAAATGACTACACCTTTCTGCAGATAGTGATACTTAACTTCTTGTAATAGGGTCTTATAAAAAAGAGCAAATAAAAGCACCTGCCACAAGCCCCAAGTTAAGTGCTTAATCAGTGTTGATTTCTCATGAGTACCTATCTGGTTCCTCAGAATAGAAGCTAGGCAATCCTTTTGGCCTCTAAGGTAAAATACTGTTTTTTCTCTAATACTAGTTATGTTGCTGTTTTATAGGAAGGATTTTTGTTTGTTTGTTTTTTCTTTAATGAGTCACATTGAGCTCAAATGGTATTGAAGCCAAAGGGAGCTCATGGATCACCTAATATTCTAGCCCAGAGGATTCTGGGACAGTTGATGAGTTTGAGAACTAGCTTTTTCTTCATGTCACAGAAGAAGAAAATGGTAACTGACAGGTAAAGTGGTTGCCCCACTGTCACTCAGAAAGTCCTAACAGTCTTTCTCTGAACTAGCAGGGCTGATGTGCAGGATAGTACTCATACTAGCACCTTAGAGGGATCCAGAAAGAAATCTAACATTGCTGAAACAGGAGGATTATGGGCTTCAAGGTAGCTTGAATTTTAGAGTGAGATCCTGTCTAAAAACAAATAAAAACAAAATACCCAAAAGATAAACAAAGTATTGACACTATTAAACTGTGTGGAATGGAGATTAAAAAGTGGAAAACAAGGGCTGGGAGTATAGCTCAGTGGAAGAGCCATTTGCCTAGCATGCATGAGACATGAGACTTTGGGCTCTCTCCTCCCACCACCAAAAACCAACCACACCATTTTTTAATACTTAAATTATTGAAATATGACTTATTTCTCAGGTGTTATTTCCAATTTTGTCAGTTATGTGTGTAAAGTTGCCACAGGAAGATATGGACCATCACTTGGTGCAGTAAGTATTTCTAATTTAAACAATTTCTAATGTAATTTTAAAATTAATTTTGAATTAGTTTTTAAGTTTAAAATAATTATATACTTACAAGTAGGTTGCAAAATTCATAGTTTTCTATACACCCTTCACCCTGTATCTTACAGAACCACAGTACAGTTATCAGTATAAAGAGATTAATGTTTAACTGATCTGCTTTTAATTTAAGGGTTGATACATATGTAGAACTTTCTAATTATCAGGGTATACAACTTAACCATTGGTCATTTGTATTTATATACTGGAATAGAGTACTTATCAAGAAGAGTATTTCAAAGTAGTGATGAATATCTGATCCTCATGAACCAGCACTGGAAAATTCTGGCTAATTACAGATTTGAACCTGGTGCTATTCTGTCCTGCAAAGTTGCTTCTGGGTAGGCAAGACTTGTTAGGTACTTGTGCTGGACCCTAGAGATAGTAGCAAAGATGCTCAAGATCCCTGCCCTCAGCAGTTTATATCCTGGATGCTTAAAATTTTAAATATACATATTAATATAGATATAGTGGATATTTATACTTTTTAGTTCAAAAGCAGAATTCTAGATACATAGAAATCTTTATATTTCTTTCTTTTTTTTTTTTGTCAGTCATGGGTCTTGAACTTTGGACCTGGGTGCTGTCCCTATGCTCTTCAGCACAACTCTACTGCTGTACCACTTGAGCCACAGTGCCACTTCTGGTTTTCTGGTGGTTAATTGGAGATAAGAATCTCATGGACTTTCCTGCCCAGGCTGGCTTTGAACCATGATCTTCAGATCTCAGCCTCCTGAGTAGATAGGATTACAGGCATGAGCCACCAGTGCCCAGTTATATAATATTTCTTTAAAGACAATACATTTAATTTGTACTTACATATAATGCATTCAAGTGCATTCAGATAGGAGATTTCACATTTAAAGGAATTCTAAGGACTTTCTAGAAAAAAATTTTTGTGTATGTGTCTGTTTTTTTTCTAATTTGTGTGTTCCTTGGATTTGTTCATACTTGATCTTCCTAATGAGGTCTATATCTTATCTAATGGTATGCATGCTTTCCTGTTTAAGTTAGGAATTTTTGTTTTCTACATAAAAATTGCTGTGTGTGTGTATGTGTGTGTATGTGTTCGTTTGTTCACGTTACCTACCTTATTCAGCAACTAAGCAAGCACCTTTGAAATCAATGAACACCACTAGGTGGAATCAGACTTGAAAGCAAACATCTAAGGCATGCAAAGTTGAGAAATTTTCCAGGGGACTTTGGAGTCTTGAGGGTGGGGAGACATTAGCTAGAAGGATCTAAGAGGGCATTTTCATGAATTCTTTGACAACTTTTTTTATTTTTTGACCGGTCAGGGGGCTTGAATTCTGGGCCTGGGCGCTGTCCAAGTTCTTTAGCTCAAGGCGAGTGCTCTACCACTTGAACCACAGTACCACTTCCTTTTTTTTTTAATGTTGGTTGTAGGGCTTGAACTTGGGGCCTGGGTTCTGTCATTGAGCTCTTTTGCTCAAGGTTAGCACTCTACCACTTTGAGCCACAGTACCACTTCCAGTTTTCTGGTGGATAATTGGAGATAGGAGTTTACAGACTTTTCTGCCCAGGTTGGCTTTAAACCGTAATCCTCAGATCTCAGGCTCTTGAATAGCTAGAATTACAGGCGTGAGCAACCAGTGCTTGGCTTTGTAAAGTCTTATTCTAATTTTATGGATTAAAAAGCTGAAGTCCAAAATTAATAAAATGTGGCAGCATGGAATTTGGAATTAGAGTGGGATTGAATCTCAACTTTGCCACTTATTATTGCATTATTTCTGATTTAAGTGCTTGCTTGGAAAGGCGTACATAGTAAGAAATGTATAGTTGCATTTTCTATGCACCCGTCAAAATACTCTACAGACTGAATCCAGCCAAAATCCTCTGTCCTCAAAGTAGAATAAAATAATCTTCAAGCATTAAAAAAAAATTTCTTTACCCGTGATAGGGTGTGTGTGTGTGTGTGTGTGTGTGTGTGTGTGTGTGTGTGTGTGTGTGTGTGTGTGTGTGTGTGTGTAAGAGAGGGTGTGTAAGAGAGGGTGTGTACTGGAGCTTGAACTCAGAGTCTGTCACTTAACTTTTGAGATCAAGGCTGGCAGGCTGGCACTTTACCACTTGAGTCATAGCTCCAATTCCACCTTTTTAGTTGTTAGAGACGTGTCTCAAGGACTTTCTTGTCCTGACTTTGAATTGTGTTCTACATAATTCAGTCTCTGAGTAGTTAGGATTGATTTTTATTCTGTATTATTCCCCAGCAGTCATGTCCTAGGAAGGTACTGTGAAGGGTGTCTCTTGCAAAACTACATTTTCCTAATGTGAACTCCTAGACTATAAGGAAAATGTTCACTCTCTTTATGAGACTGAATAAATTTCACCTGGATTAAGATAAAGCATAACACTTAGAAGCAATTCCATGCATGTATGTGTTTCTCTGGGAGAACTGGGAGAGCTTTGTTAGACACTGATGGATTGGTGCAGGTGCACACTTAGCACTGTATTGTAGTGTAGTTAACACTAACAGCTGGTGGTTCTATACCTTACTGTCCTGTAACATGGCTGTGACAAGCCCTGGCAATGTGAACCTTTGAGACACATGGGCCACAGGGATTGTGCGTGGAGTTTGCCATTCTCTCAGCGTTTGTTCTTTTGTAGTCTGGTGCCATCATGACGGTGCTTGCAGCAGTCTGCACTAAAATCCCAGATGGAAGGCTGGCCATCATCTTCCTCCCTATGTTCACCTTCACAGCAGGGAACGTAAGTACCTTGGGGGAGGGCCAGGGACAGTAGTGTTTGTACAGTGACTTAATGTCAGTGTTGGAGGAATCAGAGTTGTACCATTTCTGTTCTCTCTTGCTGGCTTTTTCAGGCCCTAAAAGCCATTATCGCCATGGATACGGCAGGAATGATCCTGGGATGGAAATTTTTTGATCATGCAGCACATCTTGGGGGAGCCCTCTTTGGAATGTAAGTGTGAGCAGAAATGATTGTTGAACTGCTCCCTGGGACCCCTGCTTGCCCTCTTCCCTGGCTTGTCTCTTCTCACTAGTGCCGTGCAGACAGGCCAAGCTTGTGGAGTCATTGCTTTGTAGTATGTGTACAGGAAGGATAGTACTGAGCATCTTTTACATTTAGTACTGAGCTATTGAGTACATGGTACTATTGCTCCTCCAGTTTTACTGATGGGAAACAGGCTTAGGACCAAACACATGTTTATCCATAGTCCTGGCCACCCCAGCATAACAGATTGAACAAAAGCAGCATATGGTCACAGCATTTCCATTTGTGTTCAGGTGTGGGTTTTTGCATAAAATGTGGAAGTTGAACAGCAGCTTTATCCTGGAAATTTCCCAGAACTCTGGAGCCCATCTGATAGCCTCCAGCAGCATAGTTGACTATTAGATGGCTCCTTCTACTATTGGCCTATCTTGCCTTATATAAATGTTGCTTTTGCCCTTTGTTTAAAAGTTTTATGATGCCAGTGGCCTGTAATTCTAGCTACTCAGGAGGCTGAGATCTGAGGATCATGGTTCAAAGCCAGGCTAGACAGGAAAGTCCATGAGACTCTTATCTCCAGTTAACCATCAGAAAACTGAAAGTGGGGGCTGGGAAGGTGGCTCAGTGGTAGAGCGCTTGCCTTGCATGCTCAAGGCCCTGGGTTCAATTCCTCAGCACCACATAAGCAAAAAGAAAAAAGCCGGAAGTGGCGCTGTGACTTAAGTGGTAGAGCGCTAGCCTTGAGCTGAAGAGCTGAGGGACAGTGCCTAGGCCCAGAGTTCAGGCCCCACAACTGGACCCAAAAAAAAAAAAAAGAAAGAAAACTGAAAGTGGTGCTGTGGCTCAAAATGGTAGAGTGAAAGATCTCAAGGACAGCACCCAGACCCCAAATTTAAGCTCCACAGGTGACAAAAAAAAGTTTCATGACAATGTAAAACTTTCCTAATTAAAACAGAATAGAAAAATCTATTCATAAGTCAAACAGTTTTGCCTATTAGGTGGTGGAACTAAATGCCATTATACCATTTATAATTTTCATGATTACAAAATAGTGCATGTGAGTTCCAGCTTTAGCTTTACGGCAACACATTATAAATAGTAGGAAATGACCTGCTATTAAGTATGAGAAACAGATAATGAAAAAAGGTCTTTTCTGTGAGCTCTCATGTATGTGTATCAGGATACTCTTATTTCTCCAGCAAGTTTCTCTTCTAATCTCTAATTAGATGGCCATTTTCAGTTTTGAAAGTAATTGGATCAAATATAATTTAAAGCCGAAGATCTAAAGGTAGAGGAATCCTTTCTCTTTGTTGTTTGTTAATTTCAACTCCATTTCATTTACTCTATCTAAATCATATCCAGAAGTTATCTTTTCTATCATCTTTAAAATTAATTGGAGCCAGGTACCAGTGGCTTATGTTTGTAATCCAAGCTGCTCAGGAATCTGAGATCTGAATATCATGGTTTAAAGCCAGCCCATGCAGGAAAGTCAGTGAGACTCTGATCTCTAATCAGTCTCCCCAAAGCCAGAAGTGGAGCTATGGCTTCAAAACACACTAGCCTTGAATGAAAAAGCTCAAGAAGAGTGCCCAGACCCTGAGTTCATGTCCCAGTACTGGCGTGCGTACACGCGAGCACACACGAGAGTCAGGTACAAATCAAGCCCTTCATAAATACACCTTGAGAATATTTTGAAAATTTTGAAATTTTAGCCTGCTACTCTGATATCAGTTTAAATGAAATAGAGCATTTTAAAAATTAGGTGTTGGGAAAAGTGATGATGAACAGACTCTGATGTCTGCCTCAAGGAGTATGGAGTCTGGGGCTGCAGGGAAGCAGAAGTACAGGTTGCACGAGTAGAAACTTTGTGAGTTGCTGTTACGCCTGTGCCTCCAAGATCCATGCCAGCCTTCCCTGTGCTCCCCTGAAGGGTGGCAGACATCCTGAGGTCCCCTGCAGCCTGTGCTGTCCCACTCAGTGCTGCCTTCCTCCGTGCCTGGCTGCTCCCTCTGGTGGCAGGGTGCACAGTAGTTAGAGCCCAGGTCTCTGTGGCAGGTTTGAGTCTTAGTCTGATGATTCCTACTCACAGTGCCTGAGAAGTTAATGTCCTACAGCTCTCAAAGCTTGTTTCCTTTGCTTATTGTCTCAGTTAGGCAAGCTTTGCCAAGGCATGAGGATTGGAACAGCATTCATGGGGACTGGAAAAGAATTTGGATCCTTAGACCTTGCTGTGTGTAGCACGGAGGAAGATGATAGGAGACATGTCCTCCATTCCAGCTGTCATTAGTAAATTCCATTGACATCTCTTAGGCTTTGCAGCAGTCTGAGCTGGGATAGAAGGTATTACTAGCACCTTGGGAAAATTATTTTCTTTTGAACTAGGCTTCCTCAGGCCTCCACTGGGAAAGCTGTACTGATCCTTCAAGGCAGGGATGAGTCCAAAGTAGCAGAACTTCTGCCTCAAATATACAAAACCCAGTTCAAGCTCCAGTACTACAAGAAGCAGTATAAAATTTTCATGTAGTTGCATTCACCCATTGGCCTATCCTACTTCAGCCTTTTATATGCTCTGCATATTAAAGCTAATTCATTTATCTATTAGCAAGTAAATAATCATCTATTTGATGTTTTGGCTGTGCTGGGAAGTGATCCCAGGGCCTCCCACAAGTGCTGTACCACTGAGCTATACCCGGACCCTAATCATCTATTTTAATAAGCTACATAGTAAATATCAGTGGCACTGAATTTTAAAACTGTCAACTTGATATATCATGATGGTACTTATATTTTTATGTCAGACTGCTTGAATATCAGATCTCATTTGTTTTTCTTTTCTCCAGATGGTATATTACTTATGGGCATGAACTCATTTGGAAGAACAGGGAGCCTCTAGTGAAAATCTGGCATGAAATGAGGACTAATGGCCCCAAGAAAGGAGGTGGCTCTAAGTAAAGCCAGGGCTGGCCAGTACTGGTGCAATGACCTGTCTGCTGGGAGCTCCGGGAGTGCCTGCCGTGAGGGACCACGGCCTCGCTCCTGCCCAGAGGACACCCGGCAGCCAGCCTCCCACGCACTGCAAACTGCCCTCCAGTGTACATTGTCTCAGAAAGCGAATTATGGCACAGTTGTGAAATAAAGGTTTATATCTCTAGTTTGTAAACAGAGGGTATGTCTTACCTTTCAGAGCACTGGTGCTACTCCAGCAGCTTGTTTTTTGGTTGTTGGATGTGACAGGCCTGATAGCAACTTAGAAGCCTTTGGGTCTGACATACTCCTTTCCTTGTTCAGTTGACAGTAAAATGTTGAGAGTCTTCTCTCTGGCATAGCCTGAAATAACAACTGCAGTATTTTCTAAATGTTCCAGAGAAAGGTAGTGTTTTCTGGCACTGAGTGGCACATACAAAAGCTATTTTTAGGCTTTGCTTTCTAGGTTAAAACTGTAGCTAAATTAAGCCAGGGAAGTGACTTGGATAAATTCAGACTTGAATCTGAGCCCTGTTGCACTTTACATTTGAAACTGTGCATTCTAATTGAGGCACCCTTCTGAGATGCCAGACCATGGTAAGCTCGGCCTGCTGCAGTGAATTGAGGCCCCGATGTTAGCCTTGTTCAGGCTGGGTACACTGAGCCATCTGAGTGGCAGGGTTGGGGAGCATTGAGAGCTGTACTTCCTCAGCAAGATGGGAACCAAGTAGCCTGAGGAACATCATGTGGCTAGCTCTTAAAGTCCAGTATTTCCAGTTCGTTGTATCCTTCTCCCACCAAGCTGAAATCACCTCTGCTGTGTAATACCACTTACACTTAGCACGCATTCTTTCCTAGCAGCCCTTCTGGAAAAGATAATTTTAACCAAGCCTTTGCTTTGGATGGGGGAAGGGGACTTTGCCACAACATTTCTACACGTGTTAACAACCTTTTATTAGCTGAGGTAAGATGTTTCCAAAGATGGGACAGGAGGCTGAGTTCTCATGATGTTTACATCTTGCCACAGTCAGAACAGGAAAACAGCCAGTGAGGACATTGGCCTGTGTTCCTGCTCTGTGGCAGTGAAGGGATGTTTAGAAGTCTCTAGAAAGCTAGGAGTAGTGACCTATACCTGTAATCCAAGCACTCAGCAGGCTGAGGCAGGAGGATTAGAAGTCTGAGACCAGTCGAGGCTACACAGATTCTGTTCCCAAAAAGGTGTGTAAGGTCAAGCTTGGGAGTGTGCTTCAAGATATAGATAGAATGCCTGTTGATAGAATGCCTGTTTAGCGTTTTAGGCTTTAGCATGGGTTCAATCCCCAGCACAACAAAAAGGAAAAAAGAGAAGTATATGAATCATTCCCTCACATAAAGTCCCTCAGCACTGGAATCTTTGGACAGGGAAAAACCATGCTTCCTACAAGTGTCTGGGAGGTCCTGGGCCTCATGCTGCCTCTGCGAGGCCTGGATGCAGTTCCCTCTCCTACTAGCCCACTAGGGCAGTGAGAATTCTTAGCTTGGTTTCTCTGCCAACCCTGATCACTGCCTTCCTGACTCATGTACCATTTGAGCTGTACGGCCTCTGAAGTGAGGAGTCCCCTGAATGCCACCTGCCATTGTGTAGCCTCCCTCTGCAGTCACAGCCATAGACCTGTTGAGTCTTCCCCTCATTCAATAAATGGCAGCACATCGAGGGGTCCAGGTGCTAGGACCACCCTGTGCACACATCCCCCTTTATCACTCCAGCCCAAGGCATGGCACCACCAACTGCTGAAATGAAGCCAATTTTGGCTTCTCTGTCTCACCTCTTACTTCTAGAACCTTGCTCCACTCATGCCCAGTTTCTGAGCCTATTTGGTGCAGTTCTCATCTTCAGTCCTTGCACTGTGGAGACTTTTAGCGGGTCTGGCCTCTTAAATGTCTCGTATTTCTCCATATGGCTACCAGGAACACCTCAATCATTCCTGTGGTCAAAAAAAAAAAATTCCTGTGTGGCCACCAAAGCCACCTATCTGCACTCTGCTACTCTTTCTAATCCTTATCCATCCTCTTGCCTTACCATAGGTGTGAATCCAGCCTTCCCTTCCTGTTTGTGCAGCCTTGGCGTGGTCCAGCTTTGTGTCTGGATGCCCAGCACAGTAAACCTGTGGGCACCAGCATTACTCCTAGCACACAGCAAGGACTTACTTGTTTGATGAATAAAGAAAGAAAAGGGGTTGGGGTGTGTCTCTGTGGCAGAACACTTGTCTAAGCATGCACAAGGCCCTAGGTCCCCTCCCCAGCACTGGAAAAAATTAAAAGCTGCTTTTCTTCTCTGCAGGAGTATTGAAGACACCAACTTGATGTGCCAGGCTAACCCAGGGCCTGGTACAGAGTTCACAAAGGCATCTTGCTCTGGGCCTGGAGAGCTGGTGCATGGGGCTCCCCTAAGCACACCCCTGCCTTTTTTTTTTTTTCTCTCTTTCCATTCACCTTCTGAGAGCAGACTTCCTTGGTAGTGGTAGGAGGCTTTTTGATCTCCAGACCCCATTGGCTGTATCTGAATGGCAGTTCAATGAATGTGAATAGAAAGTATACATAGCTGCCTGGTGGGCCATGGCCTGGTCTGCTCAGTAGGCTCCTTTGCTATGATTAAAGTGATGTTTGGAGAGATGAATGGACTGACTGGTCAGGACCGTACCGCAGTCCTCTGAGATGCAGACTGGATCTTTTCCAAGTGCAAGCTTGAGAGTGCTGGCTAATTCAGCTTCAATTGTGTTATTGGCAATTGGTCTGCAATGCATACGGAGGATGAATGAGAGACTCAGCCTTCAGAGGGTGGCTAGGAAGTTGTTTCTGTCCCTGTCCTGCACTAAACTGACCTTTAGCTGGACGGTTACCCTCACTTAACTGCATTGGAACAATGGAACAATCATGCACCGAACAGTGGAGACAGGAGCCGTCTCCATCTGCGCCCGCCTCTGCGAAGCCCATTACAGGCTGGGAACTTTGGATCCAAGTTGGGCAAGACCGCGGGCGGCTTCGGGTGCCCCCTGGCGCCCGCAGGCCTTCGGTGGTGCCCGCTCTCCCCCGGCCTTCGCCCGCACCGGCTGGGGGGGAGCTGCGGAGGGCGGCGCGGCGCTTCGCCCTGCGGGGCGCACAGCCCAGGCTGGGGGGCGGCGCCGCGGCGGCGCAGGGGGCCGCGGGGGCGGGGCCGCGGGCGGGAGCGGCGCGGCCCGGAGCGCGCGGCCCGGCGCGGCGCGGCGCGGCGCGCACGGGGACCGGCATGGCGTGGCCCTGCATCAGCCGCCTGTGCTGCCTGGCGCGGCGCTGGAACCAGCTGGACCGCTCCGACGTGGCGGTGCCGCTGACCCTGCACGGCTACTCGGACCTCGAGGGCGAGGAGCCGGGCTCGGGGGGCGCCGCCGCCAGCAGGGGCCCGTCGCCGGCCGTCGTCGCCCGGGACCCCGGCCGGGACGTGCCGCTCACTCAGTACCAGCGCGACTTCGGCGTGTGGACGGCGCCCGCGGCGCCCCGAGACGCGGGAGCCCGCGATGCGGCCCAGGGACGCGGGCCGGGGGCTGGCGGCCGCAGGAGCCGCGGCGCGGCGCCCCCCGCCCGGGGCGTCTACGTGCTGCCCCTCGGCGACGCGGACGCCGCCGCAGCGACCACATCGTACAGGTATGGCCTGGCGCCGGGGGAGCCGGGGCCGGGGCGGGAGGACCGGGTGGGGAGGAGGTGGAAGAGCCCAAGTCCCGCACGACCTCGAGAGCCTCCGGCGGACTCGGAGGTCAGGTCGCGCTCCCGCCCCGACACCGCAGGCGCCGTCCAGATTGGCAGCCGCGGACCGGGAGCTCCCCGCCCGCCCGCCCTCCTCCCGGAGCCCGCTGCCGCCTCGGGCAGAGGGTCGGTCCCCAAGGCCTGCCTGGCAACCGAGCTTCCCCTTAATTTCTATGGGGCGGGAGTAGCCACACCGGGGGTGCACGGATGGACCCCCACCCCTAGGCCAGGGCCTGCCATGGGAATGTTAGGGTCCCGGCTACACCTCGACCGAGGACGGGGTTGGGGGGAGGGTGTCTGCGGGACAACTGGGGGCGTCCTCCTTCTGCACTTACAAAAGTAACACTGTAGGGGAAAAAAAATGGAACTGGGCTAACCAATATTGCCTCAACCACTTCCCAGATCGATGGTGCTAAGTCTTACTGGACTCAGTACTCATGGCTCCCTTCTCCCTGCCACTTTCCCCCACTTACTGTGGATGTCTGGCCATGTTATGGGCTGGTTTACAACATGAATCTTAATAAATGTGTTGTTTATCCTATGTGTATGTGTGTGTATATATATGTATATATATCCTAATGCTTACTCCCTTACTGGTATTTATGCAGCCTCTAAGTTGAGGCTATTAAACACTTCCATTATGGCAGGAATTTCCCCCTCAGGTTCCTTGAAGGTGGGGTGGGAGGTCAAGGATGTTTGAGCTAGCCCATTGTCCTGATGTGGGGATGGGCTGTTTACAGCACAGCCACAGGATGGGGAACGACATGCACAGTAATGGGACCCCTTAAACATACAAAACTCAAGGAAGCAAAGTGCAGAACAAGCTCCTTCACTTGTATGCCCTGATTAAGGAACTTGATGTGGCTGTGGCAGCAGGGTGTGTTTTGTACTCACTGACAGGTGCTCGTCAAGCTGCTTGGCATTTGAGTGGCACTGTTTGTGGCTGGGAAGGCAGGGCTCTTGTAGGGCAGGTGGCAGGTCTGACTACCACTGATGGGTGTGCACCTTGCAGAGTGGTGGGATTGCAGAAGGGACAGAAGCCCTCCCTGATCAGACAGGTCTAGCCCTGTACTGAGCAGCAGGGGGGTAGCAAGGGCCGTCCCTCACCCATCCAGCACAGGTTGAGCTGGAATGTGGCCGTGAGTCCTCTTAGCACTCAGATGGCATGGGTACTAGTTACCACTTTCTCCACTTAGCATACACAGGTACTAGGTTCCATGCTTGTTGTGGGGTAACTCCAAAGCCTGTTAGCCATCCCTGTTCCTCAACTGAGTGGCTAGTGCAAGATGATCCAGCTTTGACAGGCAGAGCAGGTTGAGGAACCCACCTCTTGCCTCAGAGATCAAAGGTATAGCCCCAATGGTTTCTTGAACCAGGTCCCAAAGCCAGCAGTGGAAAAGACTGAAAGATGCGAAAGGGGCCTCTGCAGAGTTCTTTCTGGTGTGTAAACTCTGCTTCTCCAGCACTTTCCTCCTCTGGAGGGTAGGAATAGCAAGAGATTGGCTGATTGGGCCTTTGCCCCCAGCTCAGGCAGACACAGAATCACTGAAGAACTTGGCTCCTTGCAGCATCATACCCACTAGCCTCTGAGACCTGGCTCAAGCAACTCCATTCTGCCTTCCATCTTGAAAGATGTACATCATCTAAGGAAGCTGCTCACAAAATTCAGAAAGCAAATGGATAGAGGGACCTCAAAGACATCCCAGAGGTGTGGCCACTCCCAAGCTACAGTTCTTGAGTCTTTATGAATCCATAGGCCTCATCCTCTCCCAAAAGAAGGGTCTTGCTTTTCCTAATCACCAAGCAAGATCAGTGTTCGTTTGCCTGGCGAATGGTCTTAGGAAGTCTTGTACTGCTAGCTGGGGTCCTGTCATGGTGGCACCTGCTAGCACCTCACTTAGACTTCTCTCTGGCTGTTCAGTACTTTGGCTGAGGCCCATGAGGTGGGTTGATAGAGGAGCGTGCTTAGAACACTGTAAGGGGTTGGCACACAGTGGGCACAACCAAGCTTATATTTTAAAATCATCTTGGCGGGAGCCATACTCTGCCTTCCTCCTTTTCTGGGCAGTCACCAGGCCCTGCTGATTTCATCTTATGTCCATTCTGTGTCCCACTAAAGTGCCTTTCTGCCAGGGTGGCCTCTTCCCGTGTGGGCCCAGGGATCTTACTAGGCCTTGGTGTTGAACCCTTCCTGCCTTGGGACAGCAGCTCAGCTCAGGTGATGGGGGACAGAAGGGCACACGCAGGGGAGGACCTGCTTCCCTAGGAGACAGAGCAGCAGATGGTTTGGGCAGCTGGTCTTTTGAATCTTGCAGTTTCAGAAGCAAAAACTACCTGACAGCCTGGCCCAGCCCTCTTCCTGGCACCCAGGGCTCCCTGAGTGCTGACAACGGATAGACACTGCCCTCCCTGTCCATGCTGACCTCCCAGCAAGGCCCCAGCTGTGTTGCTGCCAAGAAGAAAAGGCGCCTTTGTTGACCTCAGGGCTTGAGGCCAGGCCGGAGCACATCTAGCGTGGGCTGCAGAGGGGCGCGAGCAGCCCAGTGCACAGGCAAGTGCTGTACTGACCAGGCAGTCCGTGACCATGGGAACCCAGCCTTCCTGAGCTCCCTGTCTAAGCAGGGAGATTCTGATAGGATAACAAGTGGTCTGAGCTGGGTGCTGATGGCTTACACCTGCAATTATAGCTGCTCCAGGAGGCTGAGATCTGAGGTTCATGGTTCAAAGCCAGCTGAGGCAGGGAAGTTCATGGGACTCTTATTTCCAGTTAAGCACCAAAAAAGCAGAAAGTGGAGCTATGGCTCACTAGCTAGCCTTGGGCAAAAGAGCTAAGAGACAATACCTCAACCCCGGAGTTCAAGTCCCAGGACTGGCACGGAAAACAAAACAGAGGTTTGGTTGGCTCTGAACAATGAAGTCTTCCCACCAAAAGCTGCCCATAGGACATGGGACGGGGCTATAACATCTCTGTCCTTCCCTCCATGGAACTGGCTTCCCCCACGCAGATCTGCTTCCTACCTGGAGTCTCAAGAAGCTCTCAAGTCCATTCCTCAAAACGCCTAGAACCCTGCAAAAGCCAGGCCATCTTGCAGCTTTTGAGATGGCCACTATCAGTCACTCCCAAATGCATACACATTTACATATATACATGTCACATACATTCTTGAGAATGCTGACCTTTCTTAAGCCCCCTGTTATAATCAGGTACAGAGAACCTTGCTGTGCTAGGGACTGTCTAGGCTGGCACTTCCTCTAGTCATAAGTGGCCTAGCCTCTGGAGAAGTTTCAAGACTAGACAGCAGGACTTACCTGTTGCTAAGGCCCAACATACCAGAGGTTGCCATTTTGGGGGCAAATAAGGCCCAGGTGCTGAGTTCTGCCCTTACTGGGCTTGTTGTCACCTGTACCATGAAAGTAAGTTAGAGGTTAGGGCTGGCAAGGACTTCTGGCAAACACTCAGGCAAAGGGCTGGACAGGTGCGGTCTGTCTGGGCCACCTGCTCTGCCATTATTGCCTGTGTAAGGAGAATGAAGAGTCAGCTGGGCTGAAGCAGGATCGCAGCGGGGGACAGGGCCTTGCACTCCAAGGCCCTGATGACTGTGCAAGGTTATGCCTCTATTTTTCTGTTACAGGCAAGAGTTCCAGGCTTGGACCGGGGTGAAGCCCTCAAGATCCACCAAGGCAAAACCAGCTCAGGTCATCACAACCCACACTTCTGGATGGGATGGCAGCCCTGGACCAGGTTTCCAGGTTAGTCCAAGTGGGCAGGGCTGCAAGGGTTGGAGCCCCAGATATCTCTTTTACAGGATAGGGATCTAGGAGCCAGATTCTGGTAGCACCAAATGGCATTAAGATCAAGGACAGCAGTGCCTGGTCAACCTTAACAGAAAACCAAGCACTTGTCTTTAGCCAGGTGCATGTCTATAGTGTTGGCTTCTTGGTGGGCAGGGTCTCCTTCCAAAATCCCAACCCATCCAACTCACAAGTGCTGGGAGGGGACATAGCTTAGTACTGGGCCACAGGTAAAGTCTTGGGGTCCATCCCCAAATATGCATTTGTGTTGAGGGAAGGGAAGAGATTGGGTTGGTGGAAGTGAGTTCACTGATGTAACCATGTTTCACTTTTCAGGTTCCTGAAGTGAGGAAGAAATTCACGCCTAACCCGTCAGCCATCTTTCAAGCTCCAGCTCAGAGGATTCTCAATGTGTGATGGCCCTGGTTGGGTGGGCAGCAGACACCATGGCTGCCAGAGCACCGAGGAGCAGGCTCAGGGCCCTGGGCTGAGAGCCTGGCTCAGTCCTCTATCAGGAGGGGCCTGAGTGCGATGGCATGGAGGAGTGGTACAGGGAACACACCATCACCAGCTCCACTTGGCCTTGCCAACCTCATGTGAAGACTTCCTGTTAACAATTGCCATTCGGCCTCCTTGGGCTTTTACATCTCAGGAAGCTGAGGAATATGGATGTATCAGGTCCTCAGCAGAACCAGTTAAGCCCACTTTGGGTGGCTTCCCCAGGTTGCATGATAGTTTTATTCATTTTATAGCCTATGGTAACTCCAGGCAGTATCCTTGTGTCTTCCTACAATGGCTTGGGTGTTTCAGTCATGGAAGGTTATCATCTCCTAGTGACAGCATAGTGATGCTGAATCACTGGGAATGTTTCCCAAAGAAAAGTAGGGATCACGGGGCTTCAAGACAGTTTCTTCACAGCCAAGATGATCCCCATGTTTCAGCAAGCCATTTCTTGGGATGAGTGAAGTATTCAAAGTACAAGTTTCATTTACCTGTGGTGGTTTCTAAAGGGTGGACCCTGTATTTTATTACCCACTTTGTTTTAACACAGGAAAGATTAGAAGGGAACCAACATGCACAGGCCTTAGCACTGGGAGCACTGGTGCCAATGTGGCCTCATCACCAGCCCTTCCTCCACCCCTGCCTCCCTCCCCCCCTCCTGCAGTGAACCTGTGGCAAGGGTAGCTCTTCATCTTTAGAAGGCCCTTAGGTCTTAAATCCAGCCAGTGTGGCTGCCTGGCCTGCTCTGCATATCAGCCCTGCAAACATCTGAAGAGCTGATGTGTGTGGCATGGACGTCTCCAGTAAAGGAACCAACTTTGGCAGGATGGTTTCTCAGCCCGCAGGTGGCTCTTGTCTATGCAGCATGTGGCTCCTGGTGGTGGCACTCAGGTTTCAGACCCGGAAGTGAGCATTTCCTAACTCAGCGCCCCAGGTACTGGCTGAGGCAGCCACAGGCCTCCTGCACAGCAGCACAGGACACATGGGGCTGAGGGTCAGTCTGAAGCTAGACTGGAACTGCTGTGCAGGAAGGGGCCTGTCACTTCCCTTGCTGGTTTGCATGTTCCATGTTGCTGAGTGACTGCCTGCTGGGCATTTTAATGTGGGAGGTGAGCAGATTAACTGCAGTCTGACTACTAAAATGCAAAAATGTACTGTTCTGATTTCTTAATTTATGTCTTTAAGTGAATACATGAATACCTTCTCACACCTTTTTAATCCCATCTCTCAATACTAAGAACCTTAATGTAGAGGGAGATCTAAGCTGTCCTTGCTAAGGGACAGAGGTCCTGTAGGTATGTTGTGCGCATCCTCACCCAGGACCACGGGGAAAGGGCTGCCTGTGCTGCTGGTCCTGGGTGCCAGCTGTGCTTTTTGCTAGCTGTGTGCTGTGGGACCTTTGGCTTCATCTACAAGCAAAGCTGCTACCACCCAAACCTGTGGGTTTATTAGGCACTCAAGCTTGCACACAGGATGAGCACAGTAAAGCCTCCCAAGGCAGCTGCTTGAGTGATTTCTTTCCTCAGCATCTCTACCCTGGTGCCAACCAGTTTGCACCTGTGCCACAGGGCCTCAAGCCCACAGCCTCACTCAAGCCCTTCCCAGGGCCCACTGGGAAGCCCACACACTTGATGCTTTGGTTCTCTTGCCTGGGGTTGCAGGCTCCACTGCCCCTGGCTGGCACAAAACAGTCCTGCTCCTTCCTACTAGCAGCTGCAGAGCCTTCCTGCACAGGTGAAATGCTATCCAGGACCTCTGCAGTGCTGCAGACTGCCCTGCATGGACACCCCAACACCACAGCTTTCCCTGCCAGGCTCCATCAGTTACCAGGAAACCTGGCTCTTAAACCCACCTATCTGCTCCCCACTGTGCCCCACAGTAGTCTAGGACCCCAATAGCACCTGAGTCAAGTCTCAGCTGTGTGCATCCAGTCTACACCAACCTTACACAGACACTATATGCAGATGGCAGGAAATGACTGAGACTGACCACTATCTCTGAGAAGGGCATCATGGGTAGCTATTTTTTTTTTGGGGGGGGAGGGGGAAGCGGTGAGTCTGGTCGTGGGGCCTGAACTCTGGGCCTGGGCTCTATCCCTCAGCTCTTCAGCTCAAGGCTAGCGCTCTACCACTTGAGCCACAGCGCCACTTCTGGCTTTTTTCTTTTTGCTTATGTGGTGCTGAGGAATCGAACCCAGGGCCTCAGGCATGCAAGGCAAGTGCTCTACCACTGAGCCATCTTCTCAGCCCATGGGTAGCTATTTTTCATACTTTATTATACTTGCTAAAATTTCTATAAAATTTTAAGCATTTTTGTATTATATATAAGAAAGTTTTTAAAAATAAAAAGCAGGGCTGGGAGTGTGGCTCAAGTGGTAGAACACCTTCCTAGCAAGTACAAGGCCTTTTCAAACCACTCCCAGTTATTTCAAATAACTGTGAAATACTTTATAATTGTCACAAAATAGTTACATTTGGAACAATAATAAACCATCCAATCTGTTAACTAACTGTAGCCTACAGAAAGCATTCAACATGAACTGAAGTGACCACTACAGAACTGCTGCAAAGCCATAGCATGCCCGAAGGAAGTGGAAAGCTCCTTTCCCAGGTCAAGGGGGTTTGAAATCATCCAGATCAAGGTCCTGCTTCTCAGTTTCTACAGCATGGAGCTCTAGTTCAAGCAATAAACAGCAGCTTTTATGAAAAGCTAGACAGGCTCCCATAAGCCAGTGGCTTATGCTTGTAATCCTAGCTACTCAGTAGGTTTAAGAGTTCTCAGGACTGCAGTTTGAAGCCATCCCAGGCAGGAAAGACTGAGACTCTGATATCTCCCACTAGCCACCCAAAAGGCGGAAGTGGAGCTGTGGCTCAAGTGGTAGAACATGAGCCTTAAGCAAAAAAAAACCTCAAGGACTGCCCCAGACCCTGAGTTCAAGGCCCAAGACTGGCACAAGAAAAAAGAAAGAAAAAAAAAAAAAAAAGAGAGGGTCTGCTGGATGATGGAGGGCCCACTTGAGGCAGATGTGCGGGAGTCTGGCCACTCATACGGGGTTCCTTCAATCAGGGAGACCCTTTTTGTTCCTATGACATGGATCCCAGCCCTGCTGCTCTCCACACCCTGGCAGAGATAACTAGTGTTAGGGAAGACAGGGCTGAGCCTGGCTCTCTTTTCTTGCTTCCCCCAGCCTACTTGGTTTTCTCAGTGTGATCCAGTAAAGTTTGGTGTCCCAAAAAGCTACTTCCAGGTAGAAATTACTGCCTTCAGAAAACTAAAGTTTTCAGAGCCTCTCAGCTCCAGTGTTTCTCCACTGTTATTTTTTAGCCATGTGATAGCAGATGGTCGCAGCATAAGGACTGTGTCACAGAAGCAACTTCCGGACCTCAGCTTGTCCAATTTTATCTCACCAGATAAGCCAGTTTGCTTGACGGTTTCCCTCTGTCTTGGCCTGCAGGAAATGGAGCTCATTTATGCTGTATTCTTTTGCCCCCAGCTGCTTATCAGATACAATTATGTCTTGGTCAACATGCAGCACCTTCCAAGTTTTGAAAGATTTTTTTCTGTAACTATCATCTTTTATTTTGGGTAGTTGGGCAACACGTTTTGGAAGGAAGCCCCTTCCAAAGTCACAAAACCCATCACAAATACTAAAATGTTTATTGTAGACTTACACAATTAGGTTACAAATGATGATAGAAATACAGTTAAAATGTTAATACATGGAGACTGTTAAATGGGAATCTCCTTAGGTTTTCATACCTGTGCTAAATTATGAATCTGTTCTTATTTGGCTCTTCCACCCTGTAGGTCTTAGTCCTGGTGTTGACCACATCTACTCACCGGCCTATCAGCCTTGCTTGTGGCAGGTTATGTATACAATGTCTCAACCTCATGCGCTGACATAATGTACTGACATAATTATCACCGAGCCAGTAATTAATATTACTAAGCCAGAGGGATGGAGGTGTGGCCCAGCAGTATCACACCAACCTAGGAAGCTCAAAGCCCTGAGTTCAAACCCCCAGTACTGTCACATTTATATATACATGTGCCAAGAGTGTCCTAAGCTCTATCAAATAGATTTCTTCTGCATTTGTAACTTTTAGATGCTGTATTAAGGTAGATTTTATCCAGCCACCTCCCTGCTTTATTTCCCTGACACAGACATGTGTGAGAGCCATGAAACCTAAATTACACTGCTTGAATAGTTTCTTGATTCTGATTTAAAGGCTTCAACTTTTCTTCAAGCAGAATATGAGCAGGTTTCTAGTTGAGAGTAAGTTCTTTCCTTTGTCCTCCTGATATAAACCATGAGAAGCCTCGGAAGGCCCCTGCAGATCTGGACACTGCAGTGGCCCTGCTAACTGCTCTTCTGCCTACTTCTTTCTCTCCTTGGGGGTGGGGGTCGGGGGACTCTGCTTGTTTCTGAGCACTGCCGTCTCCCCTCTGGGCGTGAGCAATTGAGTAGTTATTTCTTCCACCTTAAAGGCACTCACCAGTGTTTCTGTCAAACACTTTTCAACTTGGGGAAAACCTTGGCAGAGAAGAACAGGGTTCTAGATCCACTGAGGACCAATAAGGCTGGCCTAGCTTGTCCAGGGCTGCTTCACACATAGAGAAAACAGCAGAAGGGCCCGCAGCCCACATATCTGGGGCATGACACACCTGGGCACCACTATGATTCTCCCCCCGGAGCTTCGGATTTTAGATGCTCTCTATCCCCTCCTTGCGGCATCTTGGGCATGGTCAAACCTCTTCCTGCCTTCTGCTGAGGGCCTGCCACCTTGTGATGCTGCTTTACTGCCATCATGCTCCTGGGCTCCACAGAAAAAGAATTTTGCTCAGTATACAGCCTCCAAGGACTTTGTGGTTTTGCATGGTACCACTGCCTCCTGTAACTGGCTCACCTGTGCTGAGGGCAGCCCTCCACTGCTAGGCCAAGTAGGAGAGGACCACTTGCTTACATGGAGCTTACCACTACGTCATGATAACCCCAGCCAACCAAGGGAGTGACACCGTTAGCCTGCCACATTCACTTCTACCTCCTGAGGATTCTCCCCCAGCACAGCGAGGGAGGGAGGGAGAGCCTGGTACACTGGCCTAGCCCTGCTCCTGGAGCCATAAGAGTGAAGAATGCAAGGTGACAGAGCAGGTATGACTCCATGTTCTTCCACAACCCGGAAGCAGAATCTGTCCTACAGGGTTTCATCTGCACTGGACACTGCTGGTACTCACGTGGGTAGAGGCCATAGCTTGGGTGCCACAGAAAATGACCTTCTCCAAACAAAAGAGTCACCATAGTTCAGGAACTTCAGAGAGCTTCAAAACTTGCTTTCCTAGGAGCATGTTCACTGTGTTCATGGATCCTCATTCAATATTCCCATGTGTTTGTTTGTGAGGAAGTCCAGAAAAGGAATGCTGCAAATGGCCTGGTGGATATTACTCACTGTAATCTCTTTGGGAATCCTGGTCAAACAAAACAAAACAAAAAACAACCCAAAGATGTTACCAGGTGTAATGCTGTCAGATCTATCAATTTACCAAAGGGACCATTCTCTGCACAGGCTTATGGAAGGGGATGATGACGAGTGCCAAGCAATGGTTTAGGGGGCATTTTTGGGGTATGAGTGCCAGGTACATTTTCTCTCCTGTTCCTGAATTGCCTTATATTTTGTCGAAAGATTCAGCTGACCATCAATCACAATCCTACTCGACTCAGGGTTCAAATCTCATTTCCCACTCATAGGAAAGAGAAATATTCCAACACGGAATAAAAAAATGACTAGAAAAAAAAAAAAAGAAACTTAAAGTGGGCAGCAGGATAGGAGAGAAAATGCTTGTGATTTAGTTTTAGTAGTCTGAAGAATATCAAAGTACCATTGAACTCTGGGACCATATTTCCTATCACTTAAAAAGATGGTAGAGGGGCTGGGAAGGTGGTTCAGTGGTAGAGCACTTGCCTTGCATGCATGAGGCCCTGGGTTCAATTCCTCAGCACCACATAAACAAAAAAAAAAAAAAAAAAAAGAAAAAAACTGGAAGCTGTGGCTCAAGTGGTAGAGCGCTAGTCTTGAGCTGAAGAGCTAAGGGACAGTGCCCAAGCCCAGAGTTCAGGCCCCACAACCAGACACTCCCCCTACCCCCCCCCCCCCCAAAAAAAAGATGGTAGACATAGGCCAAGTCTCCTGACTACTCAGGAAGTGATCAGGAGGATCATGGTTCAAAGCCTTAGCTAAGATAAACAGTGAGATTCTTATTACAATGAAAAGGCTGAATGTGGTGGGGCATGCCTGTAATATCAGCTATGTGGGAGGCTTTTATAAAGTAGGAGAACCAAGTAGGTCTAGGCAAGCTTGGAAAAAAAAAAAAAAAAGACCCAAAGCCGGGCAAGCACACCTATTATCCCAGCTACAGCAGTAAGTGGGGGGTGGGGGGGGGGGGTGGGGGAAGAAGGATCACAGTACAGGTAGGTACATGCTTGGAGAGGAAGCAAGATCAGTGGCTCATGCCTGTAATCCTAGTTCCTCAGGAGGCTGAGATCTGAGGAATGTGCTTCAAAGTCAGCCTGGGTAGAAAAGTCTTTGTGAAACTCTTATCTCCAATTAATCACCAAAAAGCTGGAAGTGGAGCTGTGGCTCAAGTAATAGAACATTAGCCTTGAGCAAAAAAAGCTCAGGGGCAGTGGCCAGGTCCCGAGTTTAAGCCCTAGGACACACACACACACACACACACACACACACACACACACACACACACACACACACACACACACACACACACACACACACACACACACTCTTACTCTCTCTACAAAAAAACCAAAAGGAGTAAGGATGTGGCTCGAGTGGTAGTGTCTGGCCTAGCAGTGTGAGCAGGGGGCCCAGGTCCCGAGTTTAAGCCCTAGGACACACACACACACACACACACACACACACACACACACACACACACACACACACACACACACACACACACACACACACACACACACACTCTTACTCTCTCTACAAAAAAACCAAAAGGAGTAAGGATGTGGCTCGAGTGGTAGTGTCTGGCCTAGCAGTGTGAGCAGGGGGCCATGAAAGGCACTGGCTCACTCCTGGTTTCAAGGACAATAAGCAGCAGGACTGGAACTCTTCACCCTCCTTCCTTTATTTCTCAATACTTCCACTGTCTGATGTATGAAAACGTTGCACAGTCAGTCTAACACTGTTTTAAAAGCTTCCTCATGTCCCTAGGCACTTTTATAATATGAGAAATTAATGATAGTCTTTAGCATAAAGGAAAAACAAAACAGCATTTGTTTCCTTAGAAAAGCATGGTGTGGCCTACTTACCATTTTCTCAGGCCTGAAGGCCCAGTCAGAGATAATCAGCAGAGGCTAGTGAACATAGGGCTTCAGTGCTAGAGACCTGAGTATGAATCTAAATTTTATCATTTTTCTGGAAGCAAAGAAGGTTACCCTTCAAAGCCATTTCTAAAACGGAATGAAAATAAAATGGTAAATATGTAAACACTGGCCCTAATGTCTGCCATCTAATGGGTGCTGTTACTAACTTTAATTGCATAGAGCTGCTCCATGTCCCACCCTGTAATGTGGAGGGCACAGACCTCTAGCAAAGCTTGAGCCTTCATGCCAACAGGCTTTCAGAATGACAGAACAGACTTTCGAGTCTATCTGGCTCAAGGAATGTCCCAAGCACTGACAAAAATCTGCTGAACTGATTTAACTGTAAAACATCTTTGGCAATTAAACTGCTGGGAAATAGCTGCACTTGTCAGAACATGGCTAGAGAAAGAGAAGAATACCTGTTGTGAGATGCTGCCCGGTATCCAACAGCTAGCGCCTGTCGCAAGATGTCACTCACCAGCTGCTCTGTGGCCTACAAGAGAAGATGCTGTTACTGTCAAAATGGTCACCTGCCTGCTCCTGAGGAGGACTGGCTCTGACTTCACCCTCACCCAAACGTTAAGGATCAAAAAGTCTCAACATGATTCTGAAAGACCTGAATCCTGAATTGGGCTACTACCACCTATCTCTGCTGATAGAGGGGATGCGCTAGGGAAGGAGCTGAGCTAGGATTAAGCCTGGCACAGAGACAACAGCTTCCCAACTACTGCCCAGGAACAGGATATCGTGCCTGCTTCTGTGTTGTCTTTGACAATTCCCAAACAACGAGAGCACCGAATCCTATCCTGTAGAGCACCTGAAATGGCTACAAAATATGGCTATTAAAAAATACCTTTGGGGCTGAGAATACGGCTTAGTGGCACAGCATTTGCCTAGCATGTATGAAGATCTAAGTTCGATTCCTCAGTACACCACGTAAACATAAAAGGCTGGAGGTGATGCTGCGGCTCAAGTGGTAGAGTGCTAGACTTGAGCAAAAAGCTCAGGGACAGTGCCCAGGTACTGAGTTCAAGTCCTCGAACTGGCCAAGGGAAAAAAAAAAAAAGAAAAATACTTTCACAGCTGGGGATATTGGAAGCTCAGTGGTGGCACACTTGTTTAGGGTACACAAGGCCCAGTTTCCATCTCCAACCCAGAAAAAGTATCTTCAAGAATGGTATTAGCAAAAATATTCTGGAAGATGCTTTAATACCCAGAGGAAACATGACTTAGTTAATTTAAAAACCAAAGGAAAAAAACTGAAAAAGCCAGGTGCCAGTGGCTCATGCCTGTAATTCTAGCTACTCAGGAGGCTGAAATCTGAGGATTTCGATTTGAAGCCAGCCCAGGCAGAAAAGTCTCTCCAATTAGCCACCAGAAAACCAGAAGTGGCTCAAAGTGGCAGAGCACTATCCTTGAGCACAATGATCTTAGGGTCAGCACTCAGGCCCTGAGTTCAAGCCCCAAGACAGACCAAAAGAAAAAAGAGAGAAAAAAAGGAAATTTAAACTCAAGGAAAAACAAAAACAAAACCCACAACCCTATCATCTGTGTTCCCTTTCTAAGTTTGTCCACAATTCAAAACAGCCTTGATCTACTTGGCTGGCCATGGTTCACATTCACAGTCCCTTTGTTGCCAGCAGACACCCACCTTTAAGATCATGTCCTCCACCACTGATGCATACACATTCCTGTGCAGTGCCACGGGCTGCAGGGTGATTCCAATCTGGAAAAGCAGAAAAAAGCCTTTGTTCTTATTTCTACATTAAAAACAGCTTCATTCCACCCAGGCAGACTCCTCTGACAAAAGATGTGCCTGGTTGGAAGGAGGACTCTACAAACATTCTGGACAAAACTCAATCTTGTTTCTATTCTCAAATCTCTATGGCAGGATAGCACAGTTGTGATATCCTGGGAATTTGAAAATACAAAATTCTGGAAGGCTTAGGAACCAGAGTCAAGGGCAACTACATCTTGTTCCATCTTCCCCTGTAAGTGAGTGAACACTGTCTTTCCCTTTGTATCCTGAGCAGTTGCCAGTGGCAGATGCTAAAGAGCTACTAAGTTTCATGGGGAGTGGATAAATAGCTCCCTCCCTTGAAATCAGGGTCATGTGTACCACAGCACTCACTTGGGAGCTATAGAGCTGTGGGGAAAGATCACCCACTGAAGTGTAACTTGGAAGTATTACATGAAAGTGATGAAAAGCACTGAACTGTCTGTATGGAGACATTTTTGCTTCAAGCCCATGTTCAACAAGCAACCTTTCCCATGTAATTAACCTTGCTGAGTGCTGACATGCAAAGAGGAGGCAGAGAGAGCACAGCTGGGTAACAGGTAATGCATTTCCATCACCAGGCTGCTCAATTTATGAGCACCTGGGTGTCTATGATCGGTCAACACCGCAGGCCAGATCTCCTACCTTCTGTGTGATGTCACCAACAAATTCAGAGCCTACAGTTGGTGGCAAGTAGAACTTAATTTCTTCTTGTTTCTCTTCCTGCTCTTTTTTGATGTTTGCCTTTAATGGCTCTGACAAGCTGAGGATGTCCACCTCCTCCTCATTCTCTGGTTCCCTTTTCTGAAACTGCTGCAGGTCCTCCAGTTTCCGGCAGAGGTTGTTGGCAGAGGAGAAAGATGATGGGCACTCTAAATGAGAGGTAATCAGTCTTACGACAGCTGTGGTGACCATAGGAAAGGATTTATCTCATTGAGATAGGAGACAGTGTGAGGAAGGAGCTGACCTCCTTTCCCATTGTAAGGTTCTATGATCTCCATGGTGAGAGCTAGGGCTTCCTAAGGTAGAAAGCAGACAGCATCATGTATTCTATGTGATACCACTGCCATCTAAGACAAACAGGATATCCTCAACTCCTAAGAGTCAACTCCTGACACCAAAAACCAGGCCCTGTTCCCAATAGGAGTGTCTAACTGATTTTATTTCATCTTTAAAATCTGGAAAATTTTGCGCAGTGAATAATATAAAAAGCACTTAACATGGGCAGGGATGGGAGGGGGGGAAACAGGGAAAGCAAAAGAAGGGGTGACATTGTCCCAAAAGAAATGTACTCATGGGGCTGGGAATGTGGCTTACTGGTAGAGTGCTTGTGCTTAGCATGCACCAAGCCCTGGGTTTGATTCCTCAGTACCACATAAACAGAAAAAGCTGAAGTGGTGCTGTGGCTCAAGTGGTAGAATGAATGCTAGCTCAGAGAGTACCTAGGACTGGCAAAAAACAAAAACAAAAAAAATGTACCCATTGCCTGACTTAGGAATTAGTAACCCCTCTATCTAACACTTTAACAATAAGATTATATTTTAAAAAAAAATCACAACATCCTCACCGCTCTAAGAGTAGTACTGTTTATATCTGAATGTGTACTGTGTGCCAGATTTAATAAGGACATGCGCACAAAAACAGCCACTGCCTGCCACTTCACTGATGAAAAGAGGTCCAGCCCCCAGCACAGGCTGGGCTCTCAGCACCCTGCAAGATGGCGGCAGGGCATCCGTGAATGACTTTCTGTCTTACAGATAGTCTGTGTCCATCAGGCATGTTGACAGAGAGCTCAACGTGTAACTACTGGGCTTTCCACAGAGCTTCAGGTATTTTAATTAAGTACTGCAAGAGATCAGAGAAAGGAAGGGACCTCCTATGTAGACAGGCCTCTAGGAAGCCACACCCCACCCTTCACCTCTGAGCTGCAGGCTCCCTCTGACCCGATGGTGGAGCTTATTCTTTTTGTTTTGTTTTTTTTTTCGGTTGTGGGGCTTGAACTCTGCCTGGGCGCTGTCCTTCAGCTCTTCAGCTCAAGGCTAGCGTAGTCTACCACTTGAGCCACAGAACTACTTCTGGTTTTCTGGTGGTTTATTGGAGATAAGAGTCTCATGGACTTTCCTGCCTGCGCTGGCTTTGTACCACAATCCTCAGATCATAGCCTCCTGAGTAGCTAGGATTACAGGCCTGAGCCACCAGCAGCGGGCTTTGTAGTTTATTCTTTAAGGTGATATTCAACTGCCTCTCTTCCCTAAATACATTTTCTACCCACGCTGCCAAAATCCAGCAATTGTCTATGTTCTCATTTTACCTGCAACATTATTAACTGTTCACTGTGACTCCAATGCTAGCTAACATATTTCCTAGTCAGGTTTGTAGAGAAAGTAAAAGGTAAGACACAGGCCCTATCTTCATGGAAACAGGGCATGCTTGTTCACTGGGAGTTCCTAAGGTCACAGAGGCAGAGGAAGTTACCTCTATGTGAGGAAAGGACATGGGCTAGGAGTCTCCAAGGAACAGGCAGTGCACTTTGAAGAATGATGTTGAAATGAACTGTGTGTGCCTGCTAGACAGCAAGAACTAAACAATTCTCTGCCAGAACACACACACAAAATGCTCTGGTACAAGTATCTGAAGGGGACTGGACAGTCTGGAATGTCATGGGGAGAGGTAAGTGAAGGTTCGGTTCTCCATGGCAGCTTCATCTGTAGCCAGCCAATGGTGAGCTGGGGGACTCAAGGTAGGCAAGTGTCCCCCAGGCTGCGAGGGAAACCTGGGCAGCTTGCTGGCCTACCTGGCTCACTGTCGATCTGGGTGAGCACATCCTCAATGGAGTCCCCATCATTCCGCAGGCTCTCAGGATCTGGTGGGGTATAGCCATGGCAGCGACACCAGTGAGCAATGTGCTTGGTTTTAAGGGGAGTCAAGTGGTGAAATCTTGGATTCTTCTCCAGTATCTCTTGTAAGACTTTTCTCATTGTCATTGCTCTTTGCCACTAAAAAAACAAATTGAACTATCATTAAATCTTTCAACTTAATGAGTTGTGTATTGAAGCAAGCCACTTAATATAAAAACTACCACGCTGCTGGGCAATGGTGGCTCATGACTATAATTCTAGTTATTCAGGAGGCTGAGATCTGAGGATCAGCCTGGAAAGACAAATCGGGAGTTTCTCCAATTCATCAGCAAGAAGCTAGAAATACAGGTATAGCTCAAGTAAAAGGCCAGCCGTGAGAGTTTAACTTCTATCAGCTTCCTAATTCTTCTAAGATACAACAGAAACTCCTAGGCCTGGCATTTAAGGCTCTTCACCTATATTTCCCACTCCCTTCTTCCCCAAATCAACCATAGCAATCTCTCACTGCTTCTGAAATACCCAAATAAACAGCTTCTTACAGCCTCAGCGTATCTGGCAAGGTAGCTGCTATACTAGTTTTAGAATACAAAAAAACCCTCAAGCCAGGCACTTGGTGGCTTATGCCTGTAATCCTAGCTTCTCAGGAGGCTAAGATCTGAGGATCATGGTTCAAAGCCAGTCCAGGCACTCAGCAGAGGCCCGTGCATGTAACAGACAAACAAGCTTACCTCAGCAGCTCTCCTTTTCCCAATATTCCAGCTATAATATTGCTCCACAGACTTTGCAGAAAAACAGCTGGCATCTTCACCTAGAAAGCACAAACCCGTACATCCTAAATAAAGCTGTTATGGCTTAGACCAAATTTCATTTGCAGGAAAAACTACCATGTCCCACCTCTTTATCAATGTGTGTTCCTTGCTGGATGAGTTCAAGTACAAGTACACACACAAGATTTTCTCCTTAAAAGAGAAGGCATCTCATTCCTGTATACTCAAAACAACATCTTCCTTGGGAAACTAGTTTCTTTGGTACTGCCAAGCAGCTGATGAAATAATGGGAACACATAAAAGCAGAGTAGTCTGCGCTGGGTCTAGCCCAGTGCACATGGCAGGACTGTACCTCAAGTCCTCCTCTAACTCTGTGAAATTGCCCTCTAGTAAACATACCCAACAGGGCTGTCCCCTCAGTCAGGACAACTGTGGCTACAGTGCAGCTCATTCAATTTTGCTAACAACAGGTAGTGGGCCAGCACACTTTCCTTTGGATTGCTTAAAAACTAAGGCCGTATCTTGCCTTGCCAAAGCTTAACCTTGCTTAACTTCACTTTTTCATTGTGAACTGGAGATGATACCTATTACATGAGACTGGTTAACAAGATGGTAAATGTAACGGCCCTGCACAGGACCTGGCACACTGTGGGCAAATGTTAGCTTCATATTCCATATTATTAAATATAAAAAATGCAGCTTTATTTAGATAACAATTTATAGTTATATATACAAAAGTTAAATATAGAAAGGTTCTGCAGATTGAACAGGGAAAACCTTTAAAAAAAATAGCCAAAATACTGTAATGTCTAAGACCTTTGCAATGAGTATGTATCTATTTAAACCCTCATAACTGTCAGTCAGTGTTAATTTGCAATACTAGGAATAAGTTGACACAATAACTCCAAGGAGTTCACAACTTCAAAAATGTACCCATAGATTCAATATAATTGTCTTACTTTTTGCAGTGATAAGTGGAATCTTCTTTACTACTGCTGTTAAGAGCTGCTGGATAGTCTCCAAATGGTCTATCCTGTGAAGGATGAGAGAAAGCAAAGCAGGGAGTACACATAAGTTTCTAACCACACAGACACATACATTTATAATTCCCCTTTTTGAGAGCATTAAAATTTAAAACCATAGTATGAGCATGTCTTTCCTACTAACAGAGAGCTTTCTTCATAAAGGAAGCGTGTTCTATGTTTAAAAATTATCCACAATACATTTTGGCAATACATACATATTTTATTTATATTTTAAAGTTAAAAAATTTTGCAAAGGGATTAGAAAAGTTCTTTCATAGAAATGCCTGCCTTCAGGTTATTACAGGTGATGCTTCCATCTGTCATGTTATTTAACGTGGCTAAATTTCTACTGTCCCCAGAATTTGGAGACACTTCACAGTATATGGTCAAAGGTAGGACAGTAGGAAACCTAAGGAAGCATTTGGGAGAAAAGGCAGCTGTGTAAAGTGAAGGTGGCTGTGTGGATACCTAGTCACCAAATGTGAACACTTGAGTGCTAAGGATTCACCAGGAGTTCATGTTGAGAAACTCAAGTGAAGAGAGTTCTGGAATCCCACTAGATGTTTCCAAGGCCACAAATCAAGTGCTGCCCCTAACGATCTGCAGAGACAGATCATTCCCAAGAGGCTCAGCACCACACATCCTCACCATCAGAGGCATGACTGAAGAGCATCATAAAAAGGACAAAATAAAACTCTTTAGAAAAAGACTGGAATAATTACTTAATGACATAGCTTCCCAGCTCAGAGTTTTCTTCTGTTTTCACTGTTGTCTGACCCTCCTGTGAAAGGCAGCTTGGCCCAGGAGTTTCTGGTTCAGTCTTCACTACAAGGGAAGAGCAACAAAAGAGATCTGTCAGGGCTCAGTGGCAGTAGAAGAACTCGTGCAGATAGAAACAAAGCTCTTCCACTGAAGCTCAGTGAGGAAACTGCCACTCCAGCTGCAGCGGGGACACAGCCAGGAAACCGCAATGGCTTCTGTCACCATAGCAACACAAGGACGAATTGTTAGCCTGGGTCTCAGCGGGAGCAACTCCAAGCTTAAGACAAGGCCATAAAATGATGCATTTTTACAATTTTTGTTGTTTGTTTTATACATAGGCACAGTATATTTTGTTATCACTCACCTTCCATTATTCTTTCTTAGACTTTTTTTTTTTTTGCCAGTTCTGCAGCTTGAACTCAGGGCCTAGGGGCTGTCCCTGACCTTCTTGAACCACAGCGCCACTTCAGGCATTTTCTGTTTATGTGGTACTGAGGAATCGAAACCAGGGCTTTGTGCATCCTAGGCAAACACTCAATCACTAAGCCATATTCCCAGGCCCTCTTAGACTTTTGTAATGCCAGCTGTTCTAATTTCTTTTTTTGTTTTGTTGGTCATAGGGTTTGAACTCTGGGCCTAGGTGCTGTCCCCTGAGTATTTCAGCTCAAGGAGAGTGCTGTACCACTTGAGCCACAGTGCCACTTCTGGTTTTCTGGTTGTTTATACTGGAAATGAGACTCTAATGGACTTTCTTGCCCAGGTTGGCTTTGAACGGTGATCCTCCAATCTTAGCCTCCTGAGAAGCTAGGATTATAGGCATGAGCCTCCAGCACCTGGCTCTAATTTCTAATACAACAACCTCTAGCATCATTTCTCCAATTAAGTTTATTGACTTATCCCAGTGTTCACAGACACAAAGCAGAAAGCAAAAATCAGTCTGCTGTACAACAGGCTTTCAATATTACAGATGAACACTCTTAATTTGAAAATCTCATATACAAAAGGCCCCAACATTCAAAACTGTTTAGCTCCCATATAATGTTGCAAGCAAAAAATTCAATACAACTATTTCATGAACAAAACTATTAAAAATTTTGTTTAGGGGTTGGAGGCGTGGCAAATGATAAGAGTGCCAGCCAATAAATAAGCAAAAGCATCAGATACCAAGTATGAGTCCTGGTTTCAGACTCCCCAAAATTGTATACAATAATGTGTGGAAATGTTATAATCTTCTCTGCACAACTACTGTATAATAATAAAAATAAGCAAAACAGTATAGATCTAGATATCATGATATATGTATAAGGTATACATGAAGCTCAAACCAATTCCATGTTTAGTCCAATCCCCATTTATTATATTGTACAAATAATGTATCCAAAATCTAAATATGAAATAATTTCTAGTCTCAAGAATTTTGGGTAAGGGATTTCATCCCACCTTATACTAAGCCTATTAAGACAGCAATGTTTCAATGTACATTCATCCCTTTCCTTAAGTAGTCTTCCCTGATCAAAAACTATGCTGGGTCAAGGCACCTTTGCCTCTGGGAAGCTGAGAATGTGAGTATTAAGGTTCCAGACCAGCCTGAGCAGAAGACAAGGTTCCATCTCACTTTAGGGAAGCTATATGAGATGATGCGTCCAACTACAAGGAAGCCTAAAATAAAGTTGTGGTGCAGGCATATTACCTGGTCAGGAAAAGAGACAATTCTATCTTAATAATAATTACTGAGCCAGGTACTCAACACTTATAATCCTAGCTACTCTGAAAGCTGGGATCTGGAGGATCAAAGTTTGAGGCCAGATCAGACAAAAAAATCCTCGGGTCTCCATCTCCAAAATAACCATCACAAAGCAGGACCAAAAGCATGGTTCAAATGGTAGAACACCTGCCTAACAAGTGCAAGGATCAAGTTTAATTCCTAGTACTGCTACTACAACACAATGTTTCGGCACCAGCTTCCTGACTCCACTCTCTTCCCCCAATAATCTCATCTTGTGCACTAGGAGCAAGTAACTCTGTATACAGCAGAAGTCTGTGAGATATAAATCTATGTATTCATGTACCCACCACTCAAATATGGCTTGCTGGGTTCTGCGAGTCATCCCTGACAAAGACAAAGATGGGGCTGGGAAGGTGGCTCAGTGGTAGAGCGCTTGCCTTGCATGCTCGAGGCCCTGGGTTCGATTCCTCAGCACCACATAAGCAAAAAGAAAAAAGCCGGAAGTGGCGCTGTGGCTCAAGTGGTAGAGCGCTAGCCTTGAGCTGAAGAGCTGAGGGACAGCGCCCAGGCCCAGAGTTCAGGCCCCACCACCGGACCCAAAAAAAAAAAAAAAAAAGACAAAGATGGACCTTTTGCCCATTCTGCCTAGCACCATTTTAGCTGTCAGAAGGAATAATGCAACAAACACTTGCATGTCTTCTGGTAGGTACATGCAGTCTGTTCCCAGAAGTGAAGTAGATGAAACAAAGGTAGATAGAAACTAGAAACTGCCAGACTTTTTTCCAAAATGCTCTCCATTTATAGTCCCACTAGCAGATTTATAGTCCCACTAGCAGGCAAGTTCTAGTTGCCTTTCGTACTTGCCAAAACCTGGTATTGAACCCTTTTAATTTGGTGATTCTGATGGACCACTATGGTTCTAATCTGCAGAGTAATGAAGGTGAATAATATTTTTTGATGGACGTCCTTTTCTGTGAAGTACCTGCTCAGTTTTCTGTCAATAAGAAAACAAGTTGGGCTAGGAATGTGGCTTAGTGGTAGAGTGCTTGACATGCAATTCCTCAGTACCACATAAACAGAAAAGGCTGGAAGTGGTATTGTGGCTCAAGTCGTATCCTTGAGCAAAAGAAGCTCAGGAACAGTGCCCAGGCCCTAAGTTCAAGTTGCAGGACTGGCAAAAAAAGAAAACAAGTTATTGTCAGTCTTTTTCACATTGATTTTTTTAGAAGGTATCTGTGTGTGTATTCTGGATATGACTCACATATTAGATATATGCATGACAAATACCTTAAGAGTATGTGGCTCATTTAATGTCCTCTGGGAAGTAAGGTTGCTAATGTTAATGAAGTCCAATTTATCATTTTTATGCTTATTTCTCCTATCATGTTCAAAAGGTTGTGAAGATAGCCTCATGTTTTCTTTTAGAAGTTTGACATTCCACATTTAGGCCCATGACCCAACTCAATTTAAAGTTTTTGTTTATACAGTAAAATAGGAGCCAAGGTTTTCTATTGGATATATGGATATATACATATATATCCATTTAACCTCAGACTATTTATTGAAAAGACCACCCTTTCTTTACTACTATAACTTTATAGTGTGTGTATGTGTAAATAGGCATATGTGTGCATATATATTATATACATATGCTACCTTCATGTAAGTCTTCCTCATTTCTTGCTCATTAATACTATCTTGCTATTTTAATTAATTTTTGAGAGTCTTGCTATGTGGCTTCAAACTGACTATTCTCATGCTTCCGCCTCCAGGGTGCTGGGACTATAGGTATCTACCACCAAGCCCAGTTTTAGCTATTTTAGGATTTTGCATTTCTATATGGATTTCAGACTTACCTGGACAATTCCTATATTTGCACCATCAGCACCAACAACACTGTACACTGGAACTGTACTGAGTGCATATACTGTTTTTTTTTTTTTTTTGGGTCCGGTCATGGGGCCTAAACTCTGGGCCTGGGTGCTGTCCCTCAGCTCTTCAGCTCAAGGATAGAGCTCTAACACTTGAGTCACAGCACCACTTCCGGCTTTTTTCTTTTTGCTTATGTGGTGCTGAGGAATTGAACCCAGGGCCTCATGCATGCGAGGCAAGTGCTCTACCACTGAAGCCCCAATACTGTTTTTTTTAAAGAACTGATATTTAAGTCTTCTTAATTTCTCTCTATAGAAGGAGGTTGTTTCTAAGATCTACTATTGTTTTAGTAGATTGTATGATATTTAATATATCTGGTACTTCTATAAATGTTTTCTTTAAACCTAATTTTTTTTTTTTAATTTTTTATTGTAAAGATACTATACAGAGGGTTACAGTTACATGAGCAAGGTAATGAGTACACTTCCTATTGAGCATTTAAACCTAATTTTCTAACTGGCTTACATAGAAATTCAAGTGATTTTTTTATACTGACTGACATATTATGTAATCTTGCTAATTCACTGCTAGAAGAACATATTTTCCCATTCCCTATTCTGAGACTTCAAAATAGGAGGTTGACAGGTGCTGGGGGCTTATGCCTATAACCCTAGGAAGTTAGTAGGGTGAGAAATTTGAGGGCTACTGTTTGAAGCCATTCCAGGCAGGATTTTAGCTCCAATTAATCAGCAAAAAGCTGAAAGTAGAGCTGTGGCTCAAAGGGTAGAATGATAGCCTTGAGAATTGTAGTCAAAGACAGAGCTTAGGCCCTTCCAAGCCCAGGGACTGGTGCAAAAGCAAAAACAAACAAAAAGGAATGCCAATGGCTCACACCTGCAATCCTAGCTACTCAGGAGGCTGAGATCTAAGGATTGAGGTTCAAAGCCAGTCTGGGCAGGAATGTTTGTGAGAGTCTTATCTCCAATTAGCCAGAAAACCGGAAGTTGCACTGTGGCTCAAGTGGTAAAGCACTAGTCTTGAGCTGAAGAGCTGGACAGTGCCTAGGCCCAGATTCAAGCCTCCTGGCTGACCAAAAAAAAAAGACTCCCCAGAAAGAGTTGAGACACTACAATTCTATGGGCTCAGGTCTACTCACTTTAATCTGGCATTTGAACAATTACAGACATATAAAAATAGCATTTTCATATTGTGGCAGCTCTTCTGTGAGAAATGAACATACATTCTCTAAAATTTATACCAATAGACCCCAAAGTGGAAAAACTCCTATGTCCTTCAAAAGGAGAAAAGAGAACTTTAAAAGGATATTTCTCCATTACAGACTCCTATTCAGCAATATGGAAGAATTTCAAAAATACTAATGCTGAGCAAATGAAACTAGACACAAAAGAATTTACATACTTTCTGCTTTTATTTCAATAAAGCTCAAAGACTGACCTTTGGTAACAGAAATCCAATAGTGGTTGTCTATAGGGCTGGAAATTAAGCAGGGGACAGGTCACTGACATTTCTTTATATTTTAATGAGGTGTTGATTACATGGTTTACACATGTATCCATTCATCAAATGGCATGCTTAGTATTTGCATTTCACTATGTTTTTTTTTTGTGTGTGTGTGTCGGTCGTGGGGCCAGAACTCTGGGCCTGGGTGCTGTCCCTCAACTCTTCACCTCAAGGCCAGTGCTCTACCACTTGAGCCACAGCGCCACTTCTGGCTTTTTCTGCTTATGTGGTGCTGAGGAATCAAACCCAGGCCTCATGCATGCAAGGCAAGCACTCTAACTCTGAGCCACCTTCCCAGCCCACTAAGTATTATCTTATTTCAACAAAAATCTAACACAAATGCTCTCACCTAGTCCAAAACTAAATGAATCACAATCCTTTATATAAGGCAGGACTATGACAGCTCTTACTGAGAAATTCAAATACAGACTAACACCAATTCTTTCATTTTTTTTTTTTTTTTTGGGTCCGGTTGTGGGGCCTGAACTCTGGGCCTGGGCACTGTCCCTCAGCTCTTCAGCTCAAGGCTAGCACTCTACCACTTGAGCCACAGCGCCACTTCCGGCTTTTTTCTTTTTGCTTATGTGGTGCTGAGGAATCGAACCCAAGGCCTCATGCTTGCAAGGCAAGTGCTCTACCACTGAGCCACCTTCCCAGCCCCAACACCAATTCTTTCAGAATGCAAGTGTTAGCTGTTTCTCTATACAGAGCTGATCAGTAAATAGCTTAGGCTCTGCGGGTCATACATTCTCAGACTGTGGTTCATAAAAAAATTAGTATGTAGATGAATGAAGGAGGCTATGTGCCAATTGAGCCTTACTTAAGAAAAACACATAGCAAAACACCAGCCAAACTCTGCTTTATAGGAGCTTTAGATAAGCACTTAAGTATACACAAATCTACGCCTATAATCCTAGCTACTCGGGAGGCTGAGATCTGAGGATCGCAGTTCAAAGCCAGCCAGGGCAAGCCAGGGCAAGCAACTCTTGTGAGAATCTTATCTCCAATAAACCACTAGAAAACTGGAAGTAGTGCTGTGCCTCAAGTGATAGAGTGCTCATCTTGAGCTGAAGAGCACAGGGACAGTGCCCAAGCCCAGAGTTCAAGCCCCACGACCGACAAAAAAAAAACAAAAAACCACTACACACACACACACACACACACACACACTCACACACTCACACACACACACACAAAATCATACATACGCACCTCTTCCCAAAACTCCTATGAGATCCCAGATACCTGAAAAGTAACTGGGAATGGTAGTGGACAGACATAATTCAAAGTATAACTTTACTGCTTCCTAGTCTTTTAGATTAGCAAGAATATGCTTAGTGTGTCTAAATTTGTTTCCTCATCTCCAAAATGGGTACAATGACTGTGTTAAAGAACAGGAAAAGAACTATATTCTCCCCTACCCACCCGCTTACCACCCCACACTGCAGGCTCTGAACATATGGTAGATGTGTTATAGGAGGCAAATATATTGCTCTGATCCAGAGCACTATCTTATATTGCTCTAATTTTTGGCGAGGAATACCCTCTTGCCAGTTTGTCAATGTCTAGTTCTTGCCTAAAGCTCCTTTACCACAACTATACTCTTCAGTTAGTCCCTAAAATTGGTCTACGCCCCAGACAAACCTGGAGTTTGTCTGTCTCTACTGTTCCCTTAGTCTGGCATTTCCCTTGCCCTGTCCACAGGTAAAAGACCCCAATCTTTGTACAGTCCAGTTGATGATAGATTCCCTATATCAAGTCCTGTCCACTGACAATCCTGATTACTACAACATTTCAGCAATCATTTCCCAGACAATTACTTTGCTTTGATCAATCATGGCTTGCTGTGTTCTGCAACTCTCTTCAACTTATAAATTCTGTCTCTGTATTTCCTGAATTGTCACTGTAGTAGATAAGGAGAACTTACTTGCTAAATGGCTGATTCAGAAGCTGAAAAAACTCAAAGGACTACAATTATAGCAATGTCTTGCAGAAAACTTCAGAATAAAAATACCATGAGATCTACCTACCTTTTGCAACAGCTGCTGGAGCAGAGCTAGGAACAGCTGGAGTTGGGGCTGCTACAGGCACTATGGTAGGTGACTTGCTGGTAGAAAATGACTGAACCACTAAAGGGCAAAAAAAAAAAAGGAGAGGATATAACATAGAGACCAAAATTCTTTTTAATATCTAACTCCTACATGAAAGTTGCACATTACTCTAATCTCATGGCCATAGAGATCTTAGTTATTTATACTAGCGTATAAATAACTTCAATTAAGTAAATTAAGAAAATTAAAATCTAACTAACCTAAATTCTCATAAATGTTTCAAATTTTCCTCTTCAACTCAACTTTAGAATTGTGCCAGCTATTTAGAAGCCAATGATGGCTTAAGTTTTGTTTTATCCATCTTGGTCCTGGGGCTTGATCTCAGGGCAGGTATAGTTGCTGTCCCTGAGAATTTTTTGCTCAAGGCTAGCACTCTAACACTTGAGCCACAGCTCTACATCTGGCATTTTGGTGGTTAATAGAGATAAAGAGTTCAGACTTTCCTGCCTGGGCTGGTTGGAACTACAATCCTCAGATCTCACCCTCCTGAGTAGCCATTTATAGGTGTGAGCCACCTTAAACTTTGGCTTAAGTTTTACTTTCAGTTTTAGAGTTCAAGGGCAGGCCTCAATAGCTAAGGGCAGGCTATGATGGCAAAGCCATCACCAACTAGTAGATACTGACTTTCCACAAGATGGGTCTATGTGACAGGCCCACAGTATAGAACATACCTTTATTCACTGGCATCAGTATAGTCTGTACACCTCCAGAGGTGCTTACACTGAGAGGCTTCAGTTGGCTGGGAATTGTCAGGACAGCCTGCTGGGGATTGGACTGACTGGAGTGAATCTTTAACAATCCTAAAATAAGTTAGAAAATAAGGCCAAATCTTAGGTCAGATGCTTCCTTCAAGTTTCTTACCCTCTTCATCACTCATTCCAATTTTCTCCTAGGATAAAATTCCCAAGACATTCATTCTTTCACTAAATTAAAAGCCTGGATCAGGAGAAAACGGAGGCTGCAGATTTTACAATGAAACACTGACATGACATTATGATTTACTATTAGTGTCCCTATTCCACAACCTTAAAGTAATGCAGAAAACTTTACAAATGTAGGAGTAATAAAAAGAAAAAGCTGGATGTGAGGCAGTATAGCTGTATTCCCGGCATTTGGGAGGCAAAAAGCATGAGGAGTTTGAATTTGAGACCAGACTGGGCTACAAAGCATGACTCAAAAAAGAAAAGTAGGAAATGCCACCGCAATCCTATCACAGGATGATAAGTATTAACATTTTGAAGCAGGTCTTTTCCATGTTTGTTTCCTATGTCAATTTGTTTTGTACATTGCTATGACGTATGCATTATACATTTATAAAAGTTTTTATATTCTGATGCAGAAAACTGCCACTGGCTTCTGAATTAGCTTCAGATCATTTCAGTGTACCCATCATGAGTCTGGTTCCCATCTACCGACATCATTTCCACATAGTCCCTCTATATATCTATCTTCACTTAAATCTGTCCATCTCTTAACTTTCATTTCCTATCCTAGCCCTTATTTTTCAAACATAAGATACCTCTAATATTTTTGAGTGCAATCCTCTCTTAACTTACTGTAAAGGTAATTTCCATGCTCTCATGCATTACAGAACTATGCTAGCATAGAAAAAACAATGATAAAGGGCCTTTACCATGAAAGCACAGTAGGTATAATCCACTAATTTGTGTGGTTTATATCAGAGCGTCAGAGGCCTCAACACAAAGCCCCCGAAAGAAACTGCTGGTCTGAAATACACTCTAGAATGAGGCTTTCAATGAACAGGAAAATCTTTCTTCAGAATAGAGGTACATTCAGCCATGTATTTACTGAGACTGCGTACAACAATGACCCAGTATTTTTTGTACTTTTAAAATTCTTACCTTTATCAATTATATGCTTATCAGTAAAAGTGAAAAAGAATAAGAAGCTTGTAACTACAAAATCTGTTGACTTTGTTCCACTACTTTTTTCTGTTTTCCTCTACTTTCCAGCACTATCCACTTTTACCTTTTGGTCCTTTTTTCAAAACAATTTATTTCAACATTGATTCATCTATTTTTATGGCCCAAGGGCCCACTACTACAATCTAATAGGTAGAAGTGTTTGAGGAACTTGTACTTGATATTCCCTACTCCAATACTTCTCTGTTGATCCCAAAGGATAGATAACAACATAATTATTTTCTGCCAAAAACTTCTTTCCTTCCTCCTTCCCTTCCTTTTGTGCTGGTTCAGGGGGTTGAACTCAAGGCCTCTAGGTCTCATTTGGCTTTTTCACCCATAGCTGGTTCTCTTTCAAGTTGAAGACACACAGCTGTTTGTTATATCGTCTTGAGCATCTGACACATAGTCACACTAAGTAGTATAAACAGGCTGTTAGTGGAGGCAAGCTTTTGCCCTTTGGACTTCAGAACTATAAATAACGAACTAGGGACTCTACAAAAAAAAAAAGGTGAATTGGGGATAACTATGGCAGCTATTATTTATGTAACAACTACCATAAACCAGATGGTATGCTACTCATTTATATCACTCTTTAAAACCTCCAGGGGTGGGTATTATTATTAACATCATTTCACAGATAAAAACCGAAAGAGAAGCAACTATATCTAAGGCTTCAGGATTTGTGCTGTTTTTCTCTAACATTTCTGGAGTCATTTAGCTGAGCAGAAAGATAACATTTTACCAGACTTAATGTACTCTTTGAAAGAAAAAAAAATTCTTCATGTTTTGCAATCAATTCCATCCAAAACTAATCGCTGATTAAAAAAAGAAAAATATTCAGTTCTTCCAAAAATTACATTATAAAAATTAATTATAAAAATGATGAATATATTCTAGAGTTCCAAAGGGCTCTATTATTAAAATTATTCACTATGGAAGCCATAGACTGAATAGCTGGTTGTATTTTTAGCTTGGCTTGTTTTGTTTTCTTTCTTCTTTTTCTTTAGCACTAACAATTGAACTAAGGGCTTTATGCTTTTAGTTCTTAGCCCACACTAGGCAAGTGCTCTTTCCCTTGAGACATACTCCTGAGTCCCTTTGTTTTTAGTTTGTTTTCAAACAGGATCTCAAAATTAACTTGGCCCAGGCTGGCTTGGAATCTGCTCCTCCAACTTCTATCTCCTAAGTAGCTGAGTTTACGTGTAAGCTATAAGGTCCATCTAGCCTGAATAATTTTTTTTGGTTGGTTGTAGCACTTGAACTCTGAGCCTAGACACTGTCCCTGAGCTTTTGGCTCAAGGCAAGCGCTCTACAATTTGAGCCACAGCACCACTTCTAGTTTTCTGGAGATAAGAGTCTCATAGACTTTCCTGCCTGGCTGGCTTTGAACCATGATCCTTAGATATCAGCCTCCTGAGTAGCTAGGATTACAGGTGTGAGCTACCGGCGCCTGGCTCTATCCTAAATAATTTTTAAATGGTAAATTTAAGTCTCAGACTTCAAATTTTATACACAGCTTTTTCAAATAAAAATAATTTACTTAAAAAAAACAATTATTTGGAAAATATTTCTGGGTTAATTGGTTCAATAAGGTACTCTATAAGATATTAAGACTTTCCAAAAATATTCTATCCCAATGAGAGAAACAGAGAAATAGCATGGTCTGACCTGATACTGTGGCTTTCCCAGAGATGGGGTTTGGTGTGGACACCAGGGATGTGGCACTGACGACAGTGGGGGTCGCAGTCTTGCAGGTTCCCATGGTGGCCTGGCTCACACACACTTGGGGCTGCCCAACAGTTTTCATTACAGAACCAATAGTAGACGATGAAGCAGGGGCTGTTCCTTCAGCCTGTTTATTCACACCACCAGAAATGAAGAAATCAAGATGACAGAAGTGTAACTTCCTTCAAGCAGTGACTGCCATCACACACTCAGTAAATATGAACTATCAGCTAACACCTACATATTAAATGCCAAGCCATTTGAAAAAAAGATGGCCTCTCTAATTCAGTGGTTCCTATACTTCTAGATTTCATACACCACCAAAATGAAGCAGTGTTGTAGGGTTACCACATTAAAATAATTCATCATTAGTTTTATCACCTTTTTTTTTTGTCGGTCATGGGGCCTGAACTCTGGGCCTGGGCCCTGTCCCTCAGCTATTCAGTTGAAGGCTAGCACTCTACCACTTGAGCGTCAGCCCTACTTCCGGCTTTTTCTGCTTATGTGGTGCTGAGGAATCAAACCCAGGGCCTCATGCATGTAAGGCAAGCACTCTATCACTGAGCCACCTTTCCAGCCCCTAGTTTTATCACTTTTAATGAAAGGTTACTTTGATGCCAAAAAGTGGAAGGACAGAATGAAATAATGGAACAAAATGAGCTTTGTTAAAAAACAACTATCTAGTGGCTGGGAAGGTGGCTTAGTGGTAGAGTGCTTGCCTAGAATGCATGAAGCCCTGGTTACATTCCTCAGTACCACATAAATGAAAGAAGCTGGAAGTGGTGCTGTGGCTCAAGTGGTAGAGTGCTAGCCTTGATCAAAAAGCTCAGGGACAGTGCCCAGGATGAGTTCAAGCCCCAGGACTGGCACAATAAACCAAACAACTGTCTACAAAGTGTAAATGTCTTAAGTCTGAAGTGTCATTCGAGACCTCTGCTATTTGATGGGCAATCAGGAAGAGGTCATGAAGTGTGTCATATGGTACAGCAGGAACAGGGGCAAGGCCCCAGGAACAGGGGCAAGGCAACACACAAGTGAGAAGGAAGACATTGCTTCTGCCTCTTAGATATCCTAAAAATGGGGGTGGTGGAGAAAAGGTAATGGTAAGACAATGGCACTTTATAAGACCTTTCAAGATTCAAGGCAGAGAGAGGGAAAAAATAAAAGTATTTCTTGGTATGCCGAAAGCCTAAAGGATGCAAAAAGTGGTATGCTAAGGAGGTGCAAAGTAGAGTGAAGCAGGCTACAGTTGTAGCTGTAGGTCATGAAACTTGAGGAGTAAGCAAAGAGTCAGATCATACAGATCAAGTTAGAAAAGAAACTTCAAATCTTGCTGGGAAAAATGGATATTGATATATGAAAGAATGAAGTTTGGTCCCTACCTCACACCATATGCAAAAGTAAATTCAAAATGGAGTTAAATTTAATGAAACTAAATATGAGAGGAAAACACAGTCTTAAATATTTTGGCCTTGGGGGCTGGGTTGGCATGTAGCTAGATAGTAAAGTACTTGCATAGCATGTGCAACACCCTCTGTTCAATACCTACCACTGGGGGGAGAAAAAAAAGTAACATTGGATTGGTACTGGGTCGGTCTCTATCCTCTCTCTCTTTCCTCTTTCCTTTCTCCCTCTCTTCTTCTCTCCCCCTCCGCCTCCACTCTCCCTCTCCCCCTCTCCCTCCCTCTCTCTCTGCAGGTCCTTGGACTTACATTCAGGGCCTGAACCTCTCTGTGCTCAAGGCTAGCATTCTACCACTTGAGCCACAGCTTTTTACTTCCCTGCCTGGTGTAGCTTGGCTATGATCCTCAGATCTCAGCCTCCTGAGATCTCCTGTGGCACCTGGCTAGTACTCGGTTTAACACCAAAAGACACCGTACAAGCAATAAAAGAAAAACAGATAACTTGAACTTTTGTGGTTAGAGCATATCATCAATAAAATGAAATAAACATTATCTAAAAAGCAGTGTGCTATTTGCTTGATTTATGCAACTGTAACCCCTCTGCACAATTCCTTTATAATAACAATTTTTTTTTGTTTGTTTTTGCCTGTTGTGGGGCTTGAACTCTGGTCCTGGGCACTGTTCCCTCAGCTCTTCAGCTGAAGGCGAGCGCTCTATCACTTGAACCACAGCACCACTTCTGGTTTTCCGGTGGTTTATTGGAGATAAGAGTCTCATGGACTTTCCTGCCAGGGCTGGTTTTGATCTCAGAGTCCTCAGTAGCTAGGATTACAGGCATGAGCGCCAGGCTTATAATAACAATTTTTTAAAAATTGTTTTTGTTAATTTTTTTTTAAAGAAGAGCAGTAGAGAAAAAAAGTTTGGAATTAAGAGAAAAAACCTGCAAATCTGGCATCCATCCATCCATCCATCCATCCATCCATCCATCCATCCATCTATCTATCTATCTAAAAAGACAAATAACTAAAATTGGGCAAATGATTTGATCTGAATAGATAATTTTCCAAAGATGTACAAATGGCCAATATACATATGGGATGTTTGATAGCATTACTTGTTAGGGAATTTCAAATCAAAACTACAAGATATCACTTCACTTAAAGGACAAGACAAAAGTGTTACTGGGGTTGGGGAATTAGCTCGGTGGAAAAGCACTTCCCTGGCAAGTGCAAGGACCTAAGTTCAGTTCTGGGGGGGGGGGGGGGGTAAGGGGGGAGGGGGAGGAGCTATAAAATACCCCCCCAAAAAAGACAATTAGAAAAACTGTTACAAGGACATGGAACTCACACAAATTGCTGGTGGAAATATAAAATGGTATAGCTACTTGGGAAATGGTCTGCCAGTTCCTCAAAATATTAAATACAAGTTACCATATGAACCAGCAATTTTATTGCTAGTATAAAGGTAATAGGAATGAAATTATGTTTATACAAAAAAATGAGTACATAATGTTCATAGTAGCACTTTTCCTACTGACCAAAAAGTAGAAAGCAATCCAGATGGCCATCAACTGATAGACAAAATGTGGTACATCCATAAAACTTAATGAACAATATTCATCTATAAAAAAGGAATAGACTACTGATTCATACTACAGCATGGATGAACATTAAAAATGTTATGCTAGGGCTGGGAATGTGGCTTAGTGGTAGAGTGCTTGCCTAGCATGCATGAAGCCCTGGATTGTATTCCTCAGTATCACATAAATAGAAAAACCTGGAAGTGGTGCTGTTGGTCAAGTGGTAGAGCACTAGCTTTGAGCACACAGAGACTCGAGGACAGTGCTTGACTTCAAGCTCCAGGACTGGTTAAAAAAAAAAAAAAAGTTATGCTAGGCAAAAGATGTCAGAAATAAGCCAGGTGCCAGTGACTCATGCCTGTAATTCTAGTTACTCAGGAGGTTGAGCTCTGAGGATCACAGTTCAAAGCTAGCCCAGGTAGGAAAGTCCGTGAGATTCTTATCTCTAATAAACCACTAGAAAACCGGAAGTGGCGCTGTCGCTCAAGCGGTAGAGCACTCGCCTTGAGCTGAAGAGCTGAGGGACAGCGCCCAAGCCCCCCCGGCCGACACAACAAAACAAAACAAAAACCCAAAAAGATGTCAGAAATAGAAGGATGCATGTTGTAGGACTATATTTATATGAAATATCTTAAAGAGGCCAAATCCATGAAGAAAGAATAGTCATCCTCCAGGACTGGGGAATGACTGCTAATGGTGTAAGTTTTCTTTTGGGACCAGGGAAACCTTCTGGGCTAGACAATAATGATGAGAGTTTTGCACCCCTGTGAGTATATTAAGAATTGTTGGTTTACCACTGCCCATGGGAATTTTTTTTTTTTTGGTCCAGTTGTGGGGCCTAACTCTGGGTCTGGGCGTTGTCCCTCAGCTCTTCAGCTCAAGGCTAGCGCTTTACCACTTGAGCCACAGCGCCACTTCCGGCTTTTTTCTTATGTGGTGCTGAGGAATTGAACCCAGGGCCTCAGGCATGCAAGGCAAGCGCTCTACCACTGAGCCACCTTTCCAGCCCCCATGGGAAATTTTTAAAAAAAGAAAATGGTTGTGGCTGGGAAGGTGGCTCAGTGGTAGAGCGCTTGCCTTGCATGCATGAGGCCCTGGGTTCGATTCCTCAGCACCACATAAGCAAAAAAGAAAAAAGCCAGATGTGGCACTGTGGCTCAAGTGGTAGAGCGCTAGCCTTGAGCTGAAGAGCTGAGGGACAGCGCCCAGGCCCAGAGTTCAGTCCCCACGACCAGGTTACCCCCCATCCCCCCAAAAAAAGAGAAAGAAAATGGTTTCAATTTTTAAAGATTCACTGGTATCCCTGCTAAATAGGTTCTGCAAGTTCATCTTGATTTTCTGCTTCTTGATGATTTTCTAACTTCATGCTAACTCACCTGCTGAGCAGGACCATTTGTTGAGAGGGTCACAGCTGGGGAGGTAGCTGTTGTGATAACCCCTCCTGCTACTCGCAGCATTGTGGTTCCAGGTTTTGAGAGTTGTGAAGTCGATGGCACAGTCTTCAAGGTGCTATCAGATATCTTCATTAGAGATGCCTGCCCAGCAGGAGCTGCCTGAAGAAACAAAATAGATAGAAGTAATAATAGTTCATAATTTAGTCCTTAGCCATGTTTGCGAGTACATCAATTGACAGTACATAACAAGGAATAAATTGAACTATGAGATGTTTATGTACATTTCCAACAAGTGTAAATTTTTTACCTTTGAACTACCACTGATTCAGAACAAATAAATGAATGCAATTCCAAAACCCTACTTGGTAGCAGTTTTCAAAGATACCAAGCCATCTGTTTTCAAAATAACTGAGCCCAAAACAAATGGAAGGAGAAAGGGTAAGCAAATGCAGTCATTACATTCAATGTACACAATGTAAAACTTGAAATATGTAATTTGAGGGTAGGAATGGGAGGGGGGATTGGAGGAGAACAATAGAAAGGGGGACACTGATCCAGCTGCATTATACGCGCAACCAGACTTATGGAAGTGAAACCTCTCTGTAGAATAAACAGTTTAAACATTAAAAAGTAACTGAGCCTAAAGTGCTCTAAAATGTACATAAAATCTTTACACATGAAAATAAAACCCAGGGTAGGACAGTGGTGCTCTACAGACTTAGCATTTAGGATTACAGGGTCATTCAGCAAATTACTGCCTCAATTATCTACATCAAGGCTCAGTAAAATTTTTATTTATAAAAAGAGTAAACATACATTTTTAGTTTTGCAGAGTCACTGTTTCAATTCCCCCCCCCCTTTTTTTTTTGGGTCCGCTCGTGGGGCTTGAACTCTGGACCTGGGCACTGTCCCTCAGCTCTTCAGCTCAAGGCGAGAGCTCTACTGCTTGAGCCACAGAGCCACTTTCTGTTTCAATTCCTTAATGCTACTACTATGATAGCATGAAATAAGTGTGACTGAGTTCTACAAAACCTCAAAGCTTTGGGAGTAATAAACTAATTGAAGGCATAATGTCTGAAATTAAATGCCCATCACAAGCAGATGCCATTTTTCAGTTTGAGAGTGTAAGATGTTCTAGATGGTAGAAAGCACTTGTACTTATCTATGTCACTCATTAGTCATTCTTTTCATTAACTATAAAGGGCAAATTTAGTCCTATCATAGAGATGAGATTAAGATCAGTGACTGTATCAAGCTAGTTAACTAGAGAATCATGATCAGAATCCTAAAATAATAGCCAACCACTGGAAATATAGCTCAACCATACAGCACTTGCCTAGCATGCCCAACACCCTAGGTTTGATCCCAGCACCAGCACAACCTGCAAAAACCTAGCATAAACTGAAACAGGTAAAAGACTATAAAATTCTGAAGAAAAGCGTTGAAGACACCAGAAGATGGAAAGCCCTTTCTTATGTTCATGTATTGCTAGAATATTGTGAAAATAGCTATACTAGTGAAAGCAATACACAAATTTAATGCAATGCCCATCACATTCTCAGTGTTATCCTTGGAAGAAATAATAACAAAGACCAATGGGAGAGAAAAGAAAGCCCAGAAATAAAACCACATAGCTACAATCATCTGATCTTGACAAAGGTGCCAAACCAACACTGGGAAAAAGCCTCTTCAACAAATAGTGCTGGGGAAATGGCAACTCCAGGCAGAAGACTGAAACTAGACCCTGTCTCACTCTGTACATCGAACTGGATCAAAGATCTAAATGTAGCATCTGGAATTCTGAACTATTACAAGAAGGCATAGGGGGATGCTAGAAAATATAAGCATAGGATTCCAATTTCCCAGATAAGAGCAAGAATGGAGAGAGGATTGTATCAAATTTTAAAAAATTCTGCATGTCAAAAGAAACAATGACCAGAATCAAGAACTTACATAAAGGGAGAAAATCTTCTACAGCTATCCAACAGGTAAAACCCAAAAAAATTGAACAGGAAAAAAAATCTAATTAGTAAATATACAATTTTCTCAACCATAAAGGAAATGCAAGTCAAAATTACAGCAAGATTCCATCTGACCTGTCAGAAAGGCAATTAAAAAGAAAGTAAAGGGGCTGGGAAGGTGGCTCAGTGGTAGAGCGCTTGCCTTGCATGCATGAGGCCCTAGGTTCGATTCCTCAGCACCACATAAGCAGAAAAAAAACCAAGCCAGAAGTGGCGCTGTGGCTCAAGTGGTAGAGCGCTAGCCTTGAGCTGAAGAGCTGAGGGACAGCACCCAGGCCCAGAGTTCAGGCCCCATGTTCGGACCTCCCCCTCTCCCCCCCCCCCCCCCCACAAAAAAGGAAACAGGGCTGGGAATGTGGCTTAGTGTAGAATGCAAGCATGAGGCCCTGGGTTTGACTCCTCAGTATCACATAAATAGAAAAAGGTGGAAGTGGTGTGGTGGCTCAAGTGGTAGAGCACTAGCCTTGAGCTGAAGAGCTCAGCAACAGTGCCCAGGCCCAGAGTTCAAGCCCTACAACCACCACCTCTACCACTACTACCACCAACAAAAGCAAACAAATGACATGACCAGCAAACAAGTGACCAGCACAAATGCTGGTGTGAATATGGGGGAAAATATAATGTTTATATACTGTTGATGGAATATAAACTAGTATACTAATTCTGGAAATCTCTATTTCCATAGTGAAAATATAATATGGAGGCATCTCAAAATACTAAACAGACTTATTTTATGATTCTGTAATACCAGTCTTGGGCATACATCTGAAAATCAATATACAAGATATTTGCATACCCATATTTACTGCAGCTCTGTTGACTATAACTAATCTGTGTCATGAGCAGCTGGGCTCAACAACCAAAGAATGGTGAGAGAAAAAAAATGTAATATGACCTTGCAGGAAAATGGAATAACTAGCCGTGCCAATGGCTTATGTCTGCAATCTTAGCTATTCAAGAGGTTGAGATTTGAGGATCATGCTTTGAAGCCAGAGCAGGTAGGAAAAGTCCTTGAGATTCTTATCTACAATAATCTACTCAGAAAAAGCCAGAAGTGGTGCTGTGGCTCAATTAGTAGAGTACTAGCTAGCCTTAAGCAAAAGAAGCTCAGGCCCAGAACCCAGGCCCAGAGCTCAAGCTCTGGGTTGGACACACACACACACACACACACACACACACACACACACACACACACACACACACACACACACACACACACACAGGCCCAGAGCTCAAGCTCTGGGTTGGACACACACACACACACACACACACACACACACAGGCCCAGAGCTCAAGCTCTGGGTTGGACACACACACACACACACACACACACACACACACACACACACACACACACACACACACACACACACACACACACACACACACACACACACACACACACACGGTAGCAATGTAAAACACACTAAACAGTGTTTGAGAAGGGAAAGGAGAAAGGGAGAAACAGGAATATCCTAGGAGTGAACTTGTTCAACATGTACTGTATGCATGTATGGAATTATCACAATGAAACTCACTATTACTAATGTATGCTAATTTTAAAAATGAAGTAGGGGCTGGGAAGGTGGCTCAGTGGTAGAGTGCTTGCCTTGCATGCATGAGGCCCTGGGTTCGATTCCTCAGCAGGAAAAGCTGGAAGTAGCGCTGTGGCTAAAGTAAGAGCTGAGGAACAGCTCTGGGATAGGCCCAGAGTTCAGGCCCTATGACCACCCCCCCCCCCCAAAAAAAAGTAAACTTTAAAAAAGATTTGGAGATCTAGCTACAATATCCTCCTACAGATCATGGTATCCCTTGACCAGTCAAAATTCCATCATTTCTCTTTGATGACATTACTACTCTTTATTCTAAAGAATGCTACAGCTTTTTTTCCCAGCTCTCTTTCCCAGCAGCATGGAGGGCCAACATGGCCTGGTGCCAGCCGGAACGATGAATAAACCTACCCCTTACCTGAATACCACGTGCATGGTGCTGTTTTTACTCGGCTACCTCTTTTTAAAAACCTAACATAAACGGTGCCGAAACCCGGGAAGGGCTTAAAGTCAGGGTAAGTGGGATTCCTCTCCGTTTTTTGTTTGTTTTTATTTTTCCCTATTTTGCTCTGAGGAATACCCACAGTTCTAACGGCCTTTTGCGAACCCATCTGTCTGCTGCAGACACAGCGCATTGATACCATTGCTGCCTTCACATCCACGTCCACTCTTCTCTACTCTGGTGAGTGAAACTACTCTCTATGGTTCTCAGTTGCTCAGTCTCTGTCCAGACGTGGTGCCATGCCAGAGAGCTCCTACGGCCTTTAGCCGAAAGGCCGGTCACCTCTGAAGCCGAGGACGCTTGGTTTTTGGGGCTTGGCCATTTCTCTCTAGAGGGCTCTAGGAGAAATTGGGATGCAGCTTCTGCCTGGTCAGCTCTCCTTCACTCACCAGAATGACTCTCCTACACATTTAATGGTGTGCTGCAAATCACACCCAAGCAGTGAAAACCCTTTGAGACGCCTCCTGCGCTCCCTGGAAAGCCAGAGCGCCTCATTTTTATGCCATTCTCAGATGTAGACAGGTTTTGCCACTGCAAATGTAAATGGTCAGAAGTCTGTTTACTTTCAGGTTCTCTTTGCTCTCTCTCTGCCAGTCATGTCCAGCTTTCCCTATCTCTCCCTTTCTCTTTTCTACATTTTGGCTTGTGCCCTGAAGAGTGCGCTGCAGGCTGGGTCCCGGGGACCTCCCTCTAGGTTCCCTCTCAAAGGCTAGCCAATGTAGGCTTGACCTACTTGTTCAGGGTTTCTTTGCATTTTTTCAGAAATTTGCCATCTTGGCCACAAGGTGGGTTAAGGGTTTGGCCCCATCTGACCCTTAACCTTCCACCAAGCTTACTACTCCATCTATTCTAAGGTGCCTTGCTAACAAGTTGCTCTTTTCAGCCCTGGTAACTGAAGCCCAACCATCTGATGTGTTTTGTTAGCAAAGATGTCTAAACGTTGTCAAAATTTTAGGTTTTGAGTTTTGCCTTTTTTGTTTTGTGTTGTGTATTCTAGCACTGACTACATGACTCTAAAATATTGGGCATATCTGTGCTAAGATTCTCATATCCAATGAGTTTTGTCATTTCAGAATATTTGTTGGCAATTCTTGATAAGAACCAGGTAACCTCTACTTATTCTACTTGATCTCCTTGTTGCTTTAATTGGAAATAATAAAAGGCTTTTGTGGCAAAGATTGCAGTTCAAAGCCAGCCCAGGCCGAAAAATCCCTAAGTCTCCATCTCCCAACTAACCTGCAAAGAGCCAAGCTGGAAGCAAGGCTCAAGACTCTTATCTCTAACCAGCCAAACACTGGAAGTGGTACTGTAACTCAACATGGTAAAGCACTAGCCTTGAGCAGAAGTGCTTAGGGACAGTTCCCAGGCCTTGAGTTCAAACCTTCTTGAATACCAACTGGGACAAGCCATCCCAGCAACGAGCACCTAGACTCAGCCAGTCTGGGGAACAAGGGAACATGGAAAGCAGTAAGAGGAGATGATGTCACATCAGCTACTTTGTGCCTGCCCTTTCAAAATTAACCAGAGCCGGGAGGTCAGTAGAAGTAAGAAGCCTGCCCATCCAATTTCTATACCTGTCTACCTAATAACAGTAATTTATATTCTTGTCTTTGTTTTTTTTTTTTTTTTTTGGTCTGGTCGTGGGGCCTGAACTCTGGGTCTGGGCGCTGTCCCTCAGCTCTTCAGCTCAAGGCTAGCGCTCTACCACTTGAGCCACAGCGCCACTTCCGGCTTTTTTCTTTTTGCTTATGTGGTGCTGAGGAATCGAACCCAGGGCCTCAGGCATGCAAGGCAAGCGCTCTACCACTGAGCCACCTTCTCAGCCCCATATTCTTGCCTTTGTCACCTGACTTCTCTACCTAAAGTCAGAAGTAGCTAGGGACATTTCTACCAACATTTTTAGCCCCAAGTCCTTCCTCTTGCCATTTATTTGCTCTTTAGTATTTTTTTTCCCCAGCCCCTCAATGCCTCATGAGACTTCTCCAGACTTCATCTAAGGACTCACGCCACCAAGGGACACCTGCTGCTTGCTGCCTTCTCTGGGAGGGGACCAAATTCTAGCCTTTTACCCCTAACATTAATGCCCCTTGTCAGCAGAAAGTAGCCAGAGAGAATCCACGCACTATTTCATGATTATTAAAAGGCTGGAATGTAAGGTCCGCTCCTGGATGGCGAGCAGACTCCACCTTCCTCGCAGCGAAGTCTCCACCCAGTACCTGCGTTACCTAGGCAAATGGCACATCTGGAAGAGGTCACATCTGAATTTGATGTGGCCATACCCTAGATAAAGCCTAGCCCAGGCCCAGACTCTCTTTTTCCCAGGCCCTTCCCAGGCCTTTCCCAGTGGCATGGAGGGCCAACATGGCCTGGTGCCAGCCGGAACAATGAATAAACCTACCCCTTACCTGAAGAAAAAAAAAAGCTACAGAAACAGGATGCAGAACTCTCAGTAAGTGCTATAGCACTAATTGTATCAATAGTGTGCTGCCATCTATTACGATATATCAGACTTCAGGTAAATTTTAGAAAAAAAACTTACAATTAAGCTGGGTGCTGGTGGCTCAAACCTGTAATTTTAGCTACTCAGGAAACTGAAATCTGAGCATCAAGGTTTGAAGCCAGCAAGGGTAGGTAAATCTGAGAGACCCTGTCTCTAATTAACCAACAAAAAGTCAGAAGTGTAAAAAAACCCCACAGAAGTAGAGGTGTGGCTCAAGTGCCACACTTGAGCAAAAAAGCCAAGCAAGAGCATAAAGCTCAGTATGGGAAGGCTGTGCACACATTTGCATACACACATAGTCAAGGAATCTTTGTTTCCTCTAAGGAAAAGTCATTTTTAAAAATTTTTCTCACAGATAGTGTGATTTTGTGACTGATAATTTTCGCTTTCACTATTAAATTTATACCTTGCTTTATTAACTGTATAAGAGTATATCATTTGTGTACCTGCATAAGCTTGGCTCTATGTTCTCATTCTTATCATTTTCCCAAACTTGAAATGTAATTATTTTACCTTTGACCACTATTTCATTATTTGTTCATTTAATATGAAATGTTTTGTGAATCTGCATGTCATCCTTGCATGTATCATTTGCCAAAATGAGCAGCGAGTAGCACATTGTTTATTTTCTTATGTAAACTTCTTTAAAACTTTTTGGAGGTTGTATAAAGAGAGAAGCTAAAAAATTATGTATAAAAGATACATATCACAGCATATTAGAAATATACAGGTGTGCATTCACCTGAGTAAACAAAGTGGTTTTCTGTCCAGAGATGACTTTCAGTGTCTGCTGTCCCTGTGCAGAAGATGTGCTGACTCCCAGGGTACCTTGGACCACTGACCCAGTAGTCAGTTGTTTTCCAGATGTCTGGGGTGATGGCTGGCCAACTAAAAATGTCCCCTAAGTTAGGTAAAGAAAAAAGAAAGAAACCAGAATTTGTTGAATTCAAATGAGTTGCTGATCCTTTATATCACAAGGTACCAATCAATGTTCTCCCCTTCATTTTATAATTGAGTCACTATAACGGAAGAGTATCAGTAAGTTAGAAGCATCCCCACTTCTCCAACTTTGCATAGTAGTTAGACCAATATGATGTAAACTTGAGTTTTGCAATCTAGTTCTCAAAAACTCAATTTAATCAGTCAGATAAATTATCCATCCTCTGCAAGAAGACCTGGAAAGGAAGACTTCTGTGACACAGGGAACAGCAGGAATCTGTTCTATTGTATCCAATCTAACTTCAACATAGTTTGATTTTCTTTGGTTATAGCCTTTGAAGAGCAAAATTTCAATTAGCATAGTGGAAATCTTTCTTTGGGGAAGGAAGATCTGGACAAGCCCTAAATAATATAGACTTCTAATATGGCTAAAATGTTAGTGTTGATCCCTGATCTCAAAGTAGCAAATGTAAATCAATCATAATTAAAGGTAACTGTCAGACAGGTGTAGGATTGCTAAGATTAAGCACAAGTGACCAGACCTGGGGAGTTTGCTTGAGGATGTAGGAGGTGTAAGTCAGGTGTTGGGAGATTCCTCCAGGGCTGGTGGTACTCTGGGTTCCTCCTGCTCCACCGCCACTGCTGCCTCCACTTCCTCCTCCTCCTGCGCTGCCACCACTGCTGGCTGCTGAGCTGGACTGGAGGTCTACCAATGCAGTGAGTGACAGCAATCATGAGAAGTACAAAGAAAAATCTATACAGAAAAGGCAGGCAAGCCTAAACAGACTTCTCATGTGCCATCATTCCTTTCTGCCTCCTCCTATTAACTATGACAATAAGAATGTCCTACTGGGCACTGGTGGCTCACACCTGTAATCCTAGCTATTCAGGAGGCTGAGATATAAGGATGGAGGCTCAAAGCCAGCCCATGCAGAAAGTCCCCATGCAACACTTATTTCTAATTAACCACTCAAAAACTGGAAGTGGAGCTGTGGCTCAAAGAGGCAGAGTGCTAGCCCTGAGCAAAAGAGCTCAGGGACAGTGCCCAGGCCCTGAGTTAAAGCCCCACAACAGAAAAACACACACACACACACACACAAAAACACACACACACAAAAACCCCCAAAAGATAGGACTAAAATCTAGTTATAGGTTGAGCATTGTTCTGTACACCTAAAATCCAAATTTTTTTGAGCATTAAAGAATATTAAAAAGTTTTGAATTTTAGAGCATTTGGGATTTCAAGTATTTGGATTATGGATGCTCAATTGGTAAAGTCTGCAAATATTCCAAAATACAAACTCTGATATCTACAACGCTTCTGGTCCTAAGCACATACTATAAATAAGCATATTAGCCCATACTTTCAATTGCCAGCTGACTATTCCAGCTCTCAATACAATGAAGAAAGCTGTGAGGGAAGAAGCCTGATATGGACATTTTTTAGCTCCTTTTAACTACTGTGTCTTTTTGTTTTGTTTTGTTTTTGTTGGTCATGGAGCTTGAAATCTGGGCCTGGGTGCTGTCCCTCAGCTCTTCAGCTCAAGGCAAGTGCTCTACCACTTGAGCCACAGCACCACTTCCAGTTTTCTAGTGGTTTATTGGAGATAAGAGTCTCACAAACTTTGAACCATGATCCTCAGATCTCAAGCTTCCTGAGAAGCTAGGATTACAGGCGTGAGCCACCAGTACCCCGGCTAACTACTGTGTCTTATCCTCTTTTGTTTTTCACATTCTACTTCAAAGCCTACAGAATTTACTCAATATATCGTTTTCCTTCCCACCTTATTTTTGGTGATTATTGGGAAGAGATTTCCAATGATTTATTTTGTCCTTGAGAATATCACAAAATCTAAGTAGCTTTCTGGGTAAATCTGGATACTACACTGTCCTTACCTTGCTTTTTCAACCTCCTACTACTCAGGGTAAGAATGGTAACAACCCACCAGAGAATAACAAAACAGCAACTAGTTTACTTAGCTTTAATTTGGTAGCCAAGCCCAACCAAGCTTACTCTCCAAGATCAGGCAATATTAGGTACATTCACAATGGTTTGTTAGTAGATAGGGTGTCTCTTTCAAACAAGTCTGATTGCCATGCTACTCCATTTCTGATTCAGAGAAAAATAATTGGCCTTTCCTTCTCAATAACACTCACATTGGTTCTCTCGGTTTCTTTTTTCATCTCTAAACCTAGCCAATATGTTTAAATGATGGCAAACGAAGACATTGATTCCAATTGTATTCTATCCCATTTAAGGTGAAAACAGACTTCCAGCTGAAAATGGACATTCCTTCAGGCATAACTAGAGAGTTTTCTCCTAATACAGCCTGAATTGCCATACTTCTTCAGTGTGACCCGTCCCTGATCCAAAACTGCTTAGGAAAGCCCAAAATAACAGTGGCACCTCCTAAAATGATAGTTATTTAAAAATACTTCTAGTTAGGTTATCTGTATTGTTAAGTTTGTTTTTGTTTTTTGGTGCCAATTCTGGGGCTTGAACTCAGGGCCTGGGTGCTGTCGTTGAGCTTTTTTGTTCAAGGCTAGTGTTCTATCCACTTGAGCCATAGCTCCACTTCTTGGTGATTAGTTGGAGATAAGAGTTTCACAGAACTTTCCTGCCCAGGCCGGATTCAAACAGAGATTCTATGATCTCAGCCTCTTGAGTACATAGGATTACAGGAATGAGCCACCAGTGACTAAGTGTATGTTTTAAATCTTCCAGGGCAAATGTGATTACACCACCAAAAAGAATTATAAAAATAGTTCCTAGAACAGTTAAGGACGGCCCCTTAGCCAGAGATGAACACACCTAGAAACCCAAGGACCAAATGATTTATTGATGGACTAACTAGCATTGTTGGTTGCTCGCAGGATGGCTCCTTGAGGAATCAGCAGCAGTTTTCCTTTTCCCGAAGGGTTCTTGCTGTTCGTAGTAAGGTAGAGTTTAGTGCCTGGAGGTAAATTTGCCAAATTGGCCAAATTTGTGGCTGGTAGTTGCAGTGTTGCCATCACTAAAATGGTGGAGGGGGGAGAAGAGGAAAATCTTTAAGATAACTAGAACATTAACACTCTAAAATTATATAGTAAAATAGGTTATTTAAAACATAAAAAGTATACTTAAGTTGTTCCTAGGTGCTTTTTAAGGATATTTCTTTCTTAAATATCTTGTTAACTAAAAAATAACTTCCACACCAGAAGGATTTTCTACAAATTAATTTATCTTGCATATAAGTAGGCTGATCATTGTCTTGGTTTTGCCCAGAACAATTCTAGTTTACATAGGTGTTGTTACCACTGCTAGGTGTTGAGCATGGCACACTAAGTACACACTACCACTTAAGCTGTAACATCAGATTTTCGTTACTTACATAATCACTGACATGATAACATCTATGGATAAATACACATTACCCCCATTTGTTTAAAGTTCTGTTAGTCAATATCTAGTAAGAATGGAATTTAGTGGCCTGGCACTGGTAGCTCATGCTGGTAATCCTAGCTACTCAAGAGGCTAAGATCTAAGGATCATGGTTTGAAGCTGGCCCAGATAGGAAAGCTTTTGGAACTCTCATCTCTAAACACCAAAAAAGCTGAAAGTGGAGCTGTGGTTTAAGTGGTAGAGTGCTAGCCTTAAGGACAAAAGCTCAGGGACAGTGCACAGGCCCTGAGGTCAAGCCTCAGAAAGGCACAAAGAAAGGACTGAATTTATTGATTTAAAACAACATTTCTGGCATCCCTTACTTTTAAGAACACAGACATGCTGTCAGTCAAGAAATGGCATGCATATATATATATATTATGAAATCACAATTCTCTTTCATAACTAAATACCAAATCCTGATTAGGTTTTGCTCTTATACTAAGAATTTGTCAATGTCAGTGTCAACATTGTACATGACTTATTTTATTCTCTGGCTTCTCAGCTATTTGATTTCCTTAAAAACTCCAGAGAACATTTCTTCCAAACTATCTCATGTACGTTTTTAGTTGTGTGTGTCTGTTAGTACTGCAGCCTTGTACTCTGGCTTGACTTTTTAGCTCAGGACTGGCATTCTAGCGCTTCAGCCACACCTCTACTTTACAGCTTTTGCTGGGTAAGAGTCTCATACACTTTACCACCCAGGCTTGTTTTAAACCATGATCCTCAGATCTCAGCCTCCTGAGTAGCTTTATAGCCATGAGCTATATAGCTATAGCTACCATGAGCTACCATGCTCCAGTTCCTTGGGTTTGGAGATAAAATCTTATTATGTAATCTAGATTAACCTGGAACTCCCAATTATAAGGCTTCAGCTTTCCAAGTGCTGAGGTTACAAATATGAGCTACCATGCACAGCTCTCATGCACTCACAGCTTTTTTGTTGGTTGGGCTCGAACTCAGAGCTTGGGTGCTGTCCTGAGTTCTTTCAATCAAGGCTAGTGCTCTACTACTTTTGAGCCACAGCTCTACTTCCTCATGTACTTATTTTTAATACCATACATGGACTGGACCACCACCAGCATTTGATCACTTCTAAAATCTGTTTTGGATATTTATTGCTTGCTTGCTTGCTTCCTTTCTTTCTTTTTGTCAGTCATGGGGCTTGAACTGTAGGCCTAGGCAATGTCCCTGAATTGTTCAGCTCAAGGCTAGCACTCTACCACTTGAGCCAAAGCACCACTTCTGGTTTTCTGGTAGTTTACTGGAGATAAGTCTCATAGACTTTCCTGCCCCAGCTGGCTTTGAATCATGATACTCAAATCTCAGCCTCCCGAGTAGCTAGTATTACAGGCATGAGCCACCAGTGCCCGGCTATTTACTGCTTTCTATCCCCTCTAACTTTCTGTAACAGTTATTTGGCCTCATTTAGACCTTCAATGTCTTAAGGTATTTCTTTCAGGCTATCAAAGAAACAATACATTAAGGACTAAAATAGGGCTGGGAAGGTGGCTCAGTGGTAGAGCGCTTGCCTTGCATGCATGAGGCCCTGGGTTCGATTCCTCAGCACCACATAAGCAAAAAGAAAAAAAGCCGGAAGTGGCACTGTGGCTCAAGTGGTAGAGCGCTAGCCTTGAGCTGAAGAGCTGAGGGACAGTGCCCAGGCCCAGAGTTCAGGTCCCATGACCGGAGACACAGACACAAACACACAGACACAGACACACAGACACAGACACACAGACACAGACACAGACACACACACACACACACACAGACTAAAATATATTCAAATGGTTCAAAGTTCTATTTGGTAGAAAACTCAAACATCTCAAAATGGTGGTAGCAAATGCTCATACCAGGATATTAAACCTGAAATACAACCCAATTGTGGATGAAAACATTGAGAATTATTCTTTCGACCTGAAAGAAGTGTCAGGAAATGTTTTCAATTTTTATTATACTTACACACATATAAATACAAACTACTTATAAGTAGTTTGCTTTACGTTTCATTATACATTTCTATTAAATGGAATGTTTCTGTATACTTCTGATAGCAATAGCTGATTAGACTGCCCTAATCTAATACCAAATAAAATTAGCAAAGCAAATTCTGGCAGAGATGCTGCTAACATGGTCCCCAATTAGGATCAGTTACCTGAGCCCTGGGATCCACTCTTCTGAGGTCCAGTGGCAGTGACTTGAGCCTTGGTTATGGTCTGCACTGGCTGAGCAACAATGGTTCCTCCACCTCCACTCACAATGGCTTTGGCAACTCCTTGGGTCACTACTTGCTTTGGACCAACTGCTTTGGCAACAGAAGAGCTGGTCTTGGCTACAAGGATTTGGCTACCACTGATGGCCACAGCCTGCTTTACTGTTGAGGGTAAGGCAGACCCAACAGGCACCCCAACAACCTGTTCAAAACACAGAGAAAAAGTCTGGCAGTGTTGTTTTGCACAGTGCCTTTGAGAATTCTGAAACAAAGCAGCTACTGTGTTCTAGCAAAGAACAAGGCAAAGACCTGGAGAGAACAGATAAGAGCCTAATTCAGTCCCTGAGCAAGGCTGCCTGGACAGATGTGAGACAATATTGCTCACATTTTAGCTATTATAATATTAAAATCTTAAGTACTGTTGGCTTGAACTCAAGATAGTTTTCAGAACTTTGAGTAATGAGTTTTGGGTTTTTGTTTTTTAATAGAAAATTGAGGAGATTTAGCTGGATACAGTGTGACTCATGCCTATAATCCTAGTTACTTGGAAAGCAGAGATTGGGAGGATCACAGTTTGAGGCCAATGTGGGCATAAAGTTATACATACTCTATCTTAAATAATATAGTTGGTTGTGGTGGCACACACTTGTCATTGTTAATTACAGAAAATCATAAATACAAGAATGACAGGGCAGCCTAAGCATAAATGTGAGATACTACCTGCAAAGTAATGAAAGCAAAAAGGGCTGTGAACATGATTCAAGAGGCAGAGCACCTGCCACTATTAAGTACAAGGCCCCGAATTCAAATCCCATACTACAAATATATATATATATATAAAATCAGTTCTCCAGCTAGCCCTCAAATCTTTCACCAACATAAATGAGAAGAGAACTCAGAAAGGATTTCAACTTGAGGGAAAAATGAATTGCAATTGATGAGATAAAGCCTCATTTTGTTTGTAATTTCATTACCTTCAACAACAAGGAAACAGGCTGGGAATGTGGCTCAGTGGTAGTGCTTGTCTAGCATGCGTGAAGCCCTGGGTTTGATACCTCAGTACCCCATAAACAGAAGAAAACTTGAAGTAGTGCTGTGGCTCTAGTGGTAGAACACTAGCTTTGAGCAAAAGCTCAGAGACAGTGCCCAGGCCCTGAGTTCAAGCCCCATGACAGGAAAACAAAACAAAACCAACAATGAAACTTGCTTTGTGATTACTGGCTCATGCCAGTAATCTTCACTACTCAGGATGCTGAGATCTAAGGATCTTGGTTTGAAGCCAGCTGGGGCAAATAGGAAAGACTCTTACCTCCAATTAACCAGCAAAAAGCTGGAAACAGGGTGGCTCGAATGGTAAATACTACCTAGGAGCAGAAAGCTTAGCTAAAGGTCCCGAGTTCAACCCACACAAAAAATAACAAGAAAATGAAACCTGAAAAAGATACCCTGATACTGACCAAGTAAATATTTAAGACTTTAAAAAGACAAGATTTTACTATGTATCCAGGTGACCTGGACCTTACTTATGGCCCAGGCTAGTATAGAACTCCCTCTACCCTCCAAGATCTAGGATCATGTGTAGTTTCTCCTCCCTGAACTTTTTGTTTTGGGTCTGGTCATGGGCCTGAATTCTGAGCCTGGGCGCTGTCTCTCAGCTCTTCAGCTCAAGGCTAGCGCTCTACCACTTGAGCCACAGCACCACTTCCAGCTTTTTTTTTTTTTTTGCTTATGTGGTGCTAAAGAATCGAACCCAGGGCCTCAAGCATGCAAGGCAAACGCTTTACCACTGAGCCACCTTCCCAGCCCCAAAATAACAGTAATATCTTTTTGTTTTTTTGGTTGGTCGTGGGGCTTGAACTCGGCCTGAGTGTTGTCCTGACTCAGCTCTGCAGCTCAAGGCGAGAGCCCTACCACTTGAACCACAGTGCCACTTCTGGTTTTCTGAGTTAACTGGAGATAAAAGTTTCATGACTTTTCCTGCCCAGGCTGGCTTTGAACCGCAGTCCTCAGAACCCAGCCTCCTGTAATGCAGTGTGAGCCACCAGCACCCGACTCTACATGGTTTTTTCTCTGTCTTAGCCTTATTCTCCAAAGAACAGGGAAATTTGCTATGGCACACAGCTGGGTAAGGTTATTCCTGTCATTCCTATATATTTGGAAAAAAACAAAAAACAAAAAAAACCATTCTAACCAAACTGGAACTTTTCTATACATGAACTTTTTTTTCCTATTAAGTTCCTTAAAGTTTAAAAAAAAAAAAAAGAGGGGAGTTGAGGAGCAGAAACTGTTAGTTGAATCCCAGCATTTATTCTCTCCTCCTTTCTCTCTCACTCTGTTTTTATGTTAATTTAAAATGAGGTTTGGCTATGTAGCAAAGGCTGGCCTCAAACTCACAACCCTTCTGCCTCAGTATTACAGTTGTGTGCTGCTATGCCTGGCCTCCTTCTGTCTCTGGAACAGAGAAAAGAATTCCAGTTTTTAATGGGAGCCATCCATGTAGGATAATGACTACATATCCCAACCCTCTTGTACTTCTAGGTGGCTACAGAGATGTGAGCAGAAGCAATAAGAACAACCTAGGGTTCTAACTGCCCTCAGTTCCCCTTACCCTTTTTTTTTTTTTGTTAGCCAAAACTCTGAATATGGGAGCGTGAGATGAAGTCCTTACCTCAATCCACAAACTGAAAACGGAATTTGAGAATGGCTGCACAAAAGTACAGAAATATAGATTCTTGATGACTATGTACAGAACTACCAAAACAGAACCATTACTAGTTTTTTCTATGAGACAGAAACAGACTTGAAGACTCTGTTTGGACTTCTGTCATAGCATTTGATCTTTTTAAGATAGGAATCTTTACATCTACTAATTATATCAAACAATCTATTTCATAAGCTAAATTACACATATTTTCATTTCCACAAACTAACCAAATGGCAAAGATCTTAAAAGAAAAACAATGTGCTGGACCTACCAATGCCATCATCTGATGTGCTTTCCCTTTTTGGGTCAAAGTTTCCAGTATAGTCAACTCAAGAGCCTAATAAAATATGGGTTTCTTAGTTGAGCACAGGAGGGCAACCTTTACTAGCAGAACTAATAAACCACTTCAACATGAATGCTTCCTCCCATTTTAGAACACTGAAAATGAGAAATTCTGAGTTCTATCAGGAAAAATAATTCACAACTGAATCTGGATACCACAAAGAGAAATGGGACAATGTAACCCCAAATTAGTGGGTTCTTTTGTTTTTGTGTCTTTTTTTTGTCAGTAGTAGGGCTTGACCTCTGGGCCTGGGTGCTAGCACACAACCACTTAAGCCACAGCGCCACTTCCAGTTTTCCGGTGGTTAATTGGAGATAAGAGTCTTTTTTCAGTGATTATTGGAGATTACAGTCTTATTGACTTTCCTGCTTTAAACAGTGATCCTCAGATCTCAGCCTCCTGAGTAACTAGTATTACAGGCGTGAGCCACTAGCGCCTGGCAAATTAGTTTTTTTGTTTTGTTTTGAATCCATTTAGCCTAGAACCTGAACTCATGGACCAACTCCTCTTCTCCTTCTACATTCTTCTCTGGTTCTTGTCAATTTCCCCTAGTTCTACAAAGCAGATACTCTTCTGGTTTCTTTATGCCACTCCCAGGCTTGTACTCAGGACCTGGGCACTGTCCCTGAGCTTCTTTTGCTCAAGGCTAGCACTCTACCACTTGAGCCACAGTGCCATTTCTGGCTTTTCCTTTTTACATGGTACTGAGGAACTGAACCTAGGGCTTCATGCTTGCTAGGCAAGCACTCTACCACTAAGCCAGATTTGCAGCCCTACAGAGCAGATACTTTGTTCTATATTGGTTATAAATGTTTCACACCTGTAATCCTAGCTACTCAGAAGGCTGAGATCTGAGGATCACAGTTAGAAGCCAGCCCGGGTCAGGAAAGTCAGTAAGACTAATCTCCAATAATCACAACAAAAGCCAGAAGTGGTGCTGTGGTTCAAGTGATAAAAGCACTACTGAGCACAAAGGCTCAGAGACAGTGCCCAGGTCTTGAGTTCAAGCCTTAGAACTGGAAAAAAAACGTGATGTATACCTTGATCTAGTGTTTCTATTTCTTCCTTCCTTGGGTTGTATGAATACCTTGGCAAATCAAAGTTTAGCAGCGTTAAGGTGAAAAATTCTGTGTGTGCAATTTTCCCTTGAGACATTAAAAACTATAGCCACTTGTGTTCAATACTATTTGTGGTAGTGGCACATGTGTATATACATGATTACTCACATTAGTTTCTATTTACTTAAGAGCATGGGCCCTCTACTAGGTTCTTCATAGACCATGATCTTGCCCTCTCCAAGATACCTGAAAGACAGGTCATACTATTCCCTTTCTTCTTTTTCTTCTTTTTTTGCCAGTCCTGGGGCTTGAACTCAGGGCCTGGGTATTGTTCCTGAGCCTCTTGGTGGCCTAGGCTAATGCCCTAACAATTGAGTATCAGGCTACTTCCAACTTTTTCTGAGTAGTTTACTGCAGATAAAAGTCTCATGGAGTTTTCTGCCCGAGCTGGCTTCAAACCACAATCCTCAGATCTCAGCCTCCTGAGAAGCCAGGAATACAGGTGTGAGCCACCAGCAGCGCCTGGCTATATTCCCTTTCACCAGATAAAAAAGAAAGAAAGAGAGAGAAGGGGTGGGGGGCAGACAAACTGACTAGGGTTTAGAGAGATTAAGTAATCACCTGCCCAAGTCAGAAGTAATGAGTAGCTAGTAAGACTTGCAACAAATTAATTTATGGCTCAGTCATTTTATGACTTCCCTTTTATGTTAAAGGTAACTCCTCAATTCTACTTTAATTTTCTTTAAAAGCTATGCTTCTGTTGGGCCAAGATTGAATGGAAGGAAAACTACCACTTTTTCCACCCTTCTGTTTTTGGGTGGTTTCTAGGAATGCACTTCTGCAATAGCCAGAGACAGCCTGTATTTGTAGACAGCTACCTATCTCAAGCCTGAAACATGTACTAAGTGCCCTGGATAAACAGTGACTTTTCTCATGCTCTGCTGCTGCTTTGCAATTATTGCTCTGCTTGGCTCTTCTTTTTGGGTACTCTGAAGGCTACTTCTGGCCATAAATCCAACTAACATGAATCCAACTATTTTATCTTAGTCCTATATTACCAAAATAAGTATCAATTGGATGAGACAATCAGGATTACTGATGAATGGACTGGTAAAATGCAGTGGCAAAAAAATGGGAAGTAACCTATCCCAGATCTTCTTAGCATTAATAGCAATGCCAGACTGATTCAAAACCTGAATCAATAACACCACATATCTCTAGATGAAGCAAAATAGATTAAGACAGTATGAATAGAAGTTCACATGATAACAACGGATTTACTGTAACAGAATACTAAACAACACAAGCTAGCATTGGGATACAAATGAGAATTTCTAATTTTTGGCTATAGAAACCCTAAGTTCAATTTGATGCTGTAGCTCCATGGTTTCTAAATTTGCCTATGAAAATGAGGAAAGCTAATTAAATATCCAGATTCTTATGGCCCTAGAGAAGATTCAGACCCTAGTTATCAATACTTTTATTATTTTAGTTTATTGTTGTTTATGGACTCACACCATAACCCATTAGGGCTCCAACTCACAATCCTCCTGCCTCACCCTCCCAAGTGCTAGAATTACAGACATGCACCACGACATCTGCCTTTAGTACTTTTTATATCAGCAGATGGGCCTGACCACACAATTTTGCAGATTTTAGAGCCAGCTGTAAATGTTAAGACTTTTTATATCAATCCTTATCTTTCTATTTAAACAAACACAAATTTTCTTAAGTATTTTCTAGTTTTAGAGTATTCCTCTAAAAAAAAAAAAAAATCGCTCTCCCTACACAGGCTAGCTTCTAAGTTCAAAAAAAGGACACAAAGCCTTCCTAATAATTTCAAATGCTGAGCTAATTTTACTCTGGATGGTCTAAAAATATGCTTAAGTTAGAGACAATTGATCATAAATTCACACCAGTTCTAGAATTAGAAGTCTTGAGTTGGCAGACCCGGGTTAAGGACCCTGTTATTTATTAGCTCAAGGACGCTACCTCTCCGAGCCACCGTTTTCTTGTTCATAAAATGGGAGTGAAAATATCACCTTCCAGAGTAGTGGGAAAATTAAAGGTTATGTATAAATATGAACCTGGAACACATAAACACTAAAATAATTGCTAATTGGATCTACGTACATTATAGATCTCCCAATACATTACTTCTTCCAGTAGCTCCAAACAATAAGGAAAATAAACCCTCCAAAGAGCTAGGAATTAATTATTCACCAAACAGAGCTTGGTGTATAAACTATAGCACTTCACTGTCAGAAAAAAAGTGAAATAGTAACCCCCATCTTAGATTTGAATCTGATGGAAAGACACGTCCTTGAAGTTGGTCATTCATTAACAGAGAGAAGACACAGAATCCATTTGCTTCTTGGAGTCTTCCTAGACATCCCCTCTTGTTGGGATGCTAAGGACTATAGAGTTTTAACATTACTTGACTGGCTTTTCCAAATGGGTTGTTATCCACAGATCTGGATGGACTCAGCAACCCTCACACCCTCAATCTTTTTAGCACTTGTTGGCTATTTAGACAAACAACAAGCATTTACACATTGACCTTCCTATATCCCTACCCAACCAAACCTTGGATGGCTGAATCTTCGGTGACTGGGTAGTTCCTTCTCCAGCACTTATAACCTGTTTTTGAGGGGACACAGCTATCATGTGACCTCCTTTCACAGTCACATACTGAGGAAGTGGTGACTGGCTGACAGCTCCTGTTGAGGGCACATGGGAAGCTTCCCCAGGTTCCTGTTTGATGATCACCTTGCAATAAATATAACAATAACACTGAGTAAGTATTCTACATTAGAGAGAAAATTACTACTAGAATCAGAACCTATTTATAAGAATTAATGAATAAGGGGCTGGGAAGGTGGCTCAGTGGTAGAGCGCTTGCCTTGCATGCCTGAAGCCCTGGGTTCCATTCCTCAGCACCACATAAATAAACAGAAAAAAAGCTGGAAGTGGCGCTGTGGCTCAAGTGGTAGAGCGCTAGCCTTGAGCTGAAGAGCTGAGGGACAGCGCCCAGGCCCAGAGTTCAGGCCCACGACCGGACCCCTCCCCCCCCCCCCCCCCCCAAAAAAAAAGAATTAATGAATAAAATTGGTGTATAAAGAATGACTTCACAGGAATATAGCAAAATTGTCTAAATATATTCTGTAACAGCGAAAGTAGAGACTAAATATAAGATCTGGGCTGGATCTTGTGCTTCTGTCACTTGAGAGATTGATGGCAAATGGAAACAGAAAGAAAAAAGACATAGTTGTGATCTCCAAAAAGTGCATGTCTCAGTTTAGTGAATGATCTGAGTTGAAACATAGTATATGTTGCAGAGGTCATCTTAAGCAACTCAACACACCAAAGGAAGTATTATGGCCTGGCATGAGAGGCTCACACCTGTAATTTTAACTACTCATGAGGCTAAGGTCTGAGATCAAGGTTCAAAGCCACTCCAAGCAGAAATGTCTGTGAGACTCTTAGCTCTATTTAAGCACCCAAAAACTGGAAGTACAGGTATGATTCATGTGGGTAGAATATCAGCCTTGAGCAAAAAAGCCAAGAGCTCGAGGTCCTAAGTTCAAGCCCCAGTGAAGAAAAGAAGAAAAAGAGAAGGAAAAGGAAAAGGAGGAAGATTATTAACAGGACCACATGAACTTGTGGGACAATGAAATATATACTCACTTTTGTAAAAGCTCCAAGTCCTCCAGTTATAGGGTTTGGGACTTTGAACCTTAGGGTGACTCCCAATTGGGCAAAGAGGTGGCATGGATGCGAACAAAGAATCTTCCTGCTATGTAAGTAAAAACAATTGTACAGTCAATCTGGTTAAAATGGGTGATTTCAGATAGTTTAGTCACATAATTAAAACAAACCTGTTACAAAAATAACTTAAATTAGCATATGCAAAGACAACAAGGCCAATTCAGATCCACTATAGGGAAAACGATGAAAGGAGTGACACTGACCAAGATGCAATATACTCAGAAAGTGACCCCTTTATACAACTATTTAAATTAAAAAATAAAATTTAAACAACCACTATAGTTGGTATGCCTCTAGATCATAAAGACAAAATGTAAATTTCAGAGGCAATTTGTCCTAATTAAATTTGGGAGCAAGAAACAAAGAACACTTCTTGAGCATGGAATTAAAAGATCATCAAGAATTTAAAAAACAACACTGCAAAAGTAAAATCTTCAAAGAAACTGCTACAATTCACTCATGTAACAGTATTCATTTACTGTATTTGTATAGGAAAACCACACTTTGGACCAGGAAACTAATGAAGTTCAAAACCATCTAGCATCTAAATAAGAAATGCTATGATTAGCATTAGTTGTACAAGAGAAAAGATATATCCATTCTCGGGGTTCCTCAGAGAGCAGTTTATATCTCAAAGGCTTCAATTGATGGCACTCACAACAAAAAAGATATACAGTGAAACAAACAGCAGGGAAATGTCTTTGCCAAATGGCAAGCATTTAGCAATCTGATCTGAATTAAACGAATTATATTTAGAATCCCCTCAAACTTTTTTTTTTGGTGGGTGGACCTTGAACTCAAGGCCTGGGCACTGTCCTTGAGTTTGTTTTTTTTAAAAACTGTTATTAAAAAAGTGTTGTATAGAGGAGTTACAGTTACATAAATCACATCCCTCAGCTTTTTTTGGCTAAAGGTTAGCTCTCTACTACTTGAACTATAACTCTTCTTCTAAGCCTTTTGATGGTTAATTGGAGATAAAGAGTTTAACAGACTTTCCTGCCTGGGCTGGCTTTGAAGCTTACCTCAGCCTCCTGAGTAGGTAGGCTTATAAGCATGTGCCATCAGCACTCAACTAGAATTTCAAGTTTTGAAGAACTATTTTGGGGGGGGGGGGGGGGGGTTATAGTTAAGAATTATTACCCCAGGTTCTGGTAGCTCACACCTATAATCCTAGCTATTCAGGAGGCTAAGATTTAAAGATTATGGTTCAAAGCCAGCCCAAGCAGGAAAGTCTGCGAGACTCTTATCTCCAATTAACCACTAGAAAACCAGACGTGGAGCTGTGGCACAAAGTGGTAGAATACCAACCTTGAGTTCAGGGACAGCACCCAAGCTCTGATTTGAAGCCCCACAACCAACATAAAAGAATTATTAAGGTGGTATGGTGGCTTATGCCAGTAGTTCTAGCTACTAAGGAGGATGAGACCTGGAGGACTGCAGTTCAAAGCTAACTGAGGGGCAGAATAGTTTGAGACTCCATCTCCATCCAATTAACCAGCAGTAAGTGGGGCTAGAGGTATGGCTCAAGCGGTTGACTGCCAGCAAGAAGCCAATTGGCATGAAGCCCTGAGTTCAACCTCTAGTACTTAACAATATAAATATGCAAGTAACTAAAGGGCTAACATGGAAAAGGAAATATATTTTTACTTGGGTATACAAATATAGGAAACACGAGTCATGATATAAGTTAACATTTTATAAAGAAATATTTCTAGGGGCTGGGAAGGTGGCTCAGTGGTAGAGTGCTTGCCTTGCATGCATGAGGCCCTGGGTTCGATTCCTCAGCACCACATAAGCAGAAAAAGCCAGAAGTGGCGCTGTGGCTCAAGTGGTAGAGTGCAAGCCTTGAGCTGAAGAGCTGAGGGACAGCACCCAGGCCCAGAGTTCAGGCCCCACGAGTGACCAAAAAAAAAAAAAAAGAAAAGAAAAGAAAAGAAATATTTCTAACAGTTACCTCCAGTACATAAATAAATGAGGCCACATTCTCACTATTCTAAGTTTCCAACCTGATGCTGGTGATCATCTGATAGAAGCACTAAGAAGCATTGCCTACCTATAGAAAAGGCAAAGTGAAATGGTAGAATCAGGAGTAGATGCCTCTCAAGATACTTCCTAATGAAAAAGTTCACTTTATGAAATCTGCATCATCAACTCACACACTCTTGCCAATGCTTTGCATACTGTTTTTAGAAACTAACAAAACACAAAAAATGCAGTTAAGGGTCTTACCTTGACAGTAGATGTTATAAAACTATTTCCATGAATTTTGGGGATAGGGGAAGCTGTTCCTTGAGGGACCTGAGAAGTCGTAGAGAGCTTGTTTGTAGGACTTCCTGATGAACAAGGCAGATTTTAAAATTTAGTACAAACTAAGTAAATTTATAAAATATAGTTGAATATTGGAATAAAATATAATTTGAATAATATTTTCTACTATTCTGCTCTCTTTGCCACTATTTTTTTTTTTTTTTTTGGTGCTGATCCTGGGGCTTGAACTCAGAGACTAAGTGCTATCCCTTAGCTTCTTTTTGCTCAAAGCTGGTGCCCTACCACTTGAGACTTCACACTACTTCTAGCTTTTTCTGAGTAGTTTATTGGAGATAAAATCTCATAGACTTCCCTGCCCAAATAGCTTTGAACCATGATCTGAGATCTCAGCCTTCTGAGAAACTAAGATTACAGATGTGAGCCACTGGCACCCTGCTCCACTATTTGTTTTTTAAGGGTTGAAAACTTGCAACCCTGAAACAAACAGAAAAAGCACTTTTATGGTCTTTATCTCTACAAAACTGTTCACATACTCAGCTTAAGAAGGGATAAGAGGCTAGTAAAGACAAAAAGAAGAAAAATATGGTACACATTATATACTCTATTCCCTAATACAGTAAGATACAATGTAACATAATGGTATTGGGCCAAAATGCACACATTCAAGTGAATTTAACTCCTATAGTATAGTCCCATTAGGTTAGACACATCATCTAACATTGCCCATGTGAAACATTTCACATTTCAGTTCATCTGGCCATATTTTAGAATGTGATCAATATGATTTACTTTATCAGTAGTAATAGCAAATCATGCGTAAATCAAGATTTAATCACCTATTCCACCTAACAAAACTTATCTCTATGCTTTTCCAAAACTTCAATGACCTCTATTTGACATCCTAAACATATTCAAAAAGCTACTAGGGAAACCCAAAAAGCTGTTTTTTTTTTTAAAGGAGTTCCACATAAACCATGTTAAAGTGCTTAACTTTAAAATCAAATAACCAAACAAAAAACAATTCTGAAAACATCTATTAGTATGTATCAATTCCAACAAGTCAAAAAAGGTCTCTTGAGAGGAGGGCATACACAGCTCAAGCACAGCAACTATCCTAGCAAACACAAGGACCTCCTCCCTGGGTTCAATCCCTCATAGCAAAAAAGGAAGAAGAAAGGGAAACCAGCCTCATGATCTTACAATAATTTTTTTTCTTTTTTCACTATTTCCCTTAATCAGGGGAAAATTACATTTATGAATCTAAATACAGGTTAAATGATGGGGCAAATTACATTATTTGTGAAAAAAATATTAAAGCAAACAACCCCAAACAGCACTAAGTAGTTGTATAGGGCTGTGAAGACAAAGGAGATGACATAGGAGACTTAGTCTTCCTATTAGGATTCTCTTCCCTCTCCCCGCCCCCACCTTGCCTTTTTTTTTTTTTTGCCAGTCCTGAGGCTTTAACTCAGGGCCTGGGCACTACCCCTGAGCCTCTCTGTCTTCAAGGCTAACATTCTACCACTTGAGCCACAGCACCAATTCTGGCCTTTTCTGTTTATGTAGTACTGAGGAATCGAACCCAGGGCTTCATGAATGCTAGGCAAGCATTCTACAACTAAGCCACCTTCCCACCCCCCAACTATTTCTTTAAAGGAAAATTAATTATGGGATTTAATTCCTAAAAATGGTAACTTTTACAAAGAGTAATTTTTCCCTCAAAGAAGCACTACCTACATTAATTTTATAAGTTTTTTGTCTTGTGGTGGTAGTGGGTTTTGAACTTAAACCCTGTACTTTGCTAGCAAGCACTATACAACCACTTTAGATATGCTCCCAGTCCTCAATGTTACGCTCTATATAATCTTGTTCAGAGATAGTTTTCATTCTCCTCTTGCACAAATCTCCTATTATACAGTTACATAGTTATGCTTGGATTTCACTTTAATAAAACATCAAATCATTTGGACTACACAAATACTGACCAAATACTTACCTGTACTTGTAGTAGAGGCCCCAATAACCTGCCCAGGCTTATCCATGATAATGTAAGGATTACTTATAACAGAGCTGGTCGTGCCTTGCTTCACATGGACTGGAGTGGAGGTTGGGGTTCGAGGCAGTGGTGATGGACTTGGAGTTGATATTGGAGAACCTTTATTCATTAAAAAGAGAACAGAAACAAAATTCATATAGTCTACTCGTGAACCGGTAGCTCACCCTGTAATCCTAGCTACTCAGGAGATGAAGATCTGAGAACCATGGTTTGAAGCCAGACTCGGACTCCTATCTCCAATAAACCACCAGAAAACTGGAAGTGGCACTGTAGCTCAAAGTGGTAGAGCACTAGCAATGCTAAAAAACTCAGGGACAGTGCTCAGGCCCTCAGTTTAAGCCCCAGGACTGGCAAAAAAAAAAAAAAAGACATCAACGATAAAGGTGACAAATGAAAGAGAGGCTGGGTCTGTATGCTTCAGGCACAGAGCAGCAGCAGCACAGCTAGTGCTATAGAGTAGCATGCCTCACTTTGCACCTGATTCCTGGATCAAGAGCATCAGCATCACTAGAGACTAACTAGAAATAGATTCTTAGGTTCACCCCAGGCCTACTGAATATAAACCTGCATTTTAACCAGATCTCCTAGAATGTACCTTACATTTAAAAGAGCACAACAAGGTACAACTACTAGATAAACTGTAACTGTCACAGGCAGGTCGTTATAACACTAATTATACACAAAAATACTAAAATTGTGACTAAACCCACTGAAAAATTTGGTGGAAAAATGCAAAATGCACCAGACTCAAGAAAAATCTCTGTCACTATACTAGGGCACAGGCACAATCTAGAAAGATTCATATTCCCACAAAACATTCTCAAAAGCTACTCAGGTATGGCTAAACACCTTCAATTGCCTCACTGAAATTTGTCATCTGAATTTCTCAACTTCAAATCAATCTCTCAACTTCAAACCAATTTACATGTTCAGACTATTCCCCTCTGAAACAATAAGATCAAAATTCTAACTGGCAGGTAAAACTGGGTTCTTGATCTTTCCTTAAGTACAAAGGTTTAGATATATTTCTGCTTATTTGTCTACTTGAACAGCAAAGACTCCCGTTTTCTTTCTTTCTTTAATAGCTGCATAGAAGTGCTCTCTCTGCCTGGATGTTGCAAAGTTTGGGTTCCAGTGTCAGAAAAACAAAACAACTACAACATTACTTATGTATAAAAAGAAAACAATAAGACATGTTGAAATGATTTTAAGAAGGGGTAATGTAGTAAGGGATGGTAACAGGTGGAGGGAAATGTCACAATGACCAGCCCTTCTCTTACAACTAATGAATCCATATTAAAACAAAACAAAACCACTGCTTTGACTTCCAATAATGTTTTGTTTTTGTTTTTACAAGGTACTTCAATTGAATTCAGTGCCTTGTGTTACTGGGTAGGCACTCTAAAACTTGAATCACACCACTAGCCCAACACTCCAACAATTGTAACATCCAGCTAACTTCACATATATCTTCAACACATCTTCTCACATACCTGACACAATCTTACAGCTCATGGTGATAGGTTGGAAAGATTTTCCAGGTGATTCAGGATTAGGAACCTGGCTTTGTGGCACAATTTTGCAGCTTGATGCTATTGGCTGGAAAGCAGAATTGCCATGAGAACAAAAGGTAACTTTCTGGGCTGTTGTCACTTTGGTGGGTGTTCTTTCCAATGAAGATGATAAAGAATAAAATGTAGCAGGTCTCTCAGCTTCAATGTTGGCGAGGAATCCTGTTTAGAATTTAATAAGCAAATAGTCATCAATCAATGAAACAACAGAACTTTACCACTGTGGGGAAAAAATATATTATTTATGATATATTTATATTAAGTATATTATACTACATAATATTACAGTCAATACTCATCTCAATTACTAGCTATAAAAACAACTGTTGTACTTTTTTAATTTGGCAGAAAACAAATATTAACTTTTAAACATTAACTTTTAAAGCCAAATAAAATATAAAAGGAACATACATTCATATGATCCTCCATTTTTTAAATAACAAATAAGGAAAAACTCAAAATCTAACAATGATTTTTTTTTTTTTGTGCCAGTCCTAGAGCTAGAACTTAGGGCTTAGATTCAGTCCTTCAGCTTTTGCACACAAGACTAAAACTCTACCACTTGAACCACAACAGCTCCATTTACAGCTTTTTGGTGATTAACTTGAGATAAGAGTCTCACAGACTTTCCTGCTAGGGCTGGCTTCAAACTTTGATACTCAGATCTCAGCTTCCAGAGTAGCTAGGATTACAGGTTTGAACCACCAGTGCCTGGCTACAAAATCCTAGCTTATTAATGCCTATAAAGAGAATGTACCTGAAATCTAAAAAGAAATGAGATTAAAAGCCAGGTACCAATGGCTCATGCCTATTAATTCCAGCTACTCAGGAAGCTGAGATCTGAGAATCACAGTTCAAAGCCTACCTAGGCAGTAAAGTCATTAAGACTCTACTCTAACTACCAAAAAGCAGGAAGTTGTGCTGTTCAAGTGGTAGAACACTAGCCTTGAACAAAAAAGTTCATGGACACTGCTCAGGTCCTGAGTCCAAGCATCAGAACCAGCACCCTCTCCCAAAAAAGTAAATAAAAATTGAGACCTTATAAATTAAGAAGTTCTTATAAAAGAAATATTTAGAATCATTTTTATATTGTATATGATTATATACGTGATAAAAGTGGAGCTGTGATTCAAGTAGTACAGTGCTAATCTTGTGCACAAAATCTCAGGGACAGCACTTGAAACCTGAGTTCAAGCACGCGCAGACATGCACGCACGCGCACACGCGCACGCACGCGCGCACACACACACAAAGAAAAAGACAGAATAAAAAATGGGATTACAAAATGTGAACTTATTTATAAATTTATGTTTTTATTAAATGGAAAATGTCATGGTCAAAATTTATGCCAAGGATTATTTTATTTTTAATAAAACTAGATATTTAATATTCAGGTCTCCTATTCACACGATCAGTTTAACTAGAAATTCTTCAGCAAAGGAAAAAAAAAAATCTGGTGTTTTTTGTAATGTCTACATTTTGTAAGAGCATTTACTCAGCTATTTTTGTAATATCTGTATGGGAAAGGCAACATGCCTATTCAATAAAAATTTATTTTCAGCATATTTTAGATTGCTGAAGGCAAAAATTCAGTATCATATTGCACAAATGAGAAACTGCCCAGAGAATAACTCCATAAAAGGAAAAATACTGCATTACCTTTCTCCACAGAGGCATCAGCTACTGGCTCAAGGGACTGCTTTATTGGTGAGGAAGCTTTCACGGGGGCTGGAATGGTCAAAGGTAAAGATGGAGGGGCATCAGAGATGTCTGATTCGGAGGACTGAGGATAAATGTAGTCTTCTCCAAGAGAATGCCGATGGAGTTCAACATCCACTACCTACACAATTGCAACAATTGGGCTCATGAGACTATCACCCACGTTAACAGAAAACTCAAGTCCTGACCCAGAATGAGATCTGAGAAATTTCTTGCCACATCTCAAGGCAATTTCAATCTCAATAATAAAAAGATTTTCCTAGAATACAGCCTTTGTTTTCTCTTAAAAGTTGGACCGCAGTGAAATAGATGCTGTTGTTCCACTTGCTGTTTCTATTCTTTACATCATGCATGTTCCATTCCACCAGGAGATCTCAATTGGGTTATTTTCTCAGAGAGACCTTTGCTGAGTATCTTAGCTTATACAATCTCATGTCCCCAGTGTAGTGTAACTAAAATCATCTCATCTGCTTTGTGTTTACTGTGTATTTTTCTCTTATGAAAAGCCACTAAGAATGTAACTCTTTGATGTTAAAAAATTATTCAAGCTGGGCACTGGTGGCTCACTGCTTTAATACTAGCTACTCAAGAGGCTGAGAGCTGAGGATCACGGTTCAAAGCCCCATGCCAGACAAAAATTAAAAATTAAAAAATAAATAAATAAAAATCTAAAAGCCCAGGCAGGAAAGTCCATAAGATTCTTATCTCCAATAAACCACTCAGAAAACTGGAAGTGGGGTTGTGGCTCAAGTGGTAGAGTGTAAGCCTTGAGCTGAAGAGCTGAGGGACAACACCCAGGCCCAGAGTTCAAGCCCCATGACTGACACTCACATACAAAAAAATTATTCATTTCTGTATTTCTAGTATCTTGGAATAGTGCATAGTATATAGAAGGTGCTCAATATGTTTCTTCTGATGCAATACAATTTCTCTAGACTGAGAAAGATTTAAATAGCTATGTGATTTTAATGGCAATTGTGATATGAAATACATATACCAATAGATCAAAATAAACCATGCCATGTATGATCCTGTGACATTCAGCAAAAGTGTCAAGAGTATTCAATTATGGAACCACCTGCAAATGCAGTTGGGAGTCTTGCACTATATACAAATTAACTAAAAATTAATCAAAAATCTGAAAGTCGCTGGGTACCGGTGGCCCATGCCTGTAATCCTAGCTACTCAGGAGGCTAAGATCTGAGAATCATGCCTCAAAGCTAGCCTGGGCAGGAAAAGTCCATTAACACCAGAAAACCAGAAGTGGCACTGTGGTTCAAGTGGTAGAGCACTAGCCTTGAGCTGAAGAGCTGAAGGACAGTGCCCAGGCCCAGAGTTCAAGCCCCATGACCGACAAAAATTAAAAATTAAAAATAAATAAAAATCTAAAAGTAAAAACTAAAATAATAAAACTTGTAGAAGAAAGCACAGGGGAAACGTCTCATGACAAAAAAAATCAAATGAAACTATATCAAACTAAAAGCTTTTGTGCATCAAAGGAAATAATCAATAGAATAAAAAGCAGAAATGAATCCCAAAATGGGAATAATTGTAAATCATATCAGGGATTAATATCGAGAATATTGAAAAACTTCTGAAACTCAAATAACAACAACAAAACCTAGAGGAAAAAATAGACAAATAGCTTGAGTAGCTCCCCCCAAAGAAAACAAAATAAAAGCCAATAAGCTCATTTAAAAAAAAAAAGGTTCAACATCAGTTACATAAATGCAAATCAAAACTTAAAGGTATAATTGCACAACCATTAGAATAGCTGTCTATAGAATTTTTGTTGTTGTTGTTGTTGTTGGTCGTGGGGCTTGATCTAGGCCTGGGCCCTGTCCCTCAGCTCTTTAGCTCAAGGTGAGCACTCTACCAGTTGAGCCTCAGCACCACTTCCAGTTTTCTGGTAGTTTATTGGAGATAAGAGTCTAATGGACTTTTCCTGCCCGGGCTGGCTTTGAACCCTGATCCTCAGATCTCAGCCTCCTGGTAGCTAAGATTACAGGTGTGAACCACCGGCACCCAGCTTACCTACAGATTTTTTAAAAGACAAAATACTAAGTCTTGATAAAGACAAGAATAAACTGGACCCTACAGTACAGAGTAAATAAAATGGCATAGCTGCCATGAAAAACACTGTGGTGGTTCCTCAATAATATCCAGACCACACATATATGATTTAGCAACGCCACTTCTGGATATTGAAATATAACTGAAAAAAGACATTTGTACAACTATTTATACACTCACATTCAAATAGTATTAAGGGGATTCTGACACATGCTACTCTATACCTGTAATCCCAACATTTTGCCAATACTTGGAGAGTCTGGGCAGGAGGATCTTGAGTTTGAGGCCAGCATAAGCTATATAGTGAAACTCTTTCTCAAAATAAAACCCTCAAATGGAAAAAAAGGTGTATCTTTTTTTTATGTTACCTGTTTCCAAATACTATGAGGGAAAAATACTTACTGTCTCTGCTCCGAGGGTCTGCAAGCCTGTGTAAGTTCTATCCAGCTATTGAAAGAAAAGGGAGAATATTGTATTACTCTGCATTCCCTTATAAATCCTAGATAAAATCTTATCTAAAACTGTAAGCTTTCATACCAAGGAATCTACTTTTTTTTATAATGTAAACTACCAGCTTCAATAAAAATCTGAATAAAATAAAAATCAAGTGGAGACATATAGTTATTATATCTTTAATTATACACTTAAAAAAAACTATCCCAAGGGCAATCTTAATAAAGTTTTACACAAAAGATGTTTATTGGTTCAGCATTATTTATATTACAAACTAAAACCAACATAAATATTCAGTAAAGAGTAATGGTTAAATGAATCATGGACGATCAATCTATGAAGCATTATTAAGATACTAAGATGTGTTTACAAAAACTGCAAAAAGTATTTTAAATGCCACGTTACAGAAATATACATGTAGAAATGAATTCCAGAAATAGGAGCAAGAAGTTTTTTAATTTGTTGCAAAAAAAAAAAAGAAAATAGAAATACACATGTAATAGGGTAATACAATTAACACACTGAGATTTAGTTACCAAACACTATATTGTAAAGGAGAAGTAAAAGCAATCCTAATTAATTCAAATGGATTAGCATCATGAAACAAATATTTGAAGAATAGAGCATAAACTGAAGGAAAATTAGTGTAACATCAGGTGTTTTTGTTTTGTTTGTACCAGTATTGGGGATAGAACTCAGGGCCTTGTGCTTTCACTTGGCTTTGTGGCTCAGGGCTCATGCTCTAGCACTTGAGTCAAATTTCCAAATCCTAATGGCACTGGGAGCTCTGATTTATTTATTTAGGCAGTATCAGGGATTGAAATCGACTTGAGTTTGTTAGGCAAAAGTTCTACAGCACTTAAGCCACCCCATGAGTCCTTTGGAAGTTAATACAAATAAAAGAGTTTACAATAACCTGGAAGTGAAATCCACGCATTTCGATTTATATCCTACCATTAAAAAATTGTGACTGGTGGCTCATGCCTGTAATCCTAACTACTCAAGAGGCTGAGATCATGTGGTAGAGTGCTTGCCTTGAGTTGAAGAGCTCAAAGAGCACCCAGGCCCAGAGTTCAAGCCCCATGACTGACCCCTCCCCCCAAAATTGACAGCTTTTTGGTATAATCATTGCACAGTAAGACAACAGGAATATGACTAAGTTAGGCAGAAAAGAAAAGAGAAAAATGAAGCCAAAGGTAGGTTAATAAAAACAAGATTTTAAAGGCTTTTAGGAGGGAGATGTCAAGAACATAGGGAGGGCAATTCCACCAGTCCTGAAATTTTAGTGTTCAGGAAATAAAAGCAATATAAGGTAGATTAATAGCTCTACTGAACAGATCTGGAGTTTAGTACTTAAACTGTAGGTAAAAGTAGTATTGCTAAAAAGCCATGGATAATTTTAGGCTACATTCATTTTCCTAATTTCCAGAATCAAGAAATAATGGTCTTTCTTTCATCTATAATAGCATATGCTTCATTCTTTTTTTTTGGTCAGTTGTGGGGCTTGAACGCTGAGCCTGGATGCTGTCCCTTAGCTCTTCAGCTCAAGCCTAGTGTTCTACCACCTGAGCCACAGCACTACTTCTGGTTTTCTGAGTGGTTTACTGGAGATAAAAATAAAAGTCTCATGGACTTTCCTGCCTGGGCTGACTTGGGCTGGCTTTGAACCGTGATCCTTGGATCTCAGCCTCCTGAGTAGCTAGGATTACAGGTGTGAGCCACTGGTGCCAGGATATATGTTTCATTCTTAAAACCAAATTTTTTTTTTTTTTTTTTGAGTTCGGTCGTGGGGCCTGCGCGCTGTCCCTCAGCTCTTCAGCTCAAGGCTAGCGCTCCACCACTTGAGCCACAGCGCCACTTCCCGATTTTTTCTTTTTGCTTATGTGGTGCTGAGGAATCGAACCCAGGGCCTCTGGCATGCAAAGCAAGCGCTTTACCACTGAGCCACCTTCCTAGTCCTTAAAACCAAATTTTAAGAGGGATTCTGACAAAATAAAACAGTTACCAGAAAGAAGAGAAATTAGAAAAAAAAGGCATACAAGTAATGACACAGAGCCAGGTGCTGGGAACATGCCATAATTCCAGCTTCACATAAAGTTGAAATCTGAGAACTGCAGTTAGAAGGCAACCAGGGCAGGAAAGTCCATGAGACTCATATCTCCAATTAACCACCAAAACCTGGAAGTGGAGCTATGGCTCAAAAGACAAAGACTCATATCTCCAATTAACCACCAAAACCTGGAAGTGGAGCTATGGCTCAAAAGACCAAGTACTAGCCTTGAGTGAAAAATCTAAGGAAGAAGAAAAAGAAGAAAAAAAAAAATCTAAGGAAGAGCACTCAGGCCCAAGTTTAAGTCCCAGTAATGGCACCAAGGCGGAAGGAAGGTAGAGGGAGGGAGAAGAACAAAAAATGTTGTAGAAGCAAATTTTACCTGGAGGAGAAATGACTTACAATTTCTATGAAGGCTATCACCAAATTTTTGGTTTCTAGCAAATGCTGATGGCTTATACATATATAATCCTAGCTACTCTCAGAGGTTGAGAGGCTGAGATCTAATTATCAAGGTTCAAAACTAACATGACCAGACAAATCCAAGACTTCTTTATCTCCATTTAACAAGCAAAAAGCTGGAAGCAGAGGTTTGACCTATGTGGTAGAGTGCTAGCTGGGAGTAAAAAAGCTGAGCAAGCCAGCCATTAGTGGCTCACACCTATAATCCTGGCTACTCAAGAGGCTGAGATCTAAAGAGTACAGTTCAAAGCAGGCCAGATAAGGAAGTCCAATAGACTCTGTATCTCCAATTAACCAAACAAAAAATTTGAAGTACAACAGTGGCTTAACTGAGAAGGAGTGCTAGCTGTGCGCACAAAAAAGCTCTGTACCCAAGTCCTCAGTTCAAGCCCCAAGACTGGTACAGAACAAAACAAAAACGCTGAGCAAGAGCTCAAGATGCTGAATTCAAGTCTGGTATCAGCAAGAAAAATAGTAATAAAAAATAAATTTTAGGTTCTTTTTTTTTTTTCATCCGGTCGTGGGGCCTGAACTCTGGGCATGAGTGCTGTCCCTCAGCTTTTCAGCTCAAGGCTAGCAACTCTACCACTTGAGTCACAGCACCACTTCCAGCTTTTTTCTTTTTGCTTATGTGGGGCTGAGGAATTGAACCCAGGGCCTCAGGCATGCAAGGCAAGCACTCTACCACTGAGCCACCGTCCCAGACCCAAATTTTAGGTTCTTATAAAACAATATTGTTCTATATTACTTTAGGGTCAAACTGAAAAAGATCAAAGTTCTCCCCCCCCCACCCCGTCCTGAGTTCTCTCTTGCTTAGGTTGTTTCAGCTGGTTCAACACTTGAGCTACACTTCGAGTCTGGCTTTTTGCTAATTATATTGGAGATGGAAGTCTCCCAGACTTTCCCGTCCAGGCTGGCTTTGAACTGTGATTTTCCAAATCTCTGCCTCTTGGGCAGCTATCCAGTATTACAGGTATCAGTCACTTTATTAAAGAACTTTTATTAAAGAACTTTCTAAAAACTTATTTACTAACTGGATCTTGGGAAGTACTGTCTCTGTGGTAACAGCTCAGGTAACCTCAGGTGAGGTCAAATAACTGTCAGGGATGCTGGATATGGGAATTTCATACATTCTGAGAAAATTAAATTTCATATAATACTAAAACATAAGAATATTTAATAGCTAATGTATTTACAGTATTAAATTACATTGCTATTCACTGCAGAATTTCAGAGTACAGAGATCACTATGGACTTTAATAGCCAAGAAAAGTATATAAGAACCTGAAAAATGGAAAAAATTCTAACAAGCTCTGGGATGGAGGAAAAAGTATGAATAAGACAAGGGAAGAAGGTCCAAGGCACTTGGAATGCCAAGGCTAGAGCAGAATGCTCATGCAGGCAATTAGTGCAAGATGTATATATAGGTAAAGTATATTGAGTCAAACCAGGAAGATTCCTAAACTGAGAAGGGAAGCTGAAACATGAGTAGCAGAAATTCAATTCAGTTTTCCAAGAGAGGAATAGAATAATAATTCTGCTATTTTAGGTCGACTGACGTAAAGGTGGTCTGAAGAATGGATAGCAGACTTGCAATGATGGGCCCATAGGAAAGATTAGGAAAAAATAATGGTCTTCAACTACACAAATGTTTAGAAAAGGGAAGAAACAAAGATGGCTTTGAGAACACAGATATGACAGGGAAAGTGATGATACTTCAGTAAAAATAAAAATAGGGCCAACATACAGGTGTTTAGTCACTACAAAATGAAATAATAAATTATTCTGTTTCTCTTCCTCTCCTCCCCTCTTCACCTCTATCTTTCTTTCTTTTTCAGCATTAGGGATTTAACCCTGAGTCTTGTGGTTTAAGTATTCTGCCACTTGAGCAATGCCTACAGTTCTTCTGGTTTTGAGATATGGGTCTCACTAATTCTGCCAGGGCTGACCTTAAACTCCCAGTCCTCCTGTCTCAAATTCCATATACTTTCAAATTCCATCTGTAAGAACTTCAAATGATTCCCTTTATTTTAGAAGCAAGGACTGGATTCAGTGTGACACAACGTACAGGCAGTGATCATGTAAACTGCATGGAGGAAACATTTCAGTATGTGCCAGGGTTTCATTTGTAAAGAGGTATATTTGAAGGTATATTTATAAAACAAAGAAAAAGAAACTCTACAGATGTACTCAACTTTATTTAGTTCTATTTGGGGAGCCATTAATGAGAACATGATAAACAACAAGGCCTGAGAAATCATTTGGCACATGCTAGGGACAGAATCATATGTTTCTCATCAAGTTTCATAGGCTCTCTCAGATGAACCTTGGACAGCCTATGAAGCTGATGATATCCTTTTGTATGATTGATAATTTGTATGGCCCAAGAATCAAGTCATAAGATTATCCAAAAGGAAACGGGCACTGCTGGCTCATGCTTATAATCCTAGCTAATTAGGAAGCTGCTATCTGAAATTAAGATCTGAAGCCTGGGCAGAAAAGTCCTCAAGACTCTCAGTAGGCAGCAAAAAGCATGGCTCAAGTGGTAAAGCACCAATCAAGTGAGCAAGACCTTAATTCAAGTCTTAGAACCATGGGGGGAAAATCCAAATGGCCCTTTGGTTCCTTACCCCTATACTAGGAAGACTGACTAGAAGAATGTTTTAAAAAATAATCTTAGCTGAGCCCAGGTGGCTCATACCTGTAATCCTAGCTAATTAGGGGGCTGAGATGTGAGGTTCAAAGCCAGCCTGGGCAGGAAAGCTAGAGACTATTATTTCCCCAAAAAGCTGGAAGTGGAGCTCTGGCTCAAGTAGTAGAGGGTTAGCCTAGAAGAAAAGAACCTCTGAACAACCAGGCCACACGTGCATGAACACACACACACACACACACACACACACACACAACCAGGCCACACGTGCATGAACACACACACACACACACACACACACACACACACACACCTCTGTCTTCTAACTATAAAGATTACATATATTTATTGTGCAAAAGCATCAAACAAAAAATACGGCTTTTTTTCCTTGTGAGGAAATTGTCTATAAGATCATTACTTCAGTACTTTTGTTTTTGCTTATTTAGCAGTGCTAAACATTCAATTTTACATGATAACCAATTCTACGTGCTAGGCAATTGCTCTACCCCATGCCAAACCCCAGTTCTATGTTTTTTGTAGCATTGGTGATAGAATCCAGGACCTTGTATATGCTAAGTAAGCATTCCACCACTGAGCTATCCCCTTAGTCCTATACACATATGGCTTAAGCTCTGCTTTTCATATACTCTAGTGGGTCTTCCCCACATACTGAAAAACACGTTACAAAATGATTTACAAGAATGGAATGTAGAATTTGTGAAATAGTTTGGATTACAGGCAAAGATTTGCTTCATTGTGTGTGTTAAGGGGGGGAGTGGTAATTGCATGGCTGGTTGTTTATTTATTTTGCAGCGTTGAGAATTGAATCCAAGTCCTCACCAAAATACTTGACTTATTTTACAGAAAAGTAAACAGATTTAAAAAAAAATAAAGATTTCAGTTAACTTATTCTCAAGTAATACATTGTGAGGTTTGGTTTTAAAAACTTCAATCTTCTGATTTAAGAATGAATATACATTGTACTGTACTGCAACTGCCTCTCCAACCTTCCAATATTAGAGAAGTATAGCACTGAGCAAAACATGTTCAAAAGATTATCTTGCCACTCTTCTTGGCCAATTCCCTCTGCAAACCTACACTACCTTTTTTTAGTAAACAGCTGGTGAAGGAAGATGCTTCACTTTTTTTGGAGCAATGCTTTGTTACAATACCTTCAGATTATGTATGATATCTATCCGCTTGTTCTGGCTGTCCTTAAAGTGAACTTGAACTCTGACAGGAAACTCACCCCATCCTCTTCTGGTCAAGTGGAAAGGAGGTTCTCTAGGGAAAAGAAGATACTTATTTACACATTCACCTGTGTTTACACTTTCATTCTACAGAGAAACGGTTCTTTTATCATGTCCTTTTAGAATCTCTTAGAGATCCTCATGTAAAGCTAAATCAACATGCTGAGCCCCATTAAAAATGTTAAAACAAAAAAATATTCAACTTAAAGCTACAAGAAACTTTCAATGACTGAATGCTTGGAGTTAAAATCAGTTTCATTGGGCTGGGAAGTTGGCTCAGTGGTAGAGTGCTTGCCTTGCATGCATGAGGCCCTGGGTTCGATTCCTCAGCATCACATAAGCAGAAAAAGTTGGAAGTGGCTCTGTGCCTCAAGTGGTAGAGTGCTAGCCCTGAGGTAATATAAGAGCTGAGGGATAGCACCCAGGCCCAGAATTCATAACAAAAAAAAAAAATCAATTTCATCTATGAAGCAACTAAGGAGATTGAAGAATGTCATAGTGTCATAGTGAAGTCAAATCCAATTGGGTTCACTAGCTGTGAAGAGTATGTCCCAAACCCTCAAGAGGCAAAATTAAAACATGAAAATGCTCAGTCTGAGAGTAGTAATTACATTGTCTTACCTTTCATAAGAAGACTGAAAAGAAGTATCATACACTCTTGACAATATGACCTACCCTAATAGTGACTGTGATTTTTAGGAGGTAAAGGACAACATGTGTGAATACTAACTGGCTGAAGAATTCAGACACATGTAATTTGTTGCTGAGAAAGGTTTTTGCTCATTGACTGGAGGAGGGATTCAATGAATACTTGTCAAATTTAAACTAATTTTCCTCAGCAGTGCTTCCACTCCTCCAATTTTCGAAGGTTGGAGAGGCATTTGCTGTACAGTACAATGTATACTCATTCTCAAATCAGAAGGTTGAATTTTTTTAAACCAAACTTCACAATTAATGTATTGAGAATAATTTACTGAAATCTTAATTTTTTATTTTTTATTTTTTTGTCAGTCGTGGGCACTGTCAGCACCTGGGCACTGTCCCTCAGCTCTTCAGCTTCCGTTTTTTTTCTGCTTATGTGGTTCTGAGGAATTGAACCCAAGGCCTCATGTTTGCAAGACAAGCACTGTACCACTGAGCCACCTTCCCGGCCCCCTGAAATCTTAATTTTTTAAAAATCTATTTACTTTTCTATACTTGTTTGTGGGTACTGGGGACTGAACCCAATAACTCTGGCAAACCATTAGAGTTAGTAACTGGAGCTAAAACTAAGGGCCTGACACCTTTGCTTTAGCTTTCTTCACTCTAGGCTGGCATGCTACCACTTGAGCCACAGCTCCATTTCTAGCTTTTTGCTGGCTAAATGGAAATAAAAGTCTTTTGGATTTGCTAAACTATAATCCTTAGATCTCAGCTTCCTGAGTAATCAGAATTACAGACATGCGCCACTGGCTCCGGCTCAGATTTAGAAATTTAACGAAGAGTTCTTTATAAAAAGCAATATAGCCGGGTGCTGGTGGCTCACGCCTGCAATCCTAGCTACTCAGGAGGCTGAGATCTGAGCATCGTGGTTCAGAGCCAGCCCGGGCAGGAGAGACTGTGAGACTCCTATCTCCAATAAACCACCAGAAAACCAGAAGTGGCGCTGTAGCTCAAGTGGTAGAGTGCTCGCCTTGAGCTGAAGAGCTAAGGGACAGCACCCAGGCCCAGAGTTCAAGCCCCACAACCGACAAAAAAATAAATAAATAAAAAGCAATATAACTCAGTTAATGGAAAAAATGGGGGGAAAAAGCCTTTAAGTTTAAATGTTTATGAATCCCTGATGTGGAAACTACTAAAAAGTACTTTTGATCAGCTGCACTTTTAGAAATCTAACAAGAGCCAGGCGCTGGTGGCTCATGCCTGTAATCCTAGCTACTCAGGAGGCTTACATCTGAGGATTGTAGTTCAAAGCCAGCCCAGGCAGGAAAGTCCATGAGACTCTTATCTCCAATAAACCACCAGAAAACAGGAAGTGGCACTGCGGCTCAAGTCGTAGAGCACTTACCTGAGCTAAGAGTGAGGGACACTGCCCAGGCCCAGAGTTCAAGCCCCACAACCGACAAAAAAAAAAAAGAAAAAAGAAAGAAGAAAACTATTCCAACATACAATTTATTAGGGGCAGAGCTTAAGACCAAAAACCAGATGGGTCTAACAGATTTGAATTAACAAGCACAGAGCTACAAGGTTTCAAAAAAGCACATAATAGGACATGTCCTAAGACAACAAGAACTTAAGAAGTAGAGAAAGCAACATTCATGTTAGAAACCAACGAAAGTTACTGTGCCTTGGATAGAACAAGCTAGTTGAGCACCAGCTGAGGTAAGAGAAGTAGCCATGATGATAGTAGATTTGGGCTTTTGGTCAACTTAAGATAACTTGAAACAGGACCCAAGGCCAAATACACAGTGGCTCCAAGAGGCATGGAATAAAGTAAATTTTTTAATTAATATGAATTCTATGGACAGCAATCTTGATTGTTTAAATTTCAGCAAAAATGACCATCTATACTCACTTGCAACATGCCTCAATTATACTGTCTATATGCTAAACTCTTACAAAGGATAAAATACATTATGTTCCTAATTTATACAGACAGAATGACTGTGGTCAAGAGAGACACAGGCAAAAGTACAAAGTCAGGAAAAAGGAACAATTTTTTTTTTTGGGGGGGTGTCAGTCGTGGGGCTTGAACTCTAGGCCTGGGTACTGTCCCTCAGCTCTTCAGCTCAAGGCTAGAGCTCTATCACTTGAGCCACAGCGCCACTTCCAGCATTTTCTGTTTATGTGGTGCTAAGGAATTGAACCCAGGGCCTCATGTATGCGAGGCAAGCACTCTACTGCTGAGCCACTTTCCCAGCCCCAAAAGGAATAATATTTTTAACAGGAAATTCCTCTGTAAAAAAAGGAATGTAAGACCTACCAAAGGAGAGACATTGGGCATGGAAATGCCATACCTCAAAAGACATTATTTTACCATATAAAACAGTGCTTCTCCAGAATAAAATTCCTCAGAGGTAAAAAATACTATTAATCAGTGACCAACCAGACTCAGGATTACTCCTAGTAACCTAGAATTTACTACTTCTTAGAAGTCTCAGCCGTGAGAGTGGTATCTTTCTGTAATGCCACCATGCCAGCAGTCAAGAGGCAGAGGCAAGAGGATCACCAACATGAAATTCATGATCTACATAGCAAGGCCCTGTCTCAAAAACAAACATTTTCCATTTCTAAATAGCTGTTACTGCCCACTTCCACATGGAAGATCTTCAACAAAACTAAATCAATTCTCCTAAATCTTTCCAGGATGAATTTCTGCCCCTCAAAATAGCAAATACTGTTAAAGACTTATTGACTCAAACACTGTTGTAAACACTTTTTATCTATTAACTTACAGAAAAAGTATATAATTACACTAGAAACTATGTTCCCTGACACTCAGAGAGGTTACAGCTAACTTGCCATGGTTGCACACACAAAGTAAACTGTGCAACCAGGATTAAAGGTTAAGCAACAGGCTGCAGGAGCCATGATTTACCACTGTGCTAGTCTATGTTCCAAGGTGGCAGATATCTTCCCTACCCAGATTGTCTGCTGCCGATGCACAGTAGTACTGAGCTCATTACTATGGAACTTGTACAACATAGCGTATTTTCTTGACTTGCATCCTAAAACTGCATTATCCTGCCAACAAGTAACTTATTTTCATCCTCTGGCTTTTAATTATTTGTTTTTGTGCTGGTCCTGAGACTTGACTCAGGGCCTGGGCACTGTCCCTAAGCTATTTTTTTTTTTTCTCAAGGCTAGCATTCTACTACCTGGGCAGTTAATTGGAGTCTCAGACTTTCCTGCCTGGGGTGGCTTGGAACTGTGATTCTCAGATCTCAGCCTCCTGAGTAGTTAGGAATACAGGCATGAGGCACCAACAGTTGGATGGTTTTAAAATGTAAATTACACCTTCGGCTCATAATATACTTCTACTGGACAGTGCTGCTCTAGAGAGTTCCTATATTCAAACTAAATGAAAGAGACAGATGTTTTGAAAAGCCTCACTAGGATATTCTCCAGGGGCAGAGCCATTCTAGTCCTACATACTCCATTGAACTTCCCAAGGGCAGGGAACATATATTCTTCACCTTTGCAATTGTACTCCAAATCCTGAATTGAGCACACATTCATGGATCGCCTTGTGCTTAAAAGCAAAGTTTACAATCTCAGCTTTTAGAAAGTTGGCTGAGTGGTCATGACAACTACGCAAAATTCTATAGGAATGCAATCTAACTATGTTTTTCGTCAGAAAATGTGCGATTAGATTCAAAGTACATTATAGACACATTTGTGCATTTTGGTTTTTGGTGCTTCTGAGGGTTGAACTTGTGCTTGTTAGGTGGACATTCTACTCTTAACCACATTCCCAGCCGTTTTTGACTACTTTAGGGTCTCTCATGTATGCCAACTTATACTTCCCCTTGTAGCTAGGATGACAGATGTATGCCACCCAGAGTCCAGCTACTGATTGAGATGTGGTCTCAAGTTTATGTCCAGGCTGGCCTCAAACTACAGTCTATGCAATCACTAGCTTCCAAGAAATTAGGAACATAGGCCTTAGCCATAGGTATCCAGTTTATATTTGTGATTTGATACAAAAGAATAATCCTAAATTTCAAGGGAGCTGCCAAAGCTCCCACCAGGCATAAATCCCTGGCACTTGGCTAAGAATTTCTTTTTAAAAAAATGTATATATGTATATTTGAAAGTAATAAACCATAAATTTCTTGTTAATAAAGTATGACTTCCTTAGGAAAAGACATGTGGTAGGTAATATGGTGATAGTATGATTCAATAAGACTGTGAAAATTAACTGGTTAATCATGTCCCAGTGGCTCTTTTATACCCTACTATCAGAGTGACATGGACCAGATGAACAAGTACAACAACTCTGAACAGCTATTTCAAAAATGTTTAAATGGGGGCTGGGAAGTTGGCTCAGTGGTAGAGCCCTTGCCTTGCATGCATGAGGCCCTGGGTTCGATTCCTCAGCACCACATAAACAAAAAGAAAAAAGCCAGAAGTGGCGCTGTGGCTCAAGTGGTAGAGCGCTAGCCTTGAGCTGAAGAGCTGAGGGACAGTGCCCAGGCCCAGAGTTCAGGCCCCACAACCAGACCCCCCAAAAAAAGAACGACACCACCCCATTTGTTAGGAAATGGAAAGAGTTGGAAAAAATTATATTAAGTGAAGTAAGCCTGACTCTAAGAAACATAGGTCCCATGGTTTCTCTTATCTGCAATAACTAGTATATGTCTAGGACAAACAGAAAAGGTCAAAAGCTATGTACATATGACCATATAAGATGATGTTAAGTGAAATGAACCCCAAGATAGGGACACAAGAGATTTTATCTTTCTTGGTGTTCTTTTTAACGTACTTATACTATGTGATTTTTTGTTTGTTTGTTTCTTTGTATGTTCTTCCCCGTATGTTCTTCCCACATGGTATAACCCCTGTTGTCACTGTAGTTGATTCCAGTGTCTTGCATCTTGTATATACATTTTTTCTCTTTTTTGGGTCTGGTCGTGGGGCCTCAACTCTGGGCCTGGGCGCTGTCCCTCAGCTCTTCAGTTCAAGGCTAGCGCTCTACCACTTTAGCCACAGCGCCGCTTCCAGCTTTTTTTCTTTTAGCTTATGTGGTGCTGAGGAATCGAACCCAGGGCCTCACGCATACAAGGCAAGCACTCTACCACTAAGCCACCTTCCCAGCCCTGTATATACATTTTTCTAATTTGGGAAGGGAAAATATAATATTGTCAACAGCCCTAATAAACAATTTTTTGCTGTAACTGAACCTGTTAAAGTAGGCAAAGAAGGATTCATTGAGGTAGTAACTTTTGAGTTCTGTCTTGAAGTGTAAAAAGCAGGTCTTCACAGTCATGATTTATGTTTATGTGTGTACGAGAACATGTTATATGTATATACAAAGATACAATAGAAGGAAAGATGGCATTATGTGCCAAGAAGACCCATCTAAGTCATCATGGATTTTCTGAGGAGTAGGAGATAATAACTGGTTATTTAGAGCATTTCTGAAAGCATTCACGTATCAAGTATTTACACCAAGACAGTCTTTTCAATAATAATGTCTGTAAGCCTGAAAATGAAACTGCTCCTTTATCACTTAAAACACTATTAATGGAAATAAAATAGGTACCAACACTTTCTTGAAGCCCTATCAAGTGATATTGTATTACAAAAACAAAGGAAGCTGGGTGCTGGTGGCTCAGGCCTATAATCCTAGCTACTTACAAGGCTGAGATCTGAGTATCAAGATTTGAAGCCTGGTGATATAGACAAATCCCAACTCTTGGATCTCCAATAAACCAGCAAAAAGCCAGAAACAGAGGTGAATAAACAAACAGCCAGAAGGAAGAAACCAGCTCATACTATTAAGACAGGAGAAATATGAAGGTGACAGTGTCTGCTCCAGGAGACATTAATCTACACAGCCAAAACTAAGATCTAATCCTGAGTAAATTACTAATTATACACAACTTTCCAAGGAATGTTGTGAAATTAAATCGTTCTCCTTGTACTTGTTAGGCTAAAAAGCTCATGTGCTTACCTAACTTCCACAAGGTCATTTGGCTTATAGCTAGGATGAAGGAAGAACCAAACTTTCTTGACAAAATGGTTAATGCTGGGTTCTCTACGGGACCCTCGGACATAAACCATCCATTTATGGGTTGACTGGTCGTTTTCTTCTCTCTTATCTGGAGGTATATACCTGAGGTAAAAAAGAACAACCGTGAATTTTTTTCCTTCAAAACTGTAACAAAACAAGTCCTACTTAAAAGAAGATTGGATATCACACAATGAGAAAAATGAGTCTTTGTAGCTAATCATTGTATTTTTAATTCCTGAAACTTTTTGTTGTTGTTGTTCTAAGGAGCATTACCTTAAGGTCTGTTTTAATTTTTGGCTACTGGTCTGAAATTTTAAAAACAAAAATTTGTTTTTATATTTTTATTCCTGGGTTAAAGAGCCTCTAGTTTGGGCTTTTAGGAGCTCTTTCAGGCTTTAGGGAGCCAGAACTTGGACCTCTGGCACCAAACTACTGCTACCAAGACTGCACTTGGTTCTTCCATGCCACAAAAGCCCAAGCCATTTCTACTCCTCACCACAAGAAAACCAGCATGTTAAATTCTTTAAGAGCTCTGGGCTTACTTCAATGTCTGAGGCTTCTTACTGAGGTTCCGGAGGGAAACACGGACCTGGCCTTTTTTTGTTCAACTATGCCTATGACTGTTCTTAGTAAGGCAGTTAGTTCTTCAGTGGCATTCTTGTCCAGTTGTGGCACTTTGCTCTTTCCTATAAAAGAACTAGTCTATGAATTTGATTTTCCTGAGAATATCCACAGACCAATTTGAGGAAAAGGACACATTAACAATATCCAATCTCCTCATGCATATACCTGGCATACTGCTATAATTTTTCAGTCCTTTCTTATGTCTCCAACTGAGTTTTGGATGTCTTCATGAAGGGCTAACATGTATTCTGCTTGACTTACCAAGTATATTTTTGCTGCTAAAGTAAAAGTTTACTTTATATTTTTTGTGCTAATATTGGAGCTTGAACTCCAAGCCTCGTGTTTGCTAAAGCTTTTTCACTCACAGCTGAAGGACTGCAACCACTTGAGCCACACCTCCGGTTCTAATAATATACCTTTGAAATTACTTTATTTTTCAGGGTAGGTGCTGGTAGCCCGTACCTGCAATCCTAGCTACTTGGAAGACTGAGGTCTGAGGATCATGGTTTGACTCAAGCCTGGGCAGGAAAGCCCATGAGACTTTTATTTCTAATTAAAAGCCAGAAGTGGCTCAAATGGTAGAACTCTGGTCCTGAATAAAGAAAGCTCAGGGACAGTGCTTAGGCTGAGTTCAACCCCCAAGAATGTCACAATAAATAAATAATCTTATTTTATAAATATGTATATAAAGAAATAATTTACTTTTATCAATATATTTTGATTAAATTCACCCTATTACCTTTTTTTTTTAAATGCTAATATTGGGGCTTGAACTCAGGGCCTTAGCCTTTTACTCAAGGCTACATCTCTACCACTTGAGCCACTTTTGGCTTTTTGCTGGTTAATCTGAGATGAATCTCTTTCCTGGACTTCCTGCTTAGGCTGGCAAGGAACCATGATCCTCAGATTTTAGCCTGAGTATATGGGATCATAGGCAAGAACCACCAACATTCAGTTCTAAGTACTTTTTCTTCTAATCAAAAGATTGGCAAACACATTAAGGAAGGATCTAAAGTAAGGAAGCTAGACCTCAGTTTACTTTTGAAACAACCAAGAATCTGGAAAACAGCTGCTACTATAATTTTTAGGATAAATAGTACATATACCCAAGTATTCAGGTACATGGAGAGCTACAAATGAGATCTTATCTATTTTGTTCTCCTGTCCCAATAACTTGTAAGATTCAAACCTCTTTGATTTGCCTTATAGAATCACTAAAATGGACCTAAAATTAGGTTTTGAAGAAAAATAAAACATCAAAGATCCAGGAAATAGAAATAAAGAGGGTTTTTGTTTGTGCCAGTCCTGGGGCTTGAACACAGGACCTGGGCGCTGTCCCTGAGCTGCTTCTGCTCAATGCTAGCACTCTACCACTAGAATGCTACCTCTCTACCACTAGAGCCACAGAGCCACTTCCTGCTTTTTCTGTGTATGTGGTACTGAGGAATCAAACCCAGAGCTTCATGCGTGCTAGACAAGTACTCTACCACTAAGCCACATTCCTAGCCCAAGAGGGTTTTTTTTTCCTTTAAAAAAAAAAAAAAAAATCAAACAAGCTTCACACTTAAATTCTTCCATTTTCATCAGAAAATAAAAGTTCCCCTAAAGAATTTTATTTCAGCTTTGATAGTGCCAACCACAAATAAATGGCTGATACTGAGATTGATTGTACACATGGAAGAAAAAAAAACTGTAGATTTGAAAGCTAGAGAAGCAGTACATTGAGAATTTATCACTCTGAGAGAGCTTTCAAAAACCAAATGAGAGCTGGGAACTATTGGCTCATACCTATAATCCTAGCTATTCAGGAGGCTAAGATCTGAGGATCGTGGTTCAAAGCCAGTCTGTGCTGAAAGTCTTTGTGAGACTCTTATCTTCCCTACAAGTAACCACCAAAAGAACCAGAAATGGCACTGTGGCTCAAAGTGGTAGAACACTAGCCTTGAGCAAAAGAGCTTAGGGACAGTGCCCAGGCCCTGAGTTCAAGCCCCATGACCAACAAAAAACAAAGAACAAAAAATAAAAATAAAAAGCCAAGAGATTATTATTATAGTGCCTTTCCAGCAATGTTTTTTTTTAATTTTAATAATTTTAATTCTGTGATAAAGCCAGATTGTCATGGTGGGAAGAAGGTACAAAATGTTGTAAATTCGAGGTCTGGTTCCAGCAACATTTTAGAGTGAACACCTCAATTCTTTCTACCTATGGATATTTGTGAATATAGCATAAAATAGAAGGTACAATAAGGAGGAAAGCCTCTAAATTCTAATTCGAATTCTGTTTACTGTGATTACACTAAGTAAATCTTTGGGCCATCATTTACTTTTATGTGTATGTATATATATGTACTGGTCCTGGGACTTGAACTCAGAGCCTAGGTGCTGTCCCTGAGTTTTCTGCTCAAGGCTAGCATTCTATAGCTTCTTCTGACTACTTGGGTGCTTAATTAAGAGATGAGTCTCAGACTTTCCTTCCTGGGCTGGCTTTGAACCTTGATCCTCAAATCTCAAGACTCCTGAGTAGCTAGAATTATAGGTATGAGCCACACTAGCCCCTGGCTTCATCATTTACTTTTGAAACAACTGGAAGCTTAGAAAAAGAATTCCTGAGACTGTCCTACTGCAATACCACAGTAAAGGAATAGTAATGTCAAAGTATTACTATAAATGAGACTGAAAATGGGTCAATCCAACTGTACTCACTTGGACACATTACCAACAACTATTGTTTTCTTTACAAAAAGGCGTGAGGTCTCATCTCCTGTGAGATCAGTATTCCGTTGTTCTGTTTTATGGGAGCCAGTAACATTGGAAGTATCCTAAAAAAACAAACAAAAACCCCACAATTACTATTCACTTCTATTTTATACAATGCAGACAGAAACTACACTATTATAAAAGTTATGAAAGAAAGTTCAATTTTATTACATAAACTTTATAGTACTTCTTAAAACATGAAAAACATTTACTGTAAATATTCAAGTAATTTATTTAAGTCTGTGTGCTTGAGGGAATGGGGAAGAGAAGGGATAGTGGGAGAACAATGAGGGAGGGAGTAACAATGCTCCTTACTCATGTAACTGTAACCCCTCTGTACAGCATCTTTACAATAAAATAAAATAAAAATAAATGAAAGTGTATGCTGTAGTTCCATGTATTCTTAATGGTCTGCTTATTCACATATCTGCTTTACATATGCAAATAAGGTATAAAAGGATACAAGAGAAAAACAAATACAATGGTTATCTCTGGAAAGTGGGAATGCGAATGAAGGGTTCAATAAAAAAGCTGGGAAGGTGGCTCAGTGGTAGAGTGCTTGCCTTGCATGTATGAGGCCCTGGGTTCGATTCCTCAGCACCACATAAACAGAAAAGGCCGGAAGTGGTGCTGTGGCTCAAGTAGTAGAGCACTGGTCTTAAGCCAAAGAGCTAAGGGACAGCACCCAGGCCCAGAGTTCAAGATCCACAACCAACAAAAAAATAAAAAATTTTCAAACTTCTGCAATACTTAAATTTTGCAAGAAAAAGTAAAAAATGGTTATTTTTTTTTAAAGATTATAGTAACAGACTGTCAAGGTTCTAATCCTGCTCCTTCTATGTACTAATACAGAGTCTTGGGTAGTTACTCTCTGCTACAATTTCCTCAAAAGATTTTTGTTAATAGCACCTACTTTATGATTATTTGTAGTTCTTAAGAAAGTGCCTGGGACATACTAAATGTTGATTCTATTAAATACACACACAATTATCACCCAGTATATAAAAGACATTGAATTTCTAAATCCTATGACTAGTTTGACCTAAACTATTCTTAAAACATTAATAATATTTGCTCAGAATACATACAAGTAACTCAACACTAAAGTTCTGTTTTTTGTATGGCACCATTATGAGTGACTTTAGGGGGTTTGTTTTTGCTCTTATTTTTTAATTTTTACTAATGATGACATGAATTTGTAATTAGAAAAATAAGTTTATTTTATTTTAAAAAACTGAGCACTTGATGTATGCATATACGGAAAGCAACTCAGAAATTTCCTATACTACAAACATGTGGGAAAACCAATGGTTGACTCTAATAAACACTCTATAGCCAAATACCATGTCTGAACTAGAAACTCAAACAATAAGCTAACAGGATCATATACTAATATGTCTTTCAATTCTATTTATTATTTGTCCAATTTTCTCTGGCTACTACTGTATCCTTAAAATAGCCTCACAGAGTAAAGTATTTAAGAGTCACTTCAGAGAATAAACTTGACAGAGTGAAAAGAATTCTAGCAGTCATTGAAATGCCAACACCTAAAAGTTTTTGGGATATCTACATAAAGACATCAAGGAGTTGTGCTTATACATTGGAGCCCTGAGCCCTAAAATTAGAAAAATATGGGCTTCTCAGTTCTAACCCTTTTAGGAAAATATAATTAACTTTATTAAGACCGAGTTTCTCACTCTAAAGGAAAACAGGCTATTTCCTAGTACTCCTTTGAAAATTCAATGAAAAACTCATGCATACTTAATAAATGCTAGCTCTCTTCTTTGACTCCCTCCCCTCCATCCAACTCTATACCCTTCCAGTATTTCGGCTTGGTCTCTGCTCCGTGTTGTTTGAGAGTCTTTCCTCCAAATCCACATTGCTGTTATTATCTTTGTCAGATAAGAAGTCATTGTGTTGAGATAAAGAATCACTTTCTGAATGATTAGCTGATGGTGTTTCTGATCTCTGATTGGTAGGAGAGGATGACCTCGATGGTGATTCCAAAAATTTCTTAATAGCAGGATGATTAAAAACCATTGTGTCACATGTCTTTGATCCCTAGAGAAAAAAATGAAAGTAAGCAAACTTCTAATAGTCACCAGAAGTAGGCGAAAAATTGGTATCTAAAAATCTGCATCTTTAAGATCTTGTTTAAAATCCCTAAAAGTTTCCTATATCTGTAAAAATGAAAACTAAAATCCACTGGGAGAAAAAAAAACTAATAACAATTAAGTAAAAGCCAAAGATAAGCTAGCATATACAATGCACAAAGGAGGATCATGAGTTTGAGGCCAGCCTGGAATACCTAGTGAGACCACATTAAAAAACAAAACAAAACACGAAAAGCTGTAAGATATAAGGCTTTCAGGAAGATTTGACTTTAAAACATTAAATATCACGTCATTTTACTTAAATACATTAGCATCTCTATATAAAGTATCCTTGTAAGAACTGTTAAAAATAAAAAATAGTACACAGAATGGTACCCCTATAGCAGCAACATGTAACATAAAATGCTTTAAAAATCATTAATACTTACATGTATAAAGTTCTCCCTCACACTAGTACAGATCACAAGACACTTTTTTGTATCTTAGTTACTTGTATAAAAAACATAGTGTAGCCGGGCGTTGGTGGCTACTCAGGAGGCTGATATCTGAGGATCACAGTTCAAAGCCAACTGGGACAGAATAGTCTGTAAGACTCTTATCTCCAGGAAACCACCAGAAAACTAGAAGTGGCGATGTGGCTCAGTGGTAGAGCGCTAGCCTGGACCTGAAGAGCTGAGGGACAGCGCCCAGTGTGATGAGAAAGGGAAAAGACTAAAGAAAAATTAAAGGAGAGTAATTTCAAAATATAATGCAACCATGTATGAAAACGAAACAAAACCAAACAAATAAAACACCACAGGAAGCCTCTCGGTGGACAAACCATTTTGGTAAAGGCCCTGAGTTTGTTCCAAGCAGTATCCCATCCTACAGGACAATAAACTCTAAAATCTAATAGCTTCTTCACAGCATCCTTACTCCTTACCCAACTGTCTATCTCACTCCTCAAGGTACAAGTTTACTTTTCTAGTAAGTTACTCTTTACTCGCTTCAAAAAATAAACAAAAAATATACTGCATCTCATTATGTCATGCAATGTAGTTACGTTCCTAGGATGCCCTTTTTAGAACTGTATTTTTACTTTTAAAACACTGTTTCTAAAAATATTTGTTTTGGTGAAAAGGAATCACTACTCTTTCAGAATCAAAGCCTCAAAGCAGATAAAGGTCAATAATAAAAGTTTCTCAGAACTATAAATGTGGTAATTTCTAATAAGGGATTCTTAGACTAATTATTTTAAGTAAATGAAATTAACTTAAATAAGTAATTTTTATAAGTAAAAATAATTAATGTCAGATAATAGACAAAAGCATGCTTCAATAACCTTGATAAATCCTAATCAGCACAACAAGATAAAAATCTATGTACTTCTAGACCATTAAATATCACAGATCAGAACTGCTATTGGCAAAACAAAAGACTAAATGAATAAGTTTTTTAAACAGAAATAGCTGCTTCAAATACTGCTTCATCATGAAGATGTTACCTCATGATTTCCATTATGTTGAACCTAATATGGAGCTATGTAAGAGATAAGAATCTGGCTGGGGAGGTGGGGAGGGGGAGGGGAGATGGGAAGGGATGGGAGGGGAAACAAAGGAGGAGGCAACAATGTTTGATAAGAAATGTACACATTACCTAGCCCATGTAATTGTAACCCCTCTGTACGGTATTTTCATAATAAAAATTTTAAAAAAAAAGAATCTGGCTTAGGGGCTTGCCTTTCATGCATGAGGCCCTGGGTTTGATTCCTCAGCACCACATAAGCAAAAAAACCCAGAAGCAGTTCTGTGAAGTAGGTAGAACACTAGCCTTGAGCTGAGGGACAGTACCCAGACTTAAGAGTTCAGGCCCATGACTGACCAAGAAAAGAAAAAGAAAAAGCAAAGAATCTGGCTTATATTGAATAGTTTACCCCAATCACACCAAAAATTCATATCTACCCAGAATCTGTAAATGTGATTTTTCAGAAACAGGAGTAGGGACTGTGAAAGTTGCTGAATGATAAAATGTGTGTAGGAGACCCCAAGTTTAATCACAGGCACCAAAATGAAAGCCAGGCATTACATGCTGACATAACTTACCCTTGCTTAACCAACAAATGTGGTTGGCAAGTGACTAAGAAATTATTACCTCAGAAACTTTTAGAAGACCTGCAGAAGCATAGTAGTTTGCTACAATACAGGCACGAAGTTTATCCATCATCCTTCTTGCTTCAATCAATCGCTAAAAACAAGTGTTTACATGTTACTTTAGAAAACAGCAAATCCAAGTAACATACAACTCACAAAACAAGACATGAATAAGAGCACAAATAATCAAAGAAAAACAAAGCATTTCTTACCAAGAGATTGGCAAAGATTTAAGGCTGCCACTTGATCCAGCTCCATTCCTGGCTTTTGGTGGTTAATTAGAGATTCATACTTCCAGTGAGATAAGTCTGTGAAACTCCTTCTCACAGACTTTCCTATCTAGGCAAGCTCTGAACCATTATCCTTAGATCTCGGCCTCCTGAGAAGCTAGAATTACAGGCTTGAGCCACTAGGGCCTGAGGATTTTTTTTTTCAAACTATCATTTTTTGCTGGATTGATGATTTAGGCCTGCAAATCCCATTATTCTAAAGGCTAAGGCAGAAGAATCAGGACTTTGTGACCAGCATGGTCAACTACACTGTGAGATACTGTCATTTTAAAAACAAAAGGCTGGGGCTGGGAAAGTGGCTCAGAGGTAGAGTGCTTGCCTTGCATACATGAGGCCCTGGGTTCGATTCCTCAGCAACACATAAGCAGGAAAAAAAAGGCCGGAAGCAGCACTGTGGCTCAAGTGGTAGAACACTCGCCTTGAGCTGAAGAGCTGAGGGACAGTGCCCAGGCCCAGAGTTCAGGCCCCACGACCGGACCGAAAAAATAAATAAATAAATACAAAAGGCTGGTAATCATAGCTACTTATGAGGCTCTTGAGATTAGGATTGCTGGATGCTGGTGGCTCACATCTGTAATTCTATTCAGGAGGTTGAGATCTGAGAATCGAGGTTCAAAGCCAGCCTAGGCAGGAAAGACCCTGAGACTCTTATTTCTAACAAACCATTAAAAAGCCAGAAGCATGAGCTAGGAATGTGGCTTAGTGGTAGAGTGCTTGCTTAGCATGCATGAAGCCCTGGGTTCAATTCCTAAGTACCACATAAACAGAAAAGGCTGGAAGTTGTGCTGTAGCTCAAATGGTAGAGTGCTAGCCTTAAGCAAAGGAAACGCAGAGACAATGCCTATGCCCTGACTGAGTTTAAGCCTCAGGACTGACAAAAAAAAAGCCAGAAGCAGAGCTCTGGCTCAAGTGGTACAGTGCTAGCCTTGAGCAAAAAATTCACACATGGGCTGGGAAGGTAGCTCAGTGGTAGAGTGCTTGCCTTGCATGCATGAGGCCCTGGGTTCAATTCCTCAGTACCACATACACAGAAAAAGCCGGAAGTGATGCTATGGCTCAAGTGGTAGAGCGCTAGCCTTGAGCTCAAGAGCTGAGGGACAATGCCCAGGCCCAGAGTTCAGGCTCCATCACACACTCACACACACGCCCAGGCTTCAGGCTCCATCACACACACACACACACACACACACACACACACACACACACACACACACACACACACACACACACACACACACACACACACACACACACACACACACACACACACACACACGTGGTAGAGCGCTAGCCTTGAGCTCAAGAGCTGAGGGACAATGCCCAGGCCCAGAGTTCAGGCTCCATCACACACTCACACACACACACACGCCCAGGCCCAGAGTTCAGGCTCCATCTCACACACACACACACACACACACACACACACACACGCAACCATGCCCCAATGGTAGAGCGCTAGCCTTGAGCTCAAGAGCTGAGGGACAATGCCCAGGCCCAGAGTTCAGGCCCCATGACAGACAGACAGACAGACAGACAGACAGACAGACAGACACACAGACAGACACACAGACACACAGACACAGACACAGACACACACACGGCAACCATGCCCCAAGTTTAAGCTGCAGGACCAGCATATACACATACACACACACAAAAATAACATACAACAATCATCATATACTTTTCCCCCCACAGATTTAAGTGTCTTTTTTCAATGTATTATCATTTATACCTGGTCAATGACTTCAATTTCATGTTCTTTATTTTTCATTTCAAGAGCAAATTGTTCCTTGATAATAGTCTCAATCTTCTGGACAGCAGCATCTCGAGCTACATAAGAAATATAAAGTAAGTCCAAGCCCAATTCAGTAGTTGTCTTGATTTGGTCAACAAGCAACAGAAACAAGAACAAAGCACTGAGAGGACTATTGTATCACTGTGTGACATTCCTGTAAAAATGCTGGATCTATTCACAATGAAACATCAGACAAAACCAAACCAAACGACATTCTACAGAAATAATTGGCCTGTATCATTCAATTGGTCAAGACAAAAAAGACCAAGAACAGTTTGAGGAAACTGAAAAGAAACTGAAGAGATATGACAACTAAATCTCAGTGTGACCTCAATAAATTCTGAAGGAGAAAAATCTGGTTGTAAAATACATGCCTGGGACAACTTGTCACATAATATAACAATGTTAAAATGTCTTAGTTTGGGGGCTGGGAACATGCATTAGTGGTAGAGTGCTTGCCTAGCATTCATGAAGGCCTGGGTTCAATTCCTCAATACCACATAAACAGAAAAAGCCAGAAGTGGTGCTGTTTCACAAGGGGTAGAGTGCGGGCTGGGAAGGTGGCTCAGTGGTAGAGCGCTTGCCTTGCATGCCTGAGGCCCTGGGTTCCATTCCTCAGCACCACATAAGCAAAAAAGCCGGAAGTGGCGCTGTGGCTCAAGTGGTAGAGCGCTAGCCTTGAGCTGAAGAGCTGAGGGACAGCGCCCAGGCCCAGAGTTCAGGCCCCACGACCGGACTCAAAAAAAAAAAACAAAAACAAAAAAAAAAAACCAAGGGGTAGAGTGCTAGCCTTGAGCTTAAGAAGCTCAGGGACAATGCCCAGACCCTGAGTTCAAGCCTCAGGACTGGCAAAAAAAAGTTAGTTTTGATCACTGTACTGTGGTTATATAAAAGAATGCTCTGAAGTAATATGTCTAAGATGGGTGCTGATGGCTCATGCCAGTAATCCTAGCTACTCAAGAATATCTAAGGATCACAATTCAAAGTCAGCACAAGTAGGAAAGTCCAAGAAACACATCTGCCAAATAAACACCAAAAAGATAAATAAATAAAAAAAACCTAACCAGAAATAGAGCTGTGACTCAAGTGGTAGAGCACTAGCTTTGAGCAAAAAAGCTCAAGGACAGTGCCCTGGCCTTGAGTTCAAGCACTAGGACCAGCATTAAAAAAGAAAAGAAAAACGATATGTCTAACTTTTTTCCCAAATAAATCTAGTATAGATCTTAAATGTCCCCTAAATGCCATGTGCTAAAAGTCTGGTCCTCAGCTGATGAAGCAATTGAGGTAGTGGAAACTCCAGAAGTGGCCTACTTGAAGGAAGTAGCTCACTGGGTATGAAGGGAACATTTTTCCCTAGCTCTATGGCTGGCCTGCTGACTCTTCAAGCTTTGGTTCCTGGCTGCCATTTAGTAAGCAGCCTCCTCTATTAGACTATCAGACATTCTACCAATCTGAGGATCAAAGTAAGGGAGACATGGCCTGGACTGAAACTATGAATCTAAATAAATCCAGGTGCTGGTGGCTCCCACTTGTACTCCTACTCAAGAGGCTGAGATCTGAGGATCACAGTTCAAAGCCAGCCTGGGCAAGAAAGTTGGTAAGATTTTTTTCTTTTGATGGTCCTGAGGCTTGAATTTGGGGCCTGGGTACTATTCTGGAGCTTCTTTTGCTAAAGGCTAGTACACTACAACTTAAGCCACAATGCCACTTATGGTATTTTCTCTGATTTAACTCGAGATGAGTCTCACAGACTTTATAGCACATGCTGGCTTCAAATCGCAATCCTCAGATCTCAGCCTCCTGCATAGCTAGGATTACAAGTGTAAGCCACTTAACTCCAATAAACTACGCACAAAAATCCAGAAGCAGCACTGTGGTTCAAGCAGTAGAGCAATAGTCTTGAACCTGAGAAGTTACGATACAGCACCCAGGCCCCCTGTGTTCAAGCCCTAGGACTGGCAAAATAAATAAATATTTCCTTCTTTCATTGACTTCTCAGGCATTTCATCAGTGATAGAAGACTGGCTAACACACATGTAAAAATTTAATTAAATTTAAAATTTAGTCTTTAAAAATTAGTTAATAATTTATTTTAATATAGTAAGTCACAAAACAAGTCTGATGAAACTGTGTCTATGCACATTAAAATAACATGCAATCATCACCCATAATCACCTCACATGATTATACATTATAGTCCAAATATCTTAAAAGACTATAATACAAGAACACGCAAAAATAGCTAAAACTTAGTCTGTTTCATTACTATCACTTTCACACTCTACCTGATGTGTTTCTACCAGATCTGCCTTTTTTTTTTTTTTTTTTTTGTCAGTCATGGAGCTTGAACTCTGGGCTTGGGTGCTGTCCCTGCACTCTTCAGCTCAAAAGGAGTGCTCTACCGCTTGAGCCACAGCACCACTTCCAGTTTTCTAGTGGTTTACTGGAGATAAGAGACTCACAACTTTCCTGTCCAGGCTGGCTTTGAACTATAATCTTCAGAACCAGATCTGCCTTTTTTTTTGGGGGGGGGGGTTGTGGGGGGTCCGGTCGTGGGGCCTGAACTCAGGGCCTGGGCGCTGTCCCTCAGCTCTTCAGCTCAAGGCTAGCACTCTACCACTTGAGCCACAGCGCCATTTCAGGTTTTTTTCATTTTGCTTATGGTGCTAAGGAATCGAACCCAGGGCCTCATGCATGCAAGGCAAGCACTCTACCACTGAGCCACCTTCTCAGCCCCCCAGATCTGCCTTTTATACTACCATTATGTACTTTTTTGGGGGTCACTTATGGGGCTTGAGCTCTGGGCCTGGGTGCTGTCCCTCAGCTCCGCAGCTCAAGGCTAGCACTTTACCACTTGAGCTACAGTGCCACTTCTGGTTTTTTTATGGTTAATTGGAGATAAGAGTCTCATGGCCTTTCCTGCCCAGGTTAGCTTTGAACCTCGATCCTCAGATCTCAGCCTCCTGAGTGGCTAGGATTAAGGCATGAGCCACCAGCGCCTGGCATTATGTACTATTATACGAAATACTTAACAACTCCCTCTTACAACCTCCTCTGAATTATATACACAGATGTGGAAATTAATTTCATTTCTTAAGAGAGAAGGTAAATGTAAACTAAGAAATAATTTCCTAAGGCAAGTCAATTTTTTTATTATTAGTAAGTAGTTGTACTAAGGGACAATGAGGACAATGTTTCTTGATCTATGTCATCCTTTCCTTCATTCTCCCCTTTCAAGTGACATAGTTCTTTTTTTTTTTTAATTGTGAAAATACCATACAGAGGGGTTACAATTACATGGGCAAGATAATGAGTACATTTTTTTTTCTTTTTTTTTGGGTCCGGTCGTGGGGCCTAACTCTGAGCCTGGGCACTGTCCCTCAGCTCTTCAGCTCAAGGCTAGCACTCTACCACTTGAGCCACAGCGCCACTTCTGGCTTTTTTCTTTTTGCTTATGTGGTGCTGAGGAATCGAACCCAAGGCCTCGAGCATGCAAGGCAAGCGCTCTACCACTGAGCCACCTTCCCAGCCCCAATGAGTACATTTCTTATCAAGCATTGTTGCCTCCTCCTTTGTTTCCTCTTCCCATCCCTTTCCATCTACAACCCCCGCCCTCCCCAGCATAGTTCATTTTTTTATACCATATATTTTGGGTTAGTCAATTTCTACCTGAATTCTCAATTGCTTTTTGTCGCTTATTTGGAAGGGCCACAGCTATATCTTCATAATCAGGGTCAGTTTCTTTAATTGTTCTCTTGATTCCAGACATGGTGATATTCAGTTCTTCACTGTAAAACAGTAAGTTAACAAACAAGTAACATTATGCACATAGGTAAATGCTATATAATACATAAAAGTTGATGTAGCCAGGTGCTGGTGGCTCATGCTTATAATAAGGCTGAGATCTGAGAATCCAGGTTCTAAGTCAACCTAAGGAGAAAAATTCATTAGACTTTTTTTTTTGGGGGGGTGGGGTCCGGTCGTGGCACCTGAACTCTGGGCCTGGGCGCTGTCCCTCAGCTCTTCAGCTCAAGGCTAGAGCTCTACCACCTGAGCCACAGCGCCACTTCCGGCTTTTTTTTCGTGGTGCTGAGGAAGGAACCCAGGGCCTCAGGCATGCAAGGCAAGTGCTCTACCACTGAGCCACCTTCCCAGCCCAGACTCTTATCTCCAACTAAAAAGCAAGAAGACAAAAGTAAAGATACAGTTCAAGTAGTAGAGCATCAGCCTTGAGAAAAAAAGCTAAGCAAGAGCGGGCACCGGTGGCTCACGCCACCTAGCTACTCAGGAGGCTGAGATTTGAGGATTATGGTTCAAAAGCCAGCCCGGGCAGGAAAGTAAATGAGACTATTGTCTCCAATTAACCACCAGAAAACCAGAAGTGGTGCTGTGGCTCAAGTGGTAGAATGCTAGCTTTGAACTGAAGAGCTCAGGGACAGCACCCAGGCCTAGAGTTCAAGCCCTACAACTAACACCACACAAAAAAAGCTAAGCAAGGGAGCAAAGCCCTGAGTTCAAATTTCACTACTGGCACACACATACACAAAAAGGAAAGTTGCTAAATAAAGAAAAATGGCTGAGTATGGCGACTCAAGCCTATAATCCTAGCTACTTGGGAGAATAATGTTCAAGCCCAGCTCAGGCAAAAAACAAGTTCTTGAGACTATCTCAACCAATATCTGGGGGCAGTGACAGAACACTTGATATCCTAGCTGTGAGCAAGACAATGGCTAGGGGAATGGTATGAGTCTGTCATCCCAGCAATAGCAGAAGCATAAATAGAGGGATCACAGCCTGGGAAAGCAAGAGCATGAGTGAAATCTTACCTTGAAAATCACCAGTTCTACTAGGTGGTAAGAGCACCTGCCTAGCAAGTTTGGGGCTGAGTTCAATTTCCAGTACCACCAAAACAGAAACAACCCAACAAACAAACCACAGACAACTGTGTTAGTCCATCTTAGAGATATATATGAGCACTTGATATGGGTGGGGTGATTCATTATGGAATGGTAGCTATGTAAAGCCTAGATCCAAGAGAACATTTTTTTCTCTGTTGTATTGTGTAACATCACTATGCTTCATGCATTTGTAACTATCCTAGCAATTTATTAAATGTTAGTTGATAATCATGAGTCAATTGCTATAATTTGGAAAATAAATATTTTTGGAGCACCCTAGACTCTAATTACTATCTTTCTAAAGTTAATTTTTTTTTTTTTTTAAAAAGGCAGTCTTGTTTCTTCTTTGTTCTGTAATTAAACAGAGAAAAACTCTGGTAGTTATATAAGCCTTACTCCTTCCTGAGTGCAGACGGGAGGCTGGTGGCTCACGCCTGTAATCCTAGCTACTCAGGAGGCTGAGATCTGAGGATCGAGGTTCAAAGCCAGCCTGGGCAGGGAAGTCTGTGAGACTCTTATCTCCAATAAACCACTAGAAAACTGGATGTGGTGCCGTGGCTCAAGCAGTAGAGCACTCTCGCCTTAAGCTGAAGAGCGCAGGGACAGCACCCAAGCCCAGAGTTCAAGCCCCACAACCGACGCAAAAAAAAACAAAACCTAAACCCAAACCCTCTACCTTCTACTCACAAATAAATCTCAAAACAGAGGTCAGACAATTCACCAAAGTGCTTTCTAAGTGGCCGAAAGTCTTATAGAACGTATAGGATTTTATAGGATTATCTGTAAAGCAGAGGCCACCAAGTCAAGCATCATCCTTACTTACTCATCTATAAAACTCATGATGTGTTGGAGCTGGGAATATGGCTTAATGGTAGAGTGCTTACCTAGCATGCATAAAGCCCAAGGTTCAATTCCTCAGTACCATATAAACAGAAAAAGCTGGAAATGGTACTGTGGCTCAAGTGGTAGAGTGCTAGCCTTGAGCAAAAGACGCTCAGAGACAGTGCCCAGGCCCAGAGTTCAAGGCCCAGGTCCGCAAAAAAAAAAAGCTTAAGGAAGATTCTGCTCTGAACACTCTTAAATAAACCAGGTTTGCTGCTATCTAGCAAAAACAATAAATACTAAACTACACACATGCCACATTTAAGTAAATTCTAGCTAAAGCCAGGCACATCTGCTGAGGCAGGCTCTCACAAATGACCCAGGATTAAATTACATTCAGGATTCTTCTTGCCTGGCTTTTAGATTTATGAAAAGGAAATGTGAGCAGCTGTTGGAAATTGTCAATTCAACTTTGAAACAAAATGTCCTAATGCTCTTCAGGTTTTGAACTTGTGATGGTGATGTGAACTATTTTTTTTTTAATCTGTTACTCTCACAATCTGTGAGAACAGATTTTCTCTATATTACTGGACCAAAACCAAATACGTGGATGGAAATCAAATAAACAATTTTCCAGGGCTAAGACTATTACTGTATCTATTCCTCCAACTTAAAATTTCTACCTCATCAAAACGGCCTATTATAAAACTCAAATATTGTCCATTCAACACAGAAAATGCTTTTTTCCCACAGCCTACACATGAAAATGAAAGCTTTTTTGGGGGGGCGGGGGTTTGGTCCTGGGGCTTGAACTCTGGGCCTGGGCACTGTCCCTCAGCAATTCAGGTCAAGGCTAGTGCTCTACCACTTGAGCCACAGCGCCACTTCCGGCTTTTTTCTTTTTGCTTATGTGGTACTGAGGAATCGAACCCAGGGACTCATGCATGCAAGGCAAGCGCTCTACCACTGAGTGACTTTCCCAGCCCCCAAAATGAAAGCTTTTAGGTAAATGTACCAGCCCCATTCAAACACCATAAGCAGGTACAAGTTGTTAAGAAAGGCTTAAGACCAAAAGCTTTTAATGTTTTATACTTTGAATTATATTCACTCACAACATGAACTGAGCACTGATGGCTCACACCTGTTATCCCAGCTATTCAGAAGGCTGAGGCCTAAGGATTCAAGTTAGGTTGGGCAGAAAACAAAAAAATCTTTGAGAGCCATCTCCAATTAACCATGGCTCAAGTAATAGAGTGCCAGTAATGAACAAGAAAGATGAACAAGAGCACAGCCCTGTACTACCCCCTTGACCCCCTCAAAAAAGAAGAGCCAAATCATAACATGCACCATGGTATTTTTGCATGGACATGTTTTCATTTCTCTTGGGTACATATTTTAGGGATGGGATTGCGAGATCACATGGTAATTCTGTGTTTAACTTTTTGAGAAGTTGCCAAACATTTCACAACAGCTGTATCATTTTATATTCTTACAATGTTATGTATTCTGTGGATGAGGAAGGGGGTCCTGGAACTTGAACTAGGTGCTGTCCTTGAGGGGGTTTTGTTTGTTTTTTGTTTTGGCTCAAGGTTAGTGTGCTTGAGCCATAGCTTAGCTTTTTGAGCATACACTTCCACTTTTTGTGGTACTTAGTTGGAGATAAAGAGTCAGCACTGGTGTCTCATAATCCTAGCTACTAAAGAGGCTGAGATCCGAGGCTTGCAGTTCAAAGCCAGCCAGGGCAGGAAAGCTTGTGAAACTATTATCTCTACTCAGAAAAAGCTGAAAGCGGCACTGTGGATCAAGTGGTAGAGTGCTAGCCTTGAGCAAAAGAAGCTCAGGGACAGTGCCTAGGCAGAGTTCAAGCTCCAGTACTGGCAAATAAATAAATAAATTTGAAAAAAAAAAAAAAAGATCTCACAAACTTTCAGACCATGATCCTCAGATCTCAGCCTTCTAAGTAGCTAGAATTAAATCTATGAGCCACCAATACTGGCTCCCATTGTGTATTCTTTCTGTTGTTGTTGGTTGTGGGGCTTGAACTCAGAGCCTGGGTGCTGCTGCTAAACTCTTTTTAGCTCAATGTTAGTTCTCTACCACTTTGAGCCACAACGTCCCTTCTGGTTTTCTGGTGGCTAATTGGAGGTAAGAGTCTCATGGACTTTCCTTGTCCAAGCTGGGTTTGAACTGTGATCCTCAGATCTCAGCCTCCTGAGTAGCTAGAATTATAGGCGTAAGCCACTGGCTCCCCGCTCTTATTACATATTCTTGACATACATTTGGCCAGATTATTTGGTAGTAGTGTATATGTGGGTGGTTTTTTGATTTGTTTTGTTTTGTTGTCAGTCATGGGGCCTGAACTCTGGGCCTGGGCACTGTCCCTCAGCTCTTCAGCTCAAGGCTAGTGCTCTACCACTTGAGCCATAGCATCACTTCCGGCTTTTTCTGCTTCTGTGGTGCTGAGGAATCGAACCCAGGGCCTCATGCCTGCAAGGCAAGCACTCTACCACTGAGCCACCTTTCCCAGACCCTGGTTGGTTGTTTTGAGACAGGTCTTGCCTCAAACTCATGGTCCTCAACTTACCAAGCGCTAGATTTGTAAGTGAATACCACCATGCTCACCTGTGCATATATTTTTAAACTGCTTTATTGTGATATACTGAGATATTACCAACTATACCTATATATAACATACAATAATAGTCAATTTTGCTGTAAGAAAATGGATTTCTAAGCAACATATATTTGGGAACTACCTGAGCATAATGTACATTTCACATTTGTCTTTGCATGGTTTCATCTGCAAGACACACTAGGTGAATACAGAAAAGTGTATACGCTGCTGAGTACTCTACCACTTGAACCATGCCCCTCAGTCCTTTTCTTTGCTTTAGTTTTCAGGTAGTTTCTCATGGTTTTACCCGAGGCTAGCCCTATACCTCCAGCCTCCTATGGCATCCCAAGTAGCTGTAACCACAAGTACACCACTACACCTGGCTGAGAATGAGGGTCTCACTGACCAACCTTGAGCCTTAATCTTCCCTATCTTTACCGCTGGAGTAGCTGGG